TAAAGAAGAGATGACTGCAACTATGAAACAAGGAATAATAACATTGATCCCCAAACCAGACAAAGATCACCTATCTTTAGATAATTGGAGACCGATAACACTATTAAATGTAGACTTGAAAATATTCTCATTAGTTCTGGCCAGACAACTGAAAAAGGATTAAGTGAAATCATAAATGAAACCCAAACCGGCTTTATGGCTAATCGGCACATAAGTTGTAATATTAGACTTGTTCTTGATTTAATGGATTACTCTGATTACGTTGAATCAGACGCTTTGATTTTATTCTTGGACTTTTATAAGGCATTCCACACCGTAGAGCATCAATTCTTATTTCGATCACTTCAAATTTTTGGTTTTGGAGAAAAATTTATTTCCGCTGTCAGAATGCTTTATAAAGACATCAGTAGTAGTGTCCTGCTTTCCCCAAATATAACTAAAAGATTCTCTGTCCACGGATTGGTCCGACAAGGCTGTCCGAGCTCGCCATTTTCATTTCTTATAGTTGCCGAATTACTCTCTATACATATTTTACACTGCCATACCTTTCAAGGCTAAAGAATTTTTGAGAAAGAAATCAAAATAACTCAACTGGCGGATGACACAGTCCAGTCAATATTAATGCTTCTAGATTCACTTATAATGATGCCTATGTGTAATTTTGTGTTCCTCATGATGCCTATATTTCTGCTTTTCTTTTTTTTTTTTTGGTAAAATGTTGAATTTGAAAATAAAGTTTTCTCCTCAGCACTCCCAAAGAAATGTAATGCTTAACCAGAGCTTGGGTGACCCCACCACACCAAATCGTGGCCTTTCACAACAACCTGGTTTTTATTTTTTTGTAAAATAACCAAAAATTACTCTCCCAGAAAGGTAGACAGTCAGCCTTTTCCATTTCAAAGAGACAAAGATGTTAATTACCAGCAGGACCCCCAGACTGAACAAACATTCACCCTCTCTCCTTGGCTGGAGAGTGTCGAAATTGTCACCTCAGCCTTGAGGATGGCCGAAGAGAGCACGTGAACTCAACTCAAGACGGCGCTAGAAGCACTCATCCTTGAAATAGACCCCAGCCATAAACCCTCAGAGTGGCTGATTCTTCCTGTAATTCTCTTTACGTGCAGAGTAAAGAGAATAACTGCAAATGATTTAATGTCAGGTTTAATGGACACTTCACAAGGATTTTCTGTCTGTACACAACACATCTTTGAGCCAGCTGATTTTTCAGGGTATGGATGTTCTTATTACTTTCTTCTTTTGCTTTTAAGTCAGCTGGAATTATGTTTTTAAGTTTTAAAATCCAACCAGACAGACGATTAACAATGTGTCGGTCTATGCGTGGCTCGTCTTGGTGGTGGTGTTCCTGTAAAATTAGGAGTCTCTAATAATTCAGATGAACATTTAATCCAAGCTGTTTGGGTTTGTGGTTTCTTGATTGCTGTTTTTATTCAGTGGTTGGTTGGTCAAATTAATTCTGATGAATTTGGTCTGCTGGCTAAGTGAGTAAGTTAAGAAGATTAGACTATTTTAAATTTGCCTGTTTGTTGTCCTTGTTTGATGTCACTTTGAAACCTACCAGATGAGGAAAATATGAATTTTTTCTCACTTTGTAAAGCTTAGCTGACACTTCACTGATCATCAACCATGAGCTCCTACTCCTGCTCCTAGTATTTCAAGGCTGGAAATGTAAAACATGTGAGTTTAAAGATGTGAATAATTAAATAATGTAGCTGAACCTGTTGTGTTTAGTGTGCACATAAATGATGAGAGAACAACATTGTTTTGAGATTTTCTTAAAAAGTGATATGAGTGGGTCTATCTAGGCATTTTCAAAAGCAAATATTTTAGTACTCAAACAAAAGTAACATTTTAGTTAGCGAATTTCCTTGTATCTAAGTAGTTATTGACTGAATGTCTCTATAATTTGAAGTCGTAATGTCTTCATCCTCACTATCTACCCTCTCTGTCCCCATTATCTACTTCATAATCTTCTAAACAATCAATTTTGGTCATAAACCTAATACATTTTACTGTTAATGTTATTTAAGTTTAAGAGAGGTCTAATGTGACATCAAAAAGCCAGGACTCAATACAAGTATCTTCGGAATTAAAATAAGTGAGATAACACACCTCGCCCCACTGCATTGCATAATTGTAGAGCACAGGACAGGATACAGAATATTAAGTGCTGCCCCAGCAGAGGGTTATTTCAGACCCATTAAGTCCAGATCATACAAGAAAAATTACAAAAGATACAAGGGATAAGAATAAGAAAACTTTATTGATCCCCGAAGGGAAACCATAGCTAGAGAGCTAGCATAGCTAGAGACCCGTTGTGTCTCCAGCTATGTGTTCATTTTAGCAGAGAGGCTTACAGAATTTAAAGACTGAGACAACAACCCCCCCCACCCACCCCCCCACCCCACACACACACACACACACACCTGAAGAGCCATGTGACATTCTTGGACTAGCCTAGTGTCAATATATTCTATTATACACAGAACGAAAATGTCTCTCTCTAGTACGAATCAACATTTGTAGGTTTTGAAAAATGTTATGTTTAACTCCTTCACCACACTGTAAAAAACTCAAAATCTACTCCCCAGCATAAACTAGAAAATGTGAAACCTGACTTCATTTTCCAAAGAGTACTTCCCTTCAAACACAACAGCCAGTGGACTTCTTCACCCTTTGAGATTGAATGTGTCTATTTAGCGATTGTTTAGTTTGAAAAAGTTTATCACATCCATGGCAGCTATAGGGTCTTTCTCCAGTGTGAACTCTCATGTGGGGGGCCAGTTCTTTTTTACTTTTGAATGTTTTGCCACATTCCGAGCAGTTGAAGGGTCTCTTATCTGAGTGAACTCTCATGTGATTGGTCCTCAGCCTTTTTGTTTTAAACAATTTACCACACTCTGGGCAGCTGAAGGGTCTCTCCTCTGAGTGAACCGTCTTGTGGTGCACCAGATGGGTTTTTGTTTTAAATGTACTGCCACTTTCTGGGCAGCTGAAGGCTCTCTCCTCTGTGTGAACTCTCATGTGTCTTGCCAGGTCTCCTTTACTTTTGAATGTTTTGCCACAGTCTGAGCAGCTGAAGGGTCTCTCCTCTGTGTGAACTCCCATGTGATTGGTCCTCAGCCTTTTTGTTTTAAACAATTTACCACACTCTGGGCAGCTGAAGGGTCTCTCCCTTGTGTGAACTCTCATGTGGCTTGCCAGTTCTCCTTTAGTTTTGAAAGGTTTGCCACATTCAGAGCAGCTGAAGGGTCTCTCATCTGAGTGAACTCTCATGTGGCTTGCCAGGTCGTATTTAGTTTTGAATGTTTTGCCACATTCAGAGCAGCTGAAGGGTTTCTCATCTGAGTGAACTCTCACGTGTTGGGCCAGATAATTTTTAGTTTTGAATGTTTTGCCACACTCTGAGCAGCTGAAGGGTTTCTCATCCAAATGAACTGCCATGTGTTGTCCTAGTAAATTTTTAGTTTTGAATATTTTGCCACACTCTGGGCAGCTGAAGGGTCTCTCCTCTGAGTGAACTTTCAGGTGGATTGCTAGTTCTTGTCGTGTTTTGAATATTCGACAACACTTTGAGCAAACACGTGATTTCTCAAGCCTCTTCAGCATCTTCTTTTTCACTTTGTTTACAGACACTAGACTTGACTTTTGTGGTCTGGTATCATTCCAATTCTCATCACTGCCCTCAGTCTCAGGTTCAGGGGAGTCTTGAGTCTTTCGTTGTATATTTATCCTTGAATCTGAGTTACTGGCTGGTTCTTGTCCACCATAATTCTGTTCCTTGCAAATGTTCGGGGGCTCAGTGTATCCCTGGTCCAGAGTGGGACTCCTCTCCTGCTGCTCAGAGAGAAACTCTTTTTTCACCAACACCTGCTGGATATCTGCAAGGCACAGAAAAACAATAATGAAACAGAAGGTAATGGAAACATCAGCAGATATGAAAGCAGATTTAAAAACTCAATGATATTCTTAAGAAAGATAAGAGAGAGTGTGGGGATTATGAACTAATGTTACCACCTCTAGTGTTGGACTTAATTAGCTCACCGGCTAATTATGTGCTGTCTCAGAGCAGCAGACTATTTGTCAACAGTCCGGACAAGAACTGAACAATGTCAGCAGCATGGATTTAGTCGAAGAGGCACCACTAAATCTGTTACTTTTCTCGAATCAGTTTCAGCATTTGTTATGATGCTCATTGTTGTGCTCCTGAAACTTCTCGGGCAAAATTGTATGGATGCAGCCTGGTGCAAAAAGCTGCTGCACCATAGTTCCAGGCAACCAATCACAGTGTTGATAAAACACTTAACCCAGGTAACCAAGAGCAGCATTGTGAGAGTTCATACTAAGAGCTCAGAATTCAGATCACATTTAGTTCACATGGATCCAAATCAACTAGGTTCACATTGATAGTTTGTGTGTCTGTCAGCAGACCCCCCCAAACTTCAATTCCTAATCCCCTCACTGACATTTATTGAAGTAAATAATTATTCAATTGTACATCACAATTGGAGACAGACATATACTTTGGAAAAACAAGGAAATTTCAGTGTTTTAAACAGTTTTTTTCCCTCGACCCAATACCCTGCTATAGTGGGTGAGATGTTTATCAAGCCCTCTAAAATAAAGGGGCTTAAGGGTAAAGAAACACTGAAGAGACAAAGTTTTACCCCTCTGAATCAGACAGGATTTTAGCTCTTTTTAACTCTTAAACTACAAGTACTTGATTTTTTTCCCTTTCCCAGCAGTTAATAGGATAAAACACTATAGGACAGCTGTTGTATTTGTTGTTGCGGTTGTGTAGTACTTCATATATTCGTAATAAAACTTTTCCTTGAAAACAAATACTATTTTTGCCCTAAAGTCATTTCAGGTTTAATCATATTATTTTGCCATTTTGTTAATATGGTTATTGCAGCCTGTGTGTGGCGCTTGCTTCAGTAAAGGCATTGAAACATGTATCCAGAAGTGTAAGGAAAACTGACCTGCTCTGTGCAGCTTGATTTCGGGTGTTAAAATCACAGCCAGCAGTTTTTTCTGGCGGCGGAGCTCCTCTTCGTATCCAGACTCTGTTCTATTTTCGACCAGGTCCGTCATTACCGCAGCCAGCAGCCGCCGATTAAATGGTAGACAGTCAGCCTTTTCCATTTCAAAGAGACAAAGATGTTAATTACCAGCAGGACCCCCAGACTGAACAAACATTCACCCTCTCTCCTTGGCTGGAGAGTGTCGAAATTGTCACCTCAGTCTTAAGGGTGGCCAAAAAGACATTGTGAACTCAACTCAAGAGGGCGCTAGGAGCACTCATCCTTGAAAAAGACCCCAGCCATAAACCCTCAGAGTGGATGATTCTTCCTGTAATTCTCTTTACGTGCAGAGTAAAGAGAATAACTGCGAATGATTTAATTTCAGGTTTAATGGACACTTCACAAGGAGTTTCTGTCTGTACACAACACATCTTTGAGCCAGCTGATTTTTCAGGGTATGGATGTTCTTCTTACTTTCTTCTTTTGCTTTTAAGTCAGCTGGAATTATGTTTTTAAGTTATAAAATCCAACCAGACAGACGATTAACAATGTGTCAGTCTAGGCGTGGCTCGTCTTGGTGGTGGTGTTCCTGTAAAATTAGGAGTCTCTAATAATTCAGATGAACATTTAATCCAAGCTGTTTGGGTTTGTGGTTTCTTGATTGCTGTTTTTATTCAGTGGTTGGTTGGTCAAATTAATTCTGATGAATTTGGTCTGCTGGCTAAGTGAGTAAGTTAAGAAGATTAGACTATTTTAAATTTGCCTGTTTGTTGTCCTTGTTTGATGTCACTTTGAAACCTACCAGATGAGGAAAATATGAATTTTTTCTCACTTTGTAAAGCTTAGCTGACACTTCACTGATCATCAACCATGAGCTCCTACTCCTGCTCCTAGTATTTCAAGGCTGGAAATGTAAAACATGTGAGTTTAAAGATGTGAATAATTAAATAATGTAGCTGAACCTGTTGTGTTTAGTGTGCACATAAATGATGAGAGAACAACATTGTTTTGAGATTTTCTTAAAAAGTGATATGAGTGGGTCTATCTAGGCATTTTCAAAAGCAAATATTTTAGTACTCAAACAAAAGTAACATTTTAGTTAGCGAATTTCCTTGTATCTAAGTAGTTATTGACTGAATGTCTCTATAATTTGAAGTCGTAATGTCTTCATCCTCACTATCTACCCTCTCTGTCCCCATTATCTACTTCATAATCTTCTAAACAATCAATTTTGGTCATAAACCTAATACATTTTACTGTTAATGTTATTTAAGTTTAAGAGAGGTCTAATGTGACATCAAAAAGCCAGGACTCAATACAAGTATCTTCGGAATTAAAATAAGTGAGATAACACACCTCGCCCCACTGCATTGCATAATTGTAGAGCACAGGACAGGATACAGAAGATTAAGTGCTGCCCCAGCAGAGGGTTATTTCAGACCCATTAAGTCCAGATCATACAAAAAAAATTACAAAAGATACAAGGGATAAGAATAAGAAAACTTTATTGATCCCCGAAGGGAAACCATAGCTAGAGAGCTCGCATAGCTAGAGACCCGTTGTGTCTCTAGCTATGTGTTCATTTTAGCAGAGAGGCTTACAGAATTTAAAGACTGAGACAACAACCCCCCCCACCCACCCCCCCACCCCCCCCCCACACACACACACACACCTGAAGAGCCATGTGACATTCTTGGACTAGCCTAGTGTCAATATATTCTATTATACACAGAACGAAAATGTCTCTCTCTAGTACGAATCAACATTTGTAGGTTTTGAAAAATGTTATGTTTAACTCCTTCACCACACTGTAAAAAACTCAAAATCTACTCCCCAGCATAAACTAGAAAATGTGAAACCTGACTTCATTTTCCAAAGAGTACTTCCCTTCAAACACAACAGCCAGTGGACTTCTTCACCCTTTGAGATTGAATGTGTCTATTTAGCGATTGTTTAGTTTGAAAAAGTTTATCACATCCATGGCAGCTATAGGGTCTTTCTCCAGTGTGAACTCTCATGTGGGGGGCCAGTTCTTTTTTACTTTTGAATGTTTTGCCACATTCCGAGCAGTTGAAGGGTCTCTTATCTGAGTGAACTCTCATGTGATTGGTCCTCAGCCTTTTTGTTTTAAACAATTTACCACACTCTGGGCAGCTGAAGGGTCTCTCCTCTGAGTGAACCGTCTTGTGGTGCACCAGATGGGTTTTTGTTTTAAATGTACTGCCACATTCTGGGCAGCTGAAGGCTCTCTCCTCTGTGTGAACTCTCATGTGTCTTGCCAGGTCTCCTTTACTTTTGAATGTTTTGCCACATTCTGAGCAGCTGAAGGGTCTCTCCTCTGTGTGAACTCCCATGTGATTGGTCCTCAGCCTTTTTGTTTTAAACAATTTACCACACTCTGGGCAGCTGAAGGGTCTCTCCCTTGTGTGAACGCTCATGTGGCTTGCCAGTTCTCCTTTAGTTTTGAAAGGTTTGCCACATTCAGAGCAGCTGAAGGGTCTCTCATCTGAGTGAACTCTCATGTGGCTTGCCAGGTCGTATTTAGTTTTGAATGTTTTGCCACATTCAGAGCAGCTGAAGGGTTTCTCATCTGAGTGAACTCTCACGTGTTGGGCCAGATAATTTTTAGTTTTGAATGTTTTGCCACACTCTGAGCAGCTGAAGGGTTTCTCATCCAAATGAACTGCCATGTGTTGTCCTAGTAAATTTTTAGTTTTGAATATTTTGCCACACTCTGGGCAGCTGAAGGGTCTCTCCTCTGAGTGAACTTTCAGGTGGATTGCTAGTTCTTGTCGTGTTTTGAATATTCGACAACACTTTGAGCAAACACGTGATTTCTCAAGCCTCTTCAGCATCTTCTTTTTCACTTTGTTTACAGACACTAGACTTGACTTTTGTGGTCTGGTATCATTCCAATTCTCATCACTGCCCTCAGTCTCAGGTTCAGGGGAGTCTTGAGTCTTTCGTTGTATATTTATCCTTGAATCTGAGTTACTGGCTGGTTCTTGTCCACCATAATTCTGTTCCTTGCAAATGTTCGGGGGCTCAGTGTATCCCTGGTCCAGAGTGGGACTCCTCTCCTGCTGCTCAGAGAGAAACTCTTTTTTCACCAACACCTGCTGGATATCTGCAAGGCACAGAAAAACAATAATGAAACAGAAGGTAATGGAAACATCAGCAGATATGAAAGCAGATTTAAAAACTCAATGATATTCTTAAGAAAGATAAGAGAGAGTGTGGGGATTATGAACTAATGTTACCACCTCTAGTGTTGGACTTAATTAGCTCACCGGCTAATTATGTGCTGTCTCAGAGCAGCAGACTATTTGTCAACAGTCCGGACAAGAACTGAACAATGTCAGCAGCATGGATTTAGTCGAAGAGGCACCACTAAATCTGTTACTTTTCTCGAATCAGTTTCAGCATTTGTTATGATGCTCATTGTTGTGCTCCTGAAACTTCTCGGGCAAAATTGTATGGATGCAGCCTGGTGCAAAAAGCTGCTGCACCATAGTTCCAGGCAACCAATCACAGTGTTGATAAAACACTTAACCCAGGTAACCAAGAGCAGCATTGTGAGAGTTCACACTAAGAGCTCAGAATTCAGCTCACATTTAGTTCACATGGATCCAAATCAACTAGGTTCACAATGATAGTTTGTGTGTCTGTCAGCAGACCCCCCCAAACTTCAATTCCTAATCCCCTCACTGACATTTATTGAAGTAAATAATTATTCAATTGTACATCACAATTGGAGACAGACATATACTTTGGAAAAACAAGGAAATTTCAGTGTTTTAAACAGTTTTTTTCCCTCGACCCAATACCCTGCTATAGTGGGTGAGATGTTTATCAAGCCCTCTAAAATAAAGGGGCTTAAGGGTAAAGAAACACTGAAGAGACAAAGTTTTACCCCTCTGAATCAGACAGGATTTTAGCTCTTTTTAACTCTTGAACTACAAGTACTTGATTTTTTTCCCTTTCCCAGCAGTTAATAGGATAAAACACTATAGGACAGCTGTTGTATTTGTTGTTGCGGTTGTGTAGTACTTCATATATTCGTAATAAAACTTTTCCTTGAAAACAAATACTATTTTTGCCCTAAAGTCATTTCAGGTTTAATCATATTATTTTGCCATTTTATTAATATGGTTTATTGCAGCCTGTGTGTGGCGCTTGCTTCAGTAAAGGCATTGAAACATGTATCCAGAAGTGTAAGGAAAACTGACCTGCTCTGTGCAGCTTGATTTCGGGTGTTAAAATCACAGCCAGCAGTTTTTTCTGCCGGCGGAGCTCCTCTTCGTATCCAGACTCTGTTCTATTTTCGACCAGGTCCGTGATTACCGCAGCCAGCAGCCGCCGATTAAATAAATCATCGAGATCCTGAAATCGGGACATTTTCCTCAAACGCAAGAGCGAAAGCAGCGAAAACGGAACTTTGTGGTTACTGTGGTACCACTTGGACGACTTCCTCCTTCTCTTTTTACTTTATGAGCGTTTTCTGGTGTGGAAACTGAGCTGAATCCGGTTTGGAGCGAAAATTTAAACCTCGGTATCGGATCACCAGGTTTGAGAAAGTCGCGGCTTATTTGGCTCCAATCCTTTGTTTGCAGAATCTGGATTTGGTTGATTATGGGAGGTCGAGCAGTAATGTGTACTTCTTTATCTCCTTCTTGGTTAACGGCGGATGGCAACTAGTAGTACTGATTTCGGTCGACGACACAAAGGCCCAATTCCAAACTCCACCCTAAGCCCTCAAGCCCTGCACCCTCATTAGCTTAGGTTAAGTCAGCTGGTAAGTGCTTGAGTGTGGGAGGGTTTAAGGGCTCCAAAAGGGTATAAAAGCAATGGAACAGCCCTTTGTGACGTGCCACGTTACCTTGACGATAGACGACAACGTTGACAACCAAAGATGCGACTGACACTTGCCTCTCTGGGCTCTTAATTCTGCATTTATTTCGCGGCCAGCGACGTTGCAGAAGAAAGGCCAACATTGTTCCGCTCCTTTTGCACACACTTGCTCTTGAACATAGACAACAGGTAATTGGTAAATAATGATTAGATTGATAAATTATAAAACCAGCATTAATGATATGTTAAGTGATATTGAATGGTTAAAAGGTTGAAGCACTAGATTCTGAAAGTAATCACTGCTTTAGAGTGTTAGTTCAGGATAAAATGTATTGATTCAGATAAAAGTTTGAAGTAAAAATCAATTTTCTTTGTTATAAGAATAACGCATGCGTGTGTGTATGTGTGTGTGTGTATATATGTATGTATACACACACACATATATGTATATATATATATATATATATATATATATATATATATATATATATATATATATATATATATACAGTACAGGCCAAAAGTTTGGACACACCTTCTCATTCAATGTCTTTTCTTTTTTTTTATATGACTATTTACATTGTAGATCATTACTGAAGGCATTAAAACTATGAATGAACACATGTAGAATTTTGTACTAATAAAAAAAGTGTGAAATAACCGAAAACATGTTTTATATTCTAGTTTCTTTAAAATAGCCACCCTTTGCTCTTGATGACAGTGGTTCCTTGTCAGGGTTACTTCAGGCACTCCTGTGAAGTAAAAACCATTTCAGGTGACTACCTCATGAAGCTCATTGAGAGAACAGCTTAAGTTTGCAGCGCTATCAAAAAAGTAAAGGGTGGCTACTTTGAGAAATCTAAAATATAAAACATGTTTTCAGTTATTTCACACTTTTTTCTTAAGCACATGATTCCACATGTGTTCATTCATAGTTTTGAGAATCTACAATTTAAATAGTAATGAAAACAAAGAAAATGCATTGAATGAAAAGGTGTGTCCAAACTTTTGGCCTGTACTATATATATATATATATATATATATATATATATATATATATATATATATATATATATAATATTATATCCATGTTAATGTAATGCATTCTTGTTCATCTTGGCATTCCGGCGCCCACCATACACGATGCGGAACATCCATGTTAGAGTATTAAGGGTGCACCTAGATCCTAAATGAACTGCTTCTTCTTGAGCTTCTTCGCCATGATCTCCGTCATTTTTGGTGTCTGTCGCGGACGTTGAGACGCTTGTGGCCTCGTTCCTTTTTAAATCCTGGACCCGGCTGCGTCGCTGTCCTCCAGTAACGCCCACAACGCAATGAATTGTGGGCAATTTCATAGCCAAAGTCCTCAACGGTACGGACTTACGGAAAGGGTGCAGAAAGGGGCGTTCCCGAGCCCTCGCTGACTTACCGATTTCATTTGGAACAACCCTCAAGCCCTTACAGAGCTCACATGAGCGCGCACCTAAGTCAATGAGTCAGTGAGGGGGTGGTTTGGAATTGGGCCAAAGAACTGGCATGTGGGGAATAGTGGGAATTCACACAACGTCATCTCCACTTCCGGTTTTATATATAGCAGGGTCTCACCTCGATGTTACTCAACTTCCGGTTTGCTTCCCGGTTAGCCATAGGGGAATTCTCTTTTTTTTCTTTCATATCAAAAAGTGGCAACTACAACTCCAGCATTTCAAATAAAGGAACATTGAACAAACAACATGGAGCACAGACTACCGTTTTCTCATCCTCAGCACCCCCAAAGAAATGTAATGCTTAACCAGAGATTGGGTGACCCCACCACAACAAATCATGGCCTTTACAACCTCCTGTTTTTTTTATTTATTTTTTTTTCTTGTAAAATAACCAAGAATTACTCTCACAGAAAGGTAGACAGTCAGCCTTTTCCATTTCAAAGAGACAAAGATGTTAATTACCAGCAGGACCCCCAGACTGAACAAACATTCACCCTTTCTCCTTGGCTGGAGAGTGTCGAAATTGTCACTTCAGGCTTAAGGATGGCTGAAGAGAGCATGTGAACTCAACTCAAGAGGGCGCTTGGAGCACTCATCCTTGAAATAGACCCCAGCCATAAACCCTCAGAGTGGCTGATTCTTCCTGTAATTCTCTTTACGTGCAGAGTAAAGAGAATAACTGCAAATGATTTAATGTCAGGTTTAATGGACACTTCACAAGGATTTTCTGTCTGTACACAACACATCTTTGAGCCAGCTGATTTTTCAGGGTATGGATGTTCTTCTTACTTTCTTCTTTTGCTTTTAAGTCATCTGGAATTATGTTTTTAAGTTCTAAAATCCAACCAGACAGACAATTAAAAATGTGTCGGTCTATGCGTGGCTCGTCTTGGTGGTGGTGTTCCTGTACAATTACAAGTGTCTAATAGTTGAATAGAAAGGAAAGCCACCTGTTGTCATATCTTAAACCCATGTTGATTCTTACTGTTTGGGTGTTTGCTCTATTTCCAATGCACAGACTTTATCGTGGTCTACAAAAATTTGTTATACAACCTGACAGAGTACGTCAAGGTATATATACTGTCACGAAACAGTATTCCAGATGAACATTTAAATTAAGCTGTTTGGGTTTGTGGTTTCTTGATTGTTGTTTTTATTCAGTGGTTGGTTGGTCAAATTAATTCTGATGAATTTGGTCTGCTGGCTAAGTGAGTAAATTAAGTAGATTAGACTATTTTAAATTTGCCTGTTTGCTGTCCTTGTTTGATGTCACTTTGAACCCTACCAGATGGGGAAAATATGAATTCTTTCTCACTTTGTAAAGCTTAGCTGACACTTCACTGATCATCAACCATGAGCTCCTACTCCTGCTCCTAGTATTTCAAGGCTGGAAATGTAAAACATGTGAGTTTAAAAATGTGAATAATTAAATAATGTAGCTGAACCTGTTGTGTTTAGTGTGCACATAAATGATGAGAGAACAACATTGTTTTGAGATTTTCTTAAAAAGTGATATGAGTGGGTCTATCTAGGCATTTTCAAAAGCAAATATTTTAGTACTCAAACAAAAGTAACATTTCAGCTAGCAAATGTCCTTGTATCTAAGTAGTTATTGACTGAATGTCTCTATAATTTGAAGTAGTAATGTCTTTGTCCTCACTATCTACCCTCTCTGTCCCCATTATCTACTTCATAATCTTCTAAACAATCAATTTTGGTCATAAACCTAATACATTTTACTGTTAATGTTATTTAAGTTTAAGAGAGGTCTAATGTGACATCAAAAAGCCAGGACTCAATACAAGTATCTTCGGAATTATAATAAGCGAGATAACACACCTCACCCCACTGCATTGCGTAATTGTAGAGCACAGGACAGGATACAGAAGATTAAGTGCTGCCCCAGCAGAGGGTAATTTCAGACCCATTAAGTCCAGATCATACAAAAAAAATTACAAAAGATACAAGGGATAAGAATAAGAAAACTTTATTGATCCCCGAAGGGAAACCATAGCTAGAGAGCTAGCATAGCTAGAGACCCGTTGTGTCTCTAGCTATTTTCATTTTAGCAGAGAGGCTTACAGAATTTAAAGACTGAGACCCCCACCCCCCCCCCCACCCCACCCCACACACACACACACACACACACACACACCTGAAGAGCCATGTGACATTCTTAGACTAGTCTAGTGTCAATATATTCTATTATACACAGAACAAAAATGTCTCTCTCTAGTATGAAACAACATTTGTAGGTTTTGAAAATGTCATGTTTAACTCCTTCACCACACAGTAATCAACTCAAAATCTACTCCTCAGCATAAACTAGAAAATGTGAAACCTGACTTCATTTTCCAAAGAGTACTTCCCTTCAAACAGAGCAGCCAGTGGACTTCTTCACCCTTTGAGATTGAATGTGTATATTCAGCGCTTGTTAAGTTTTGTACAGTTTATCACATCCGGGGCAGCTATAGGGTCTTTCTCCAGTGTGAACTCTCATGTGGGAGGCCAGTTCTTTTTTACTTTTGAATGTTTTGCCACATTCTGAGCAGTTGAAGGGTCTCTTATCTGAGTGAACTCTCATGTGATTGGTCCTCAGCCTTTTTGTTTTAAACAATTTACCACACTCTGGGCAGCTGAAGGGTCTCTCCTCTGAGTGAACCGTCTTGTGGAGCATTAGATCGGTTTTTGTTTTAAATGTATTACCACATTCTGAGCAGCTGAAGGGTCTCTCCCTTGTGTGAACTATCATGTGTCTTGCCAGTTCTCCTTTAGTTTTGAAAGGTTTGCCACATTCTGGGCAGCTGAAGGGTCTCTCCTCTGAGTGAACTCTCATGTGTCGTCCCAGTTCTCCTTTAGTTTTGAATGTTTTGCCACATTCTGAGCAGCTGAAGGGTCTCTCCCTTGTGTGAACTCTCATGTGGCTTGCCAGTTCTCCTTTAGTTTTGAATGTTTTGCCACACTCTGAGCAGCTGAAGGGTTTCTCATCCGAATGAAGTGCCATGTGTTGTCCTAGTAAATTTTTAGTTTTGAATATTTTGCCACATTGTGGACAGCTGAAGGGTCTCTCCTCTGAGTGAACTTTCAGGTGTTTTTCTAGTTCTTGTCGTGTTTTGAATATTCGACAACACTTTGAGCAAACACGGGATTTCTCAAGCCTCTTCAGCATCTTCTTTCTCACTTTGTTTCTAGACATTAGACTTGACTTTTGTGGCCTTGTATCATTCCAATTCTCATCACTGCCCTCAGTCTCAGGTTCAGGGGAGTCTTGAGTCTTTTGTTGTATACTTATCCCTGAATCTGAGTGACTGGCTGGTTCTTGTCCACCATAATTCTGTTCCTTGCAAATGTTTAGTGTCTCAGTGTATCCCTGGTCCAGACTGGGACTCCTCCCCTGCTGCTCAGAGAGTAACTCTTTTTTCACCAACATCTGCTGGATATCTGCAAGGCACAGAAAAACAATAATTAAACAGAAGTTGATGAAAACATCAGTAGATATGAAAGCAGATTTAAAAACTCAATGATAGTCTAAAGAAAGATAAGAGTTAGTGTGGGGATTATGAACTAAAGTTACCCCCTCTAGTGTTGGACTTAATTAGCTCACTAGCTAAGTATGTGCTGTCTCAGAGAAGCAGACTATTAATCAACAGTCAGGACAAGAACTGAACAATGTCAGCAGCATGGATTTACTCGAAGAGGCACCACTAAATCTGTTACTATTCTCAAATCACTTACAGCATTTGTTATGATGCTCATTGATTGCTCCTGAAACTTCTCGGGCAAAACTGAATGGATGCAGCCTGGTGCAAAAAGCTGCTGCACCATAGTTCCAGGCAACCAATCACAGTGTTGATAAAACACTTAACCCAGGTAACCAAGAGCAGCATTGTGAGAGTTCACACTAAGAGCTCAGAATTCAGCTCACATTTAGTTCCCATGGATCGAAATCAACTAGGTTGCAGTGATAGTATGTGTGTCTGTCAGCAGAGCCTCCCAAACTTCAATTTCTAATCCCCTCACTGACATTTATTGAATTAAATAATTATTCAATTGTACATCACAATTGGAGACAGACATGTAGTTTGAAAAAACAAGGAAATTTCAGTGTTTTAAACAGTTTTTTTTCTTCCTGCCCCAATACCCTGCTATTGTGGGTGAGATGTTTATCAAGCCCTCTAAAATAAGGGGGCTAAGGGTATAGAAACACTGACGAGACAAACATGAAAGTTGACTATTCTATCTGAAAAAGTTTTACCCCTCTGAATCTGACAATACAGATTTACATTTTGAAGTAGGCCACAGAGATAAATCTGGAACATGTGCTTTTCTTGTGCCTTTTCAGAATCATCATCAAACCAATGTGTGACTCTTAAACTACAAATACTTGACACAGTCCAGCAGTTAATAGGATAAAACATGATAGGATAGCTGTTGTATTTGTTGTTGCGATTGTGTAGTACTTCAGATATTCGTAATAAAAAAACTTTTTCCTTGAAAAGAAAAACTTTTTTTGACTTAAAATCATTCCAGGTTTGATCATATTATTTTGCCATTTAATTAATGTGGTTTATTGCAGCCTGTGTGTGGCGCTTGCTTAACTAAAGGCATTGAAACATGGAAAACTGACCTGCTCTGTGCAGCTTGATTTCGGGTGTTAAAATCACGGCCAGCAGTTTTTTCTGGCGGTGGAGCTCCTCTTCGTATCCAGACTCTGTTCTATTTTCGACTAGGTCCGTCATTACCGCAGCCAGCAGCCGCCGATTAAATAAATCATCCAGATCCTGAAACCCGGACATTTTCCACAAACGCAAGAGCGAAAGAAGCGAAAACAGAACTTTGTGGTTACCGCGCTACCACGTGGACGACTTCTTCCTCTCCTTTTTTTTTCTTTATGAGCGTTTTCTGGTGAGGAAACAGAGCGGAATCCGTTTTGGGGCGAAAATTTAAACCTCGGAATCGGATCAACAGGTTTGAAAAAGTCGCGGTGGATTTGGCTCCGATCTTTTGTTTGCAGAATCTGGATTTGGTCGATTATGGAGGTCAAGAAATATGCACTTCTTTATCTCCTTCTTGGTTAACGGGGGATGGCAACTTGTAGTACTGATTTCGGTCGACGACCTATAAATAACTGGCATGTGGGGAATAGTGGGAATTCACACGACGTCATCTCCACTTCCGGTTTTACCTATAGCAGGGTCGCACCTCGATGTCACTCAACTTCCGGTTTGCTTCCCGGTTAGCCTTAGGGGAATTCTCTTTTTTTTTCATATCAAAAAATGGCAACTACAACTCCAGCATTTCAAACAAAGGAACATTGAACAAATAACATGGAGCACAGACTACCGTTTTCTCATTCTCAGCTCCCCCAAAGAAATGTAATGCTTAACCAGAGCTTGGGTGACCCCACCACACCAAATCGTGGCCTTTACAACAACCTGGTTTTTATTTTTTTGTAAAATAACCAAAAATTACTCTCCCAGAAAGGTAGACAGTCAGCCTTTTCCATTTCAAAGAGACAAAGATGTTAATTACCAGCAGGACCCCCAGACTGAACAAATATTCACCCTTTCTCCTTGGCTGGAGAGTGTCGAAATTGTCACCTCAACCTTGAGGATGGCCGAAGAGAGCATGTGAACTCAACTCAAGACGGCGCTAGAAGCACTCATCCTTGAAATAGACCCCAGCCATAAACCCTCAGAGTGGCTGATTCTTCCTGTAATTCTCTTTACGTGCAGAGTAAAGAGAATAACTGCAAATGATTTAATGTCAGGTTTAATGGACACTTCACAAGGATTTTCTGTCTGTACACAACACATCTTTGAGCCAGCTGATTTTTCAGGGTATGCATGTTCTTCTTACTTTCTTCTTTTGCTTTTAAGTCAGCTGGAATTATGTTTTTAAGTTCTAAAATCCAACCAGACAGACAATTAAAAATGTGTCAGTCTATGCGTGGCTCGTCTTGGTAGTGCTGTACAATTAGAAGTCTCTAATAATTCCAGATGAACATTTAATCCAAGCTGTTTGGCTTTGTGGTTTCTTGATTGCTGTTTTTATTCAGTGGTTGGTTGGTCAAATTAATTCTGATGAATTTGGTCAGCTGGCTAAGTGAGTAAGTTAAGTAGATTAGACTATTTTAAATTTGCCTGTTTGTTGTCCTTGTTTGATGTCACTTTGAACCCTACCAGATGAGGAAAATATGAATTCTTTCTCACTTTGTAAAGCTTAGCTGACACTTCACTGATCATCAACCATGAGCTTCTACTCCGGCTCCTAGTATTTCAAGGCTGGAAATGTAAAACATGTGAGTTTAAAGATGTGAATAATTAAATAACGTAGCTGAACCTGTTGTGTTTAGTGTGCACATAAATGATGACAGAACAACATTGTTTTGAGATTTTCTTAAAAAGTGATATGAGTGGGTCCATCTAGGCATTTTCAAAAGCAAATATTTTAGTACTCAAACAAAAGTAACATTTTAGTTAGCAAATTTCCTTGTATCTAAGTAGTTATTGACTGAATGTCTCTATAATTTGAAGTAGTAATGTCTTTGTCCTCACTATCTACCCTCTCTGTCCCCATTATCTACTTCATAATCTTCTAAACAATCAATTTTGGTCATAAACCTAATACATTTTACTGTTAATGTTATTTAAGTTTAAGAGAGGTCTAATGTGACAACAAAAGACCAGGAATCAATACAAGTATCTCCGGCATTCTAATAAGTGAATTTAGAAAAAAAAACACACCTCGCTCCACTGCATTGCATAATAGGAGAGCACAGGACAAGATACAGAAGATTAAGTGTTGCCCCAGCAGAGGGTTATTTCAGACCCATTAAGTCCAGATCATACAAAAAAAAAGAAAAATACAAGGGATAAGAATAAGAATAAGAATAACTTTATTGATCCCTGAAGGGAAATCCAATTGTCTGTCGTCTCACTGGTCATGTCTCAAAAGTCATCTACTATTTATAAAAGAGTTGTGAAGTCTGATGGCTGTGGGTACAAAAGATCTTCTCAATCTTTCTGTCCTGCAGTAGAGAGAGAGGAGCTGTCCACCACCATTGGCCCTTTGGTCCATTAAGGTGTTGTGAAGTGGTTGATCCATGTTCTTTAAAATAGCCTCCACCTCCCTCAGTCTACATTTCTCCACCACATCCTCCAACACAGCCAGCCTTTTTCACCAGTATGTTCAGACGTTTTGCATCTTTGTGTTTGATGCTTTCTCCCCTGCAGACTGCAGCGCAGAACACAACACTTGCCACCACAGACTGATAAAACATCTGCAGCATCTTACTACAGATGTCTATTAATCGAAGTCTTCTCAGGGGAAAAGAGGCGGCTCTGCCACTTTCTGTAGGTGAAGTCTATGCTCTTAGACCAGTCCACTCTACATGCTTGTTTTTTTCTGCGTTTGTAGACACACTTGTTCGGTCTCTAACTATGTGTTCATTTTAGCAGAGAGGCTTACAGAATTTAAATACTGAGACTGAGAGAGTTTATTACATCCAGGGCAGCTCTAGGTTCTTTCTCCAGTGCAAACTCTCATGTGTTTTATCAATGCAGGTTCTCTTTGGAAAGTTGTGCCACACTCTGAGCAGCTGTAGGGTCTCTCCTCTGAATGAACTCTCATGTGTTGTCCCAGTTCTCCTTCTCTTTTGAATGTTTTGCCACATTCTGAGCAGCTGAAGGGTCTCTCCTCTGAGTGAACCCTCATGTGGCTTGCCAAGTTGTATTTAGTTTTGAATGTTTTGCCACAGTCTGAGCAGCTGAAGGGTCTCTCATCTGAGTGAACTCTTATGTGGCTTGCCAGTTCTCTTTTAGTTTTGAATGTTTTGCCACATTCTAAGCAGCTGAAGGGTCTCTCATCTGAATGAACTCTTATGTGTTGTCCCAGATCTCCTTCTCTTTTAAATGTTTTGCCACATTCTGAGCAGCTGAAGGGTCTCTCTTCTGAGTGAACCCTCATGTGGCTTGCCAGTTTTTCTTTAGTTTTGAATGTTTTGCCACATTCTGAGCAGCTAAATGGTCTCTCATCTGAGTGAACTGCCATGTGCCGTTCCAGATGACTTTTTGATATAAATGTTTTGCCACACTCTGAGCAGCTGAAGGGTCTCCCCTCTGAGTGAAATGCCATGTGTTGTCCCAGTTCTCCTTTAGTTTTGAATGTTTTGCCACAGTCTGGGCAGCTAAAGGGTCTCTCCTCTGAATGAACTCTCATGTGTTTTGTCAGTACTCTTTCAGTTTTGAATGTTTTGCCACATTCTAAGCAGCTGAAGGGTCTCTCCTCTGAGTGAACTCTCATATGGCTTGCCAGTTCTCTTTCAGTTGTGAATGTTTTGCCACAGTCTGGGCAGCTGAAGGGTTTCTCATCTGAGTGAACTCTAATGTGGATTGCCAGTTCTCTTTCAGTTTTGAATGTTTTGCCACATTCTAAGCAGCTGAAGGGTTTCTCATCTGAGTGAACTCTCATGTGTCTTGCCAGTTCTCCTTTAGTTTTGAATGTTTTGCCACATTCTGAGCAGCTGAAGGGTCTCCCCTCTGAGTGAAGTCTCATGTGGCTTGCCAGTTCTCCTTTAGTTTTGAATGTTTTGCCACATTCTGAGCAGCTGAAGGGTCTCTCATCGGAGTGAACTCTCATATGGCTTGCCAAGTTGTATTTAGTTTTGAATGTTTTGCCACATTCAGGGCAGCTGCAGGGTCTCCCCTCTGAGTAAACTCTCATGTGGTTTGCCAGTTCTCCTTTAGTTTTGAATGTTTTGCCACATTCTGAGCAGCTGAAGGGTCTCTCATCGGAGTGAACTCTCATATGGCTTGCCAAGTTGTATTTAGTTTTGAATGTTTTGCCACACTGTGGGCAGCTGAAGGGTCTCCCCTCTGAGTGAACTTTCAGGTGGATTGCTAGTTCTTGTCGTGTTTTGAATATTCGACAAAACTTTGAGCAAACATGTGATTTCTCAAGCCTCTTTAGCATCTTCTTTCTCACTTTTTTCACAGACATTAGACTTGACTTTTGTGGCCTTGTATCCTCCCAATTCTCATCACTGCCCTCAGTCTCAGGTTCAGGGGAGTCTTGAGTCTTTCGTTGTATATTTATCCCTGAGTTGTTACTGGCTGGATCTTGTCCTCCATAATTCTGTTCCTTGCAAATGTTCGGGGGCTCAGTGTATCCCTGGTCCAGAGTGGGACTCCTCCCCTGCTGCTCAGAGAGAAACTCTTCTTTTTTCACCAACACCTTCTGGATATCTGCAAGGCACAGAAAAACAATAACTAAACAGAAGTCGATGAAAACATCAGTAGATATGAAAGCAGATTTAAAAACTCAATGATAGTCTAAAGAAAGATAAGAGTTAGTGTGGGGATTATGGACTAATGTTTCCCCCTCTAGTGTTGGACTTAATTAGCTCACCAGCTATGTATGTGCTGTCTCGGAGAAGCAGACTATTTGTCAACAGTCCTGACAAGAACTGAACAATGTCAGCAGCATGGATTTAGTTGAAGAGGCACCACTAAATCTGTTGTTATTCTCATATCAGTTTCAGCATTTGTTATGATGCTCATTGTTGTGCTCCTGAAACTTCTCGGGCAAAACTGAATGGATGCAGCCTGGTGCAAAAAAGCTGCTTCACCATAGTTCCAGGTAACCAATCACAGTGTTGATAAAACACTTAACCCAGGTAACCAAGAGCAGCATTGTGAGAATTCACACTAAGAGCTCAGAATTCAGCTCACATTTAGTTCACTTGGATCGAAATCAACTAGTTCACATCGATAGTTTGTGTGTCTGTCAGCAGAGCCTCCCAAACTTCAATTCCTAATCCACTCACTGACATTTATTGAACTAAATTATCATTAAATTGTATATCACAATTGGAGACAGACATGTACTTTGAAAAAACAAGGAAATTTCAGTTTTTTTTCTTCCCCAATACCCTGCTATAGTGGGTGACATGTTTATCAAGCCCTCTAAAATAAGGGGGCTAAGGGTATAGAAACACTGAAGAGACAAACATGAAAGTTGACTATTCTATCTGAAAAAGTTTTACCCCTCTGAATTAGCCTGCTGGGCAGCACAAAAACGAGAAATGCTGACTGACAATACAGATTTACATTTTCAAGTAGGCCACAGAGATAAATCTGGAACATGTGCTTTTCTTGTGTCTTTTCAGAATCATCATCAAACCAATGTGTGACTCTTAAACTACAAATACTTGACACAGTCCAGCCATTAATAGGATAAAACATGATAGGATAGCTGTTGTATTTGTTGTTGCGATTGTGTAGTACTTCAGATATTCGTAATAAAAAAACTTTTTCCTTGAAAAGAAAAACTTTTTTTGACTTAAAATCATTCCAGGTTTGATCATATTATTTTGCCATTTAATTAATGTGGTTTATTGCAGCCTGTGTGTGGCGCTTGCTTCAGTAAAGGCATTGAAACATGGAAAACTGACCTGCTCTGTGCAGCTTGATTTCGGGTGTTAAAATCACAGCCAGCAGTTTTTTCTGGCGGCGGAGCTCCTCTTCGTATACAGACTCTGTTCTATTTTCGACTAGGTCCGTCATTACCGCAGCCAGCAGCCGCCGATTAAATAAATCATCAAGATCCTGAAACCCGGACATTTTCCACAAACGCAAGAGCGAAAGAAGCGAAAATCGAACTCTGTGGTTACCGCGGTACGTGGACGACTTCTTCCTCTTCTTTTTTCTTTATGAGCGTTTTCTGGTGTGGAAACAGAGCTGAATCCGTTTTGGAGCGGAAATTTAAACCTCGGTTTCGGATCACCAGGTTTGAAAAAGTCGCGGTGGATTTGGCTCCGATCTTTTGTTTGCAGAATCTGGATTTAGTCGATTATGGAGGTCGAGCAGTAATGTGTACTTCTTTATCTTCTTCTTCTTAGTTAACGGCGGATGGCAACTAGTAGTACTGATTACGGTCGACGACCTATAAAGAACTGGCATGGGGGGAGTAGTGGGACTTCATACGACGTCATCTCCGCTTCCGGTTTTTCCGATAGCAGGGTCTCACCAAAGGTGCATTTATACGTTCTAGAGCCAAATGGCTAGAGGAGGGAGAAATGAATACAGACATTTTTCGCCCTGGGAAAAAGGAATTATAGAAGAAATAATATAACATCTTTGAAAATAGATAACTCAACTAGCTCTGATCCTTCTGATATTGCCAATTATACTCTAAAATTTTATTCGGATCTGTACAGTTCTGTTCATAATCAAACTGATTGTGAAAAATTTATAAACAATGTTAAAGAATTTACGCCACAAATATCCAACGAATTCAAGCTGGACTGTGATAAACTCAAGTCTGAAATATCTGAAGCTATTAAGAAGGTGAAAAAAGGAAAGTCTCCAGGAATGGATGGGCTTCCTGTCGAGTTTTACCTATGTTTCTAGAGCATAATTGAAAACCCCCTCTTTGAAATGATAAAGGAATGTATTGATAAAGAAGAGATGACTGCAACTATGAAACAAGGAATAATAACATTGATCCCCAAACCAGACAAAGATCACCTATCTTTAGATAATTGGAGACCGATAACACTATTAAATGTAGACTTGAAAATACTCTCATTAGGGAGACAAGGATTAAGTGAAATCATCAATGAAACCCAAACCGGCTTTATGGCTAATCGGCACATAAGTTGTAATATTAGACTTGTTCTTGATTTAATGGATTACTCTGATTACGTTGAATAAGACGCTTTGATTTTATTCTTGGACTTTTATAAGGCATTCCACACCGTATAGCATCAATTCTTATTTCGATCACTTCAAATTTTTGGTTTTAGAGAAAAATTTATTTCCGCTGTCAGAATGCTTTATAAAGACATCAGTAGTAGTGTCCTGCTTTCCCCAAATATCACTAAAAGATTCTCTGTCCACAGAACGGTCCGACAAGGCTGTCGGCTGTCACGTGGCGTAAAACTAGGAAAAGGTGGGGGAAAATGAGTGGAGTAGAAGAGGACAAGTAAAAAGTAAGGCGTAAGGGAGTAAGATAAAGCCAAGAGCATCAGATTAAGCACAAGACCATGATCACTCCAACTTTATTGGTTTCATGTGCTTCAAACTGGGAGTGTCTCTGGGGTGTGTGCAGAGAGAGGAGGGGTCGCTATTGTCCTGCAAGATCTTCAAGATACATGGTTATTTGATCCAACTTACACTTTTGACTGGTAAAGGAGTAAGATCTAATAGTCACCCACTGTGATTAATGTTATTGAATGCTGATGATTGAATGGTGAATCACATGAAGCATTGTCATTATGCTGTATCACTTTCAAAAGAGTGCTGATAAAATAACTGATGTCCTTTGACATCTTTGCCTAAGGCTGCTGTTTTAATTACTGTTGTTTTAGCCCATGAAAACTTTTGCCTCTCCTCTGCTTTCTTCTTTCTGTACTCCAGAAAGGTCTGAAGAGTAGGGGTTTGAATAGTCTGTGATGCTGCAGGAAAACAAAGAAATAAATATGTTAAATTTTGGGTCTCTTATTTCTGTATAACAGACTACTGCTAAGGAGGCCGCTATGATCAGAGGAGGAGAACCGCACGGGATATTTTACTAATGGGTTACTTTTATATGGAGCTTTAACCTTAATAGAACAGCTTTAATAATAACAAATAATGAACTTTGACAACCATGATGAATTACAAAAATGTGCCCACTGATGTTTCTTTAGTTACTGTGTTTAAAAGCTTTGAAAACACCAAGTTAGTCTAAACTGTGGCAAAAAAGAGATTCCCTATATTCCACCTCTGTGAAGTTGGCCACCCACATTCAATAAAAACGTTTCGAAAGATCGTGTTTTCTCTTTTGCGGTTGTATTTTATACATCCAGGCCACCGTAATGTTGCACCATCACGCCGTAAAAAATTCCTAGTCTGTGAATCCTGTTCATTGACAATGGCAATAAAACCCCTTCTGATTCTGATTTTATATGATAGGTAAGAGCTCAGTCATAATCATCAGTATATGCCTTGTACAGCATGCATTTAACACCAGTCCGACACTGTCTTTTTTTTGTAGGCACTGGTCTACACACCTCCATTTATTAGTGGCCTCTGGTGCAATCCCTTGTAATAAAAACAAGATGAATAATGTTTTGATACGACAATACAAATTTTGAACTTGTTGAACATCGAACAAACATTAATATCTGCCCTGTGTCCTTGGCTGGTGCCAGGTTAGCAGAAAGCTGGTGCATGCCAGGGGCGATGGCACCGACCTCACTCCTAAAGTGCTATATAGGTAAATCCCCCAAAATTAGAATATTGTGGAATTGTGATAATTTATCTCCATAATATATAATTTTTTAATCTGCATTTACATATACTAGCTACACTACAAAAGTTTGGAAGCAAGGCCATTGTTCACAATGATTTTTTTAAAATCCAGCATGAGTTTTATGTATTTTGGGATGTATTTACTCCATGTTTAAGTGTTGTTTTCATGGAAATGCACCATTTTACTCCATTTACCTTTAGATATACATTGATGTTAACAGACCATTGCTAAATATATGTCAGCAAAAGATAATAAGGGCTTAGTTTTAGGGTTGAAAACATTTGCAAGAGTCACAACTTCAGTGGAAAAGCAATCAAAAAGCAAATCACAGTTGGATTATTCACTTCAACTTTTTGGCTTTTGAGAGTCTGCATACAAAAATCCTAATAAATCCCAACTGTGTTCAAAATACTGCAGAAATGGTTAGAAAGAAGCAACTGAGTAAAGAAACAAAAGTACAGATTTGTACATTGAGGAAAGAAGGATACACAGAAAGAGAAATTGCAAAACGCCTAAAGGTGTTTAACAAAGGAGTCCACTACACTCTGAAGAGACTAGAGGAACCTGGAAGTTATGATGATAGAAAAAGACCTGGATGAAAGAGAGTTAGTACAAAAGCAGAGGATAAACATAGCATTGTCACCAGTAAGAGAGATCGGTGGAGGACAGCACCACAAATAAGGGAGGAAATCAACATGACAAGGTCGAAACCAATATCTGTGACAACCGTGAAAAGACGTTTGAGAAAGGCTGGTCTGAAGGGTTGTGTATCTGCAAAAAAACACTACTTCATCCACAGAACAAGAAAAAGAGATATGAGTGGGCAAAAGCTCACAAAAATTGGACTTATGATGACTAGAAACAAGTTTGCACTGTTTGGTTCAAAACGCAGGGTCTATGTCCGCAGACAAACTGGTGAACATCTGAAAGCACCATGTGTTACACCCACAATTCAGCATGGAGGTGGTAGTTCCATGGTGTGGAGATTTGTAGGTAATGGAGTAGGAGATCTGTTTGAAGTAAAGGGTATCATGAAGAAGGAACAGTACCACTCCATCCTCCAGCACCATGCTGTTCCATCTGGACTCAGACTTGTGGCTCATAAGTTTGTTTTGCAGCAAGACAATGACCCTAAGCACTCTGCCAAGCTCTGTCAGGGTTACCTAGACAAAAAAGAAGAGGAATGTGTTAACTCACAAATAATAGATAGACTGAGAAATACAATGAAGTACATCTTGCAAATTTGCTGGAACTGGTAACACCACAGTCTCTCATGCAACTGCAGGAAAACAGTCTGCAACAGCAGCGGGATAACAACTTTTCATTTTGAGAAACCTGAAGTGAGTGAGCTTCCTCATTTTTATTTTTTTTAATAGGATATAGAAATGTCTCAGTCTCCAAAAAAAATCTTTGCCTGTTTGTTCTTTCTGTCTTAAATGAAGGCAGGAATCATTCTGGGAGATTTTGGACACATCTGTGATGTGATGCACACAGACAGACAGAAGTCGAGTGACATCAGTGTGAATTCCCTCTATTGAATTCAGTTATCGAGTTGATATCCTGCCTCGTAGTACAGCTGATCGGGATTACGGAGATCTGGTTAAGTTAAGTGAGTTTTGGCAGTTATCCTGGGTGTGTTAATCCAGCTGCATAGTACAGGCCTCAGGTTTGACAAAGTTACAGTTTATTTGGCTCTGATCATTTGATGCTGGATTTGGTTGATTATGGGAGGTCGGTAAAGGTCCGGTATGGGGGGAATATACCTTGATGTCACTCAGCTTCCGATTCACCTCCCGGTTAGCAGTAGGGGAACTTTTTATTTGTATCAAAACTGGCAACTTCATGACCAAGTACAACCCCAACATTTCAGACAACGGAACATTGAACAAATAACATGGGAGATAATAAAATAATACTATAGTAAAAAAAAAAAAAAGAACAAACACATACATAATTTCTTTAGAGAAATATAAATTGGGGTCTTGTAGCAGAGATGCCCGCTTTCTCACCCTAAGTACCCCCAAAAGAATGTAATGCTTGACCTGGTCACTGGAGATGAGATGGGGTGACCCCACCAAACCAAATCATGTTCTTATTGCTCTCCACTTTTGCTTTAAAGTCAGCTTAAATTATGTTTTTAAGTTTTAAAACATGCGCGCATGAATGATGAGAAAACAACATTGTTTTGAGATTTTCTCAAAAAGTCAAATAAGTAGGTCTATCTAGGCATTTTCAAAAGCAAATATTTTAGTACTCAAATAAAAGTAACAGTTTAGTTAACAAATGTCCTTGTATCTCAGTATTTATTGACTAGATGTCTCTATATTTTGAAGTAGTCATGTCTTTGTCCTTACTATCTACCCTCTCTGTCCCTATTATCTACTTCATAATCTTCTAAATAATCAATTTTGGTCATAAACCTAATACAATTTCCTTTGAATGTTATTTAAGTTTAAGAGAGGTCTAATGTGACATCAAAAAGCCAGGACTCAATACAAACATCTCTGGAATTCTAATAAGTGAGATAAAAAACAAAACTACACACCTCGCCCCACTGCATTGCATAATTGTAAAGCACAGGACAAGATACAGAAGATTAAGTGTTGCCCCAGCAGAGGGTTATTTCAGACTCAATAAGTCCAGATCATACAAAAAAATTTACAAAAGATACAAGGGAGAAGAATAAGAATAACTTTATTGATCCCCGAAGGAAAATCCAATTATCTGTCATCTCATTTGTCATGTCTCAAAAGTCATCTACTATTTATAAAAGAGTTGTAAAGTCTGATGGCTGTGGGTCCAAAAGATCTTCTGAATCTTTCTGTCCTGCAGTGAAGAGAGAGGAGCCGTCCACCACCATTGGCCCTTTGGTCCATTAACGTGTTGTTAAGTGGTTGATCCATGTTCTTTAAAATAGTCTCCACCTTCCTCAGTGTAGATCTCTCCACCACATCCTCCGGTGAGTCCAAATTGAATCCAACCACAGAGCCAACCTTTTTCACCAGTATGTTCAGACGTTTTGCATCTTTGTGTTTGATACTTCCTCCCTAGCAGACTGCAGCACAGAACACAACACTTGCCACCACAGACTGATAAAACATCTGCAGCATCTTACTACACATGTCTATTGATCGGAGTCTTCTCAGGGAAAAGAGGCGGCTCTGCCACTTTCTGTGGGTGAAGTCTATGTTCTTAGACCAGTCCACTCTACATGCTTGTTTTCTTCTGCAGTTGTAGACACACTTGTTCTGTCTCTAACCATGTTCATAATAGCAGAGAGACTCAGAATTTGAATACTGAGACAACCCCCCCTACACACACACCTCTGAAGAGCCATGTGACATTCTTGGACTAGTCTAGTGTCACTATATTCTATTATACACAGAACAAAATGTCTCTCTCTATTATGAAACAACATTTGTAGGTTTGAAAAATGTTATAACTCCTCCACCACAAAGAGTACTTCCCTTCAAACAGAGCAGCCAGTGGACTCCTTCAACCTTTGAGATTGAATGTGTGTATTCAGCTCTTGTTTAGTTTTATACAGTTTATCACATCCAGGGCAGCTATAGGGTCTCTCCTCTGTGTGAACTCTCATGTGGCTTGACACTTCTTGTTTAGTTTTGAATGTTTTGCCACATTCTGAGCAGCTGAAGGGTCTCTCATCTGAGTGAACTCTAATGTGGCTTGCCACTTCTTTTTTAGTTTTGAATGTTTTGCCACATTCTGAGCAGCTGAAGGGTCTCTCATCTGAGTGAACTCTCATGTGGCTTGCCACTTCTCTTTTAGTTTTGAATGTTTTGCCACATTCTGAGCAGCTTAAGGGTCTCTCATCAGAGTGAACTCTCATGTGATTGGTCCTCAGCTCTTTTGTTTTAAACAATTTACCACATTCTGAGCCGCTGAAGTGTCTCTCATCTGTATGAACTGCCATGTGTTGTACTAGATTATTTTTAGATTTGAATTTTTTGTGACATTCTGAGCAGCTGAACGGTCTCTCCTCTGAGTGAACTCTCATGTGTTGTCCCAGGTCTTTTTTAGTTTTGAATGTTTTGCCACAGTCTGGGCAGCTGAAGGGTCTCTCCCATGTGTGAACTCTCATGTGGCTTGCCAGTTTCTTTTTAGTTTCGACTGTTTTGCCATATTTAGTGCAGCTGAAGGGTCTCTCATCTGAATGAACTGCCATGTGTTGTACTAGATTATGTTTGGATTTGTATTTGTTGTGACACTCTGGGCAGCTGAAGGGTCTCTCCTCTGAGTGAACTCTCATGTGTTGTCCCAGGTCTTTTTTAGTTTTGAATGTTTTGCCACAGTCTGGGCAGCTGAACGGTCTCTCCTCTGTGTGAACTTTCATGTGTTGTCCCAGTTGTCCTTTATTTTTGAATGTTTTGCCACACTCTGGGCAGCTGAAGGGTCTCTCCTCTGAGTGAACTGGCTTGTGGTGCGCCAGTTCTCCTTTAGTTTTGAACGGTTTGCCACAGTCTGGGCAGCTGAAGGGTTTCTCATCTGAGTGAAGTATCATGTGGCTTGCCAGGTTATTTTTAGCTTTGAATGTTTTGCCACATTCTGAGCAGCTGAAGGGTCTCTCATCTGAGTGAACTCTCATGTGGCTTGCCAGGTCGTATTTAGTTTTGAATGTTTTGCCACAATCTGAGCAGCTGAAGGGTCTCTCATCTGAATGAACTGCCATGTGTTGTCCTAGTTTATTTTTAGTTTTGAATGTTTTGCCACAGTTTGGGCAGCTGAATGGTCTCTCCTCTGAGTGAACTGGCTTGTGGTGCATCAGTTCTCCTTTAGTTTTGAACGGTTTGCCACAGTCTGAGCAGCTGAAGGGTCTCTCATCTGAATGAACTGCCATGTGTTGTCCTAGTATATATTTAGTTTTGAATGTTTTGCCACACTCTGGGCAGCCGAAGGGTCTCTCATCTGAATGAACTGACATGTGTTGTCCTAGTGTTTTTTTAGTTTTGAATGTTTTGCCACACTCTGGGCAGCTGAAGGGTTTCTCATCTGAATGAACTGCCATGTGTTTTCCCAGTTCTTTTTTAGCTTTGAATGTTTTGCCACATTCTGAGCAGCTGAAGGGTCTCTCCTCTGAGTGAACTCTCATGTGGCTTGCCACTTCTTGTTTAGTTTTGAATGTTTTCCCACATTCTGAGCAGCTGAAGGGTTTCTCATCTGAATGAACTGCCATGTGTTGTCCTAGTATATTTTTAGTTTTGAATGTTTTGCCACACTCTGGGCAGCTGAAGGGTCTCTCCTCTGAGTGAACTTTCAGGTGGATTGCTAGTTCTTGTTGTGTTTTGAATATTCGACAACACTTTGAGCAAACATGTGATTTCTCAATCCTCTTCAGAATCTTCTTTCTCACTTTTTTCACAGAAAAAAGACTTGACTTTTGTGGTCTTGTATCCTCCCAATTCTCATCACTGCCCTTGGTCTCAGGTTCAGGGGAGTCTTGAGTCTTTTGTTGTATATTTATCTCTGAATCTGAGTTACTGGCTGGTTCTTGCCCTCCATAGTTCTGTTCCTTGCAAATGTTCGGGGGCTCAGTGTTTCCCTGGTCCAGACTGGGACTCCTCTCCTGCTGCTCAGAGAGAAACTCTTCTTTTTTCACCAACACCTGCTGGATATCTGCAAGGCACAGAAAAACAATAACTAAACAGAAGTTGATGAAAACATCAGTAGATAAATAAGCAGATTTAAAAGCTCAATGATAGTCTAAAGATAAGAGTTAGTGTGGTGATTATGTACCAGTGTTACATAATGCTAATTATGTGCTGTCTTGGAGCACCTACCTACCTACCCACCCACCCATCTATCTATATCTATCTATCTATTGAACTAAATTATTATTCAATTGTACATCACAATTGGAGACAGACATGTAGTTTGAAAAAACAAGGAAATTGCAGTGTTTTAAACAGTTTTTTTTCCCGCCCCAATACCCTGCTATAGTGGGTGAGATGTTTATCAAGCCCTCTAAAATAAAGGGGCTAAGGGTATAGAAACACTGACGAGACAAACATGAAAGTTGACTATTCTATCTGAAAAAGTTTTACCCCTCTGAATCCGACAGGATTTTAGCCTGCTGGGCAGCACAAAAACTAAAAATGCCGACTGACAGTACAAAGATTTACATTTTCAAGTAGGCCGCAGAGATAAATCTGGAACATGTGCTTTTCTTGTGCCTTTTCATCATCAAACCAATGTGTGACTCTTAAACTACAAATACTTGACACAGTCCAGCCGTTAATAGGATAAAACAGTATAGGATAGCTGTTCTATTTGTTGTCGCGGTTGTGCAGTACTTCATGTATTCATAGAAAAAAACCTTTTCCTTGAAAAGAAATACTTTTTTTTGCCTTAAAATCATTCCAGGTTTAAACATATTATTTTGCCATTTTGTTAATATGGTTTATTGCAGCCTGTGTGTGGCGCTTGCTTCAGTAAAGGCATTGAAACATGCATCCAGAAGTGTAAGGAAAACTGACCTGCTCTGTGCAGCTTGATCTCGGGTGTTAAAATCACAGCCAGCAGTTTTTTCTGGCGGCGGAGCTCCTCTTCGTATCCAGACTCTGTTCTATTTTCGACCAGGTCCGTCATTACCGCAGCCAGAAGCCGCCGATTAAATAAATCATCGAGATCCTGAAACCCGGACATTTTCCACAAACGCAAGAGCGGAAGCAGAACTTTGTGGTTACCGCGGTACCACGTGGACGACTTCTTCCTCTTCTTTTCCTTTATGAGCGTTTTCTGGTGTGGAAACTGAGCTGAATCCGGTTAGGAGCGAAAATTTAAACCTCGGTATCGGATCACCAGGTTTGAAAAAGTCTCGGTTTATTTGGCTCCGATCTTTTGATTGAAGAATCTGGATTTGGTCGATTATGGAGGTCGAGCAGTAATGTGTTCTATATCTTCTTCCTCTTGGTTAACGGCGGATGGCAACTAGTAGTACTGCTTCTTCTTCTTCTTCTTCTTGGATTCGTTTGGCGGCTGGCATCCAACAATGTAGCGCATTGCCGCCACCTACTGGACTGGAGTGTGGAACAATAGATAATAATAATAATAAATAACTAACCTGTATTCCCTGATTTCTTCTTTACTTTACCCTGAATACCAAAGTCCACTGTTGGCTCCTTAAATACCCACGGAGGGATTTCTGGTAAAGAATTACTTGACACATATTGCATGTTGCATAAACCAACACTTTCGGCTTTTACATTCCCAACCCAGCCCAAACTCCAAAAGTTGGTTTTGCCATGCTCTGAGCATTCCTCTAATATTGCTTTTGCTGGATGCGACCTTTTGTGTCCCTGCAGATATACCCAGTATGCCAGCATGTGCTTTACCCTTCTTATCCTTAGAGGCTCTTCCCCTACCTCAACTTGAAGAGCAGCCACTGGAGAGGTCTTAAACGCCCCATTGCATATCCTCAGCCCCTTAGCCTGCTCCACGTCCAGCTTCTTCAGGTGACTCTCTGCTGCTGACATATAAGCCACACTGCCATAATCAATTCTGGACCTCATCATCATTCTTACATTTATCTCTCACTTTTTCAATATGCTGCTTCCAGGTGAGTTTTTCATCAAATAAAACACCCAAAAATTGTACTACTTTGGCTTGTTCTAAAGTTTGATCATATAGTTTTATTGACACCTCTTTGTGTTGCTTAGCAAAGCATATTACTTGAGTTTTCGCAACTGACAGTTTGAACTCCCACCTATTTGCCCACTGCTCCACTTTATCAACCGCTGCCTGCAGCTTTTTCTGCAGATACTCTTGATTTCTGCCTCTTACCCATAAGGCCCCATCGTCAGCAAATAATGACTTACTTATTCCTCCTCAAATATATCATTGATCATACAATTAAAGAACACTGGACTACACACACTCCCTGGTGGGGTTCCGTTTTCAACCTCATATACTGGAGAGAATTCCTGCCCTACTCTCACCTCTATTGTTCTTCTAAATAAAAAGCTCAGTACCCAGTTATCTAATTTCCCTCCTACTCCCAACTTATCTAATTTGATCAGTAACTCTTCTTTCCATAACATATCATATGCCTTCTCTACGTCGAAGAACACAGCCATCACTATTTCTTTATTTGTCTGTGCTTTTCTAATATCTGACTTCAAACTGAGCACTGAATCCATGGTGTTCCTTCCTTTGCGAAACCCACTTTGATATGAAGAAAAAAGGTCACAACTCTCTAAAAAAAACATCAGCCTTTCTGTCACCATCTTTCCCTAGTTGGGATGTAAGGGCAATTGGCCTATAATTTGATAATTTGTTTCAAAATTGGCACTATAACTGAGTGATTCCATGCCTGTGGAACCTCCCCTGACTCCCATACTTTGTTAAATAACTTCAATATTACCCCCAGCGACCTGTCATCCATGTGATCTAACATACAGTAGCACACATCATCTTTCCCTGGTGAAGACTGCCGAGCTTTGGATACTGCTCTTCTTAATTCCTACAAATTAAAGGGCAGATCTTGATCATCCCCTCTTGCCTGCTTTTTCTTTCTAATCCAAGTGTTTTGTGTCAGCACATTCTGCCTATGCTGCTTTGCTTCTGTTGAGATATTCTCTGAACTATGAACTTGAATCAACGTTTCTGCCAGTAGCGTCGCCTTCTCTAAATTACTAACTGCTGTTCTATCGTCCTTCCTCAGAATTGGGATTGTTATATTTCTTTTTATTCCACTAATTTTTCTAATCATTCCCCAAACATCTGACAGCTGTACCTCCTGCCCTATTCCACTACAGTACTTCCTCCAGCACGCCCGCTTAGCTGCTCTGATCGTCCTTTTCACTACTGCCTGTGACCTTCTGTATTGGATTAATGTCTCTATTGTATGCTGCTTCATTAACTATCTGAATGCCCTGTTACGTGCTTTAATAGCCTGTCTGCAGTTATTATCCCACCATGGTACACTTTTTTCACTTCTGCCCCCGGACACTTTTGGAACTGTCCCATCAGCAGACTGTATTATAGCTGCTACCACTCTCTCATTCCATTCCTCCACACCTGTCCATTGCTCCTCATGTAACTCCTCAAACATATTTCTACTCACTGCCTGATAAGCATCCCACTTAACATTCAGATTTTTCCACCTTGGCACCCTCCTTTCCTCCTCTTGCTGCATTTCTACTCTCACCTTACTAATCACTGGATAGTGATCACTCCCCATTAATATTTCATCTAGCACTTCCCAATCTGTGATACCTGCCATCTCATTGGACATTAAAGGTGAGTCAATGCACTCTCCTTATTTCGTACACAATCATACCTAGTGCCCCTCCCATCATTCATACACACTAACCGTTTATCCTCTATAAATTCTTCCACTATTGAACCATTTGAGTCTGTTCTCTCACTCCCCCATAAAGTGCTATGTGCATTGAAATCCCCACACCACACTATTTTCCCTTGCACTTCCCCCAGTACCTTATTCAGCGTATCCATACTCAATCTCTTGCATGGGTTATAGTAATTAATAACTGCTAGCTCATATCTTCCTGTCCAAATTTTTACCGTTATGGACTCATGATCCGTCCCCATTTGACCTATATTAAACCCTATCCCATCCTTTACAAAGGTAGCTACCCCACCACCTGGCCCATTTTTCCTGTCATTTCTTACACCCATGTACTCATGTATTACAAAATCCCACTGCACCCTCATCCATGTTTCTTGAACACATATAATAGTGGTCTTGTCCTGTAGCCCAGAAATAAACTTCTTAAATTCCTGCCCATTGGTTATGAGACTTCTTGCATTCCATTGCAGTATACTTAGGACCATGATGATCCTCCATTCCATACTGATGACTGCTGTGATGGATTCTGTGAACTGGACCCCCTCCTTTCAGCAGGTCCTCCACTTCCTCCCACCCGACTGCCTCCAGTCCCATATACTCTTCTGCTGCTCTCACTATTATTTTGATTTCTTCAGTTTTTTTGTCTGTTTGCCCTGTACAGTTACCCACCTCAACCATGAACAGTATGAAGTCTCTCTTCCCTACAACCATTGTATCTTCCTTAATTCTTTTGCATCCTTCATGTGTTCTGACTTCTTGCCTTTCAGTTGTCCTGGAATTACTTTCAGTTGCCTGCACCCTCACCCTCCTGTCTGCCTTGGCGTGTGTGATCGAATGTGATGTTTTCATTTGCTGCACTTCTGCTGCTCTCTTACAAACTTCACATCCCCCGTATGCAGAGGTATGCTCCCCTCCACAGTTGCAGCATTTAATTTTAGCTCCAATTTCACATTTCCCATATTCATGTTCCCCAGCACATTTCCCACATCTTTGTTTCCCCTTACACACTGCTGCAACATGCCGATACTTCTGGCATTTGAAGCACCTTAATGGCGGAGGCACATAGAGCCTCACACCGTAGCTCATATATCCTATATGCACTCTTTCAGGGAGTCTCTCTTCATCCTCACTATCTACCCTCTCTGTCTCCATTATCTACTTCATAATCTTCTGAACAAACAATTTTGGTCATAAACCTAATACAATTTCCTGTTAATGTTATTTAAGTTTAAGAGAGGTCTAATGTGACATCAAAAGACCAGGACTCAATACAAGTATCTCCAGAATTCTAATAAGTGAGATAACACACCTCGCCACACTGCATTGCATAATTGTAGAGCACAGGACAGGATAGAGAAGGTTAAGTGCTGCCCCAGCAGAGGGTTATTTCAGACCCAATAAGTCCAGATCATACAAAAAAAATTAAAAGAGACAAGGGATAAGAATAAGAATAACTTTATTGATCCCCAAAGGGAAATAATAGCTAGAGAGCTAGCATAGCTAGAGACCAGTTGTGTCTCTAGCTATGTGTTCATTTTTGCAGAGAGGCTTACAGAATTTAAAGACTGAGACAACCCCCCCTACACACACAAACACACACACACGCACACACACACCTGAAGAGCCATGTAACATTCTTAGACTAGTCTAGTGTCAATATATTCCAATATACGCAGAACAAAAATATCTCTCTCTAGTATTAAGCAACATTTGTAGGTTTGAAATCTGTTACGTTTAACTCTTTCACCACACAGTAAACAACTCAAAATCTTCTCCCCAGCATAAACTAGAAAATGTGAAACCTGACTTCATTTACCAAAGAGTTAGTTTTAAAAAGTTTATCACATCCAGGGCAGCTATAGGGTCTTTCTCCAGTGTGAACTCTCATGTGCTTATGCAGTGTTTGTTCAGTTTTAAATGTTTTGCCACATTCAGTGCAGCTGAAGGGTCTCTCATCTGAGTGAACTCTCATGTGGGGTGCCACTTCTTGTTTAGTTTTGAATGTTTTCCCACATTCTGAGCAGCTGAAGGGTTTCTCATCTGTGTGAACTCTCATGTGGCTTGCCACTTCTTGTTTAGTTTTGAATGTTTTCCCACATTCTGAGCAGCTGAAGGGTTTCTCCTCTGAGTGAACTCTGATGTGGCTTGCCACTTCTTGTTTAGTTTTGAATGTTTTCCCGCATTCTGGGCAGCAGAAGGGTTTCTCCTCTGAGTGAACTCTCATGTGGCTTGCCAGGTTATCTTTAGTTTTGAATGTTTTGCCACATTCTGAGCAGCTGAAGGGTTTCTCCTCTGAATGAACTGCCATGTGTTGTCTCAGTTCTTTTTTAGTTTTGAATGTTTTCCCACATTCTGAGCAGCTGAAGGGTTTCTCATCTGTGTGAACTCTCATGTGGCTTGCCACTTCTTGTTTAGTTTTGAATGTTTTCCCGCATTCTGGGCAGCAGAAGGGTTTCTCCTCTGAGTGAACTCTGATGTGGCTTGCCACTTCTTGTTTAGTTTTGAATGTTTTGCCACATTCTGAGCAGCTTAAGGGTTTCTCATCTGAATGAACTGCCATGTGTTGTCCTAGTATATTTTTAGTTTTGAATGTTGTGCCACACTCTGGGCAGCTGAAGGGTCTCTCCTCTGAGTGAAATTTCAGGTGTTTTGCTAGTTCTTGACGTGTTTTGAATATTCGACAACACTTTGAGCAAACACGTGATTTCTCAAGCCTCTTCAGCATCTTCTTTCTCACTTTTTTCACAGAAAAAAGACTTGACTTTTGTGGCCTTGTTTCCTCCCAATTCTCATCACTGCCCTCAGTCTCAGGTTCAGGGGAGTCTTGAGTCTTTCGTTGTATATCTATCTCTGAATCTGAGTTACCGGCTGGATCTTGTCCTCCATAATTCTGTTCCTTGCAAATGTTCGGGGGCTCAGTGTATCCCTGGTCCAGAGTGGGACTCCTCCCCTGCTGCTCAGAGAGAAACTCTTCTTTTTTCACCAACACCTTCTGGATATTTGCAAGGCACAGAAAAACAACAACTAAACAGAAGGTAATGAAAACACCAGTAGATGTAAAAGCAGAATTTAAAACTCAATGATATTCTTAAGAAAGATAAGAGTTAGTGTGGGGATGATGAACTAATGTTACCCCCTCTAGTGTTGGACTTAATTAGCTCACCAGCTATGTATGTGCTGTCTCGGAGCAGCAGACTATTTGTCAACAGTCCTGACAAGAACTGAACAATGTCAGCAGCATGGATTTAGTTGAAGAGGCACCACTAAATCTGTTGTTATTCTCATATCAGTTTCAGCATTTGATATGATGCTCATTGATGTGCTCCTGAAACTTCTCGGGCAAAACTGTATGGATGCAGCCTGGTGCAAAAAGCTGCTGCACCATAGTTCCAGGTAACCAATCACAGTGTTGATAAAACACTTAACCCAGGTAACCAAGAGCAGCATTGTGAGAGTTCACACTAAGAGCTCAGAATTCAGCTCACATTTAGTTCACATGGATCCAAATCAACTAGGTTGCACTGATAGTTTGTGTGTCTGTCAGCAGAGCCTCCCGAACTTCAATTGCTAATCTCCTCACTGACATTTATTGAAGTTATTAATTATTCAATTGTACATCACAATTGGAGACAGACATGTACTTTGAAAAAACAAGGAAATTTCAGTGTTTTAAACAGTTTCTTTTTCGCCCCAATACCCTGCTATAGTGGGTGAGATGTTTATCAAGCCCTCTAAAATAAAGGGGCTAAGGGTATAGAAACACTGAAGAGACAAACATGAAAGTTGACTATTCTATCTGAAAAAGTTTTACCCCTCTGAATCAGACAGGATTTTAGCCTGCTGGGCAGCACAAAAACTAAAAATGCAGACTGACAGTACATAAATTTACATTTTCAAGTAGGCCGCAGAGATAAATCTGGAACATGTGCTTTTCTTGTGCCTTTTCAGAATCATCATCAAACATATGTGTGACTCTTAAACTACAAGTACTTGATGTTTTTCCCATTTTGCTCACTGATAAAGTACAAAAAATACCGCACGAGTTTTTACACAAAACTTGAGCCTGTGGAGAAGCCAAAGATTTTCGCACAGACCTGCAGGGTAATTTCCCGACCAGCAGGTGACACTGTGGCTCAGTCTACCAGTACTAAGAAATAAAGCGTGACCCACAGAGTGAGCAAGAGCTGAAAAGCGACACCGTCACGCTGTTAATAGGATAAAACAGGATAGGATAACTGTTGTATTGTTGCGGTTGTGCAGAACTTCATGTATTCATAAGAAAAAAAAGCTTTTCCTCGTAAATAAATACTTTTTTTGCCCTTAAGTCATTTCAGGTTTAATCATATTATTTTGCCATTTCATTAATATGGTTTATTGCAGCCTGTGTGTGGCGCTTGCTTCAGTAAAGGCATTGAAACATGTATCCAGAAGTGTAAGGAAAACTGACCTGCTCTGTGCAGCTTGATTTCGGGTGTTAAAATCACAGCCAGCAGTTTTTTCTGGCGGCGGAGCTCCTCTTCGTATCCAGACTCTGTTCTATTTTCGACCAGGTCCGTGATTACCGCAGCCAGCAGCCGCCGATTAAATAAATCATCAAGATCCTGAAACCCGGACATTTTCCACAAACGTAAGAGCGAAAGCAGACGTTTGTGGTTACCGCGGTACCACGTGGACGACCTCTTCCGCTTCTTTTGTCTTTATGAGCGTTTTCTGGTGTGGAAACTGTTGAAGTTACTCCAAACTTCCCGGAGTCCGTTCATGGAGACTGTAACAGAGGATTCAATGAGGCAAAAAGGTGTCTTCAACAAACCTTTTATTTCGGCACAGCAAATAACACAAGATATCTTGGAGAGCACATCAACCCAATGGTATCTCTGAGGTGGTCTGATTACTATTTTTCAGTAGTTAATATTTATACACTTGAGGCGTCTCATCATCTTTATGGGCGGAGAGTTTACATAACTAGCAGCCCCTAGTGTTTCTCTATGGACAAACAAGCACGTATTGTTCTACTGTTTTTTTTCCTGACTGAAACCGTGGTGTCAGGGAAGTTGACCTTGGATGCATCCAGTGCTTGTCTCCTTTTTATCATATTTGCGTCATGTATTCCAATCTTTCACAGAGTTCCCACTAGGCAGACTGCTGGGCATGCAAACCCTCCCTGTACACCCCCACATCTTCTCAGGACAGAGTGATCTTCCTCCCTGGTCCTGTTGTTCACATCTCTGACTGGCACCTGCACATCTGTTATGAAAGGCACATCATTATCCAAGGCATATGTCAGGGCCATAGAGCACTTTTATAAGGAACACTTTTAATGAATGACTGTGATGATTATAAAGCATAGTTTTTAATAAATTACTTATGATTATAATACACACTTCAAATTAATGACTGTTAAGGCAGAACAGTTTAAAACCATACTTACCAACCCTTGGCACTTCTAGGCATAAGCTAAAATCCTTCTATACTGAAAGTCTCTGTTCTATACATTGTGACACAGTGATCAATTGCCCCTGTGTTAGCATTAAACCTTCTTATCTGACTCATCAGTACATGTCCGCAATGAGCACACAAAATAATGTAAACACAATAAGAAAACAGTTAATTACCTGAAAAATGATAAAATGATTGTCATCAATGATTAAATGATTAGCATGAACCTGTGAGTTCCCACAAATTAGAGCTGAATCCGGTATGGAGCGAAAATTTAAACCTTGGTATCGGATCACCAAGTTTGAAAAAGTCACGGTTTATTTGGCTCCAATCTTTTGATTGCAGAGTCTGGAGAGGTCTAATGTGACATCAAAAAGCCAGGACTCAATACAAGTATCTTCAGAATTGTAATGAGTAAAACAAAAGAAAAAAACACACACACCTTGCTACACTGCATTGCATAATTGTAGAGCACAGGACAGGATAGAGAAGGTTAAGTGCTGCCCCAGCAGAGGGTTATTTCAGACCCATTATCTAGATCATACAAAAAAAATTACAAAAGATACAAGGGATAAGAATAAGAATAACTTTATTGATCCCTGAAGGGAAATCATAGCTAGAGAGCTAGCATAGCTAGAGACACAACGGGTCTCTAGCTATGTGTTCATTTTTGCAGAGAGGCTTCCAGAATTTAAAGACTGAGACAACCCCTCCTACACACACACACACACCTCTGAAGAGCCACGTGACATTCTTGGACTAGTCTAGTGTCAGTATATTCTATTATACACAGAACAAAAATGTCTCTCTCTATTATAGAAACAACATTTGTAGATTTGGAAAATGTAACGTTTTCCTCCTTCACCACACAGTAAACAACTCAAAATCTACTCCCCAGCATAAACTAGAAAATGTGAAATCTGACTTCATTTTCCAAAGAGTACTTCCCTTCAAACACAGCAGCCAGTGGGTTTCTTCATCATTTGAGATTAATGTGTGTATTGAGTTCTTGTTTGGTTTTATACAGTTTATCACATCCAGGGCAGCTATAGGGTCTTTCTCCAGTGTGAACTCTCATGTGTGTTATCAATTCAGGTTTTCTTTGGAAAAGCAGCTAAAGGGTCTCTCCTCTGTGTGAACTCTCATGTGTCTTGCCAGGTCGTATATAGTTTTGAAATTTTTGCCACATTCAGTGCAGCTGAAGGGTCTCTCCTCTGAGTGAATCGTCTTGTGGTTCACCAGATGGGCTTTAGTTTTAAATGTATTGCCACATTCTGAGCAGCTGAAGGGTCTCTCCTCTGAATGAAATTTTGTGTGTTGTGCCAGGTCTTATTTAGTTTTGAATGTTTTGCCACATTCTGAGCAGCTGAAGGGTCTCTCCTCTGAATGAACTATCATGTGTTGTCCCAGTTCTTTTTTAGTTTTGAAATTTTTGCCACATACAGTGCAGCTGAAGGGTCTCTCCTCAGAATGAACTATCATGTGTTGTCCCAGTTCTCTTTTAGTTTTGAAATTTTTGGCACATTCAGTGCAGCTGAAGGGTCTCTCCTCTGAGTGAACCGTCTTGTGGTTCACCAGAATGGCTTTTGTTTTAAATGCACTGCCACATTCTGAGCAGCTGAAGGGTCTCTCCTCTGAATGAACTCTCATGTGGTGCGCCAGGTCGTATTTAGTTTTGAATGTTTTGCCACATTCTGAGCAGCTGAAGGGTCTCTCCTCTGAATGAACTGCCATGTGTTGTCCCAGTTCTTTTTTAGTTTTGAAATTTTTGCCACATTCAGTGCAGCTGAAGGGTCTCTCCTCTGAGTGAATCGTCTTGTGGTTCACCAGATGGGCTTTAGTTTTGAATGTTTTGCCACATTCTGAGCAGCTGAAGGGTCTCTCCTCTGAATGAAATTTTGTGTGTTGTGCCAGGTCGTATTTAGTTTTGAATGTTTTGCCACATTCTGAGCAGCTGAAGGGTCTCTCCTCTGAATGAACTATCATGTGTTGTCGCAGTTCTTTTTTAGTTTTGAAATTTTTGCCACATTCAGTGCAGCTGAAGGGTCTCTCCTCTGAGTGAACCGTCTTGTGGTGCACCAGAATGGCTTTTGTTTTAAATGCATTGCAACATTCTGAGCAGCTGAAGGGTTTCTCATCTGTGTGAACTCTCATGTGGCTTGCCACTTCTTGTTTAGTTTTGAATGTTTTCCCACATTCTGAGCAGCTGAAGGGTTTCTCCTCTGAGTGAACTCTCATGTGGCTTGCCACTTCTTGTTTAGTTTTGAATGTTTTCCCGCATTCTGAGCAGCTGAAGGGTTTCTCCTCTGAGTGAACTCTGATGTGGCTTGCCACTTCTTGTTTAGTTTTGAATGTTTTCCCGCATTCTGGGCAGCTGAAGGGTTTCTCCTCTGAGTGAACTCTCATGTGGCTTGCCAGGTTATCTTTAGTTTTGAATGTTTTGCCACATTCTGAGCAGCTGAAGGGTCTCTCCTCTGAATGAACTGCCATGTGTTGTCTCAGTTCTTTTTTAGTTTTGAATGTTTTCCCACATTCTGAGCAGCTGAAGGGTCTCTCCTCTGAGTGAACTCTCATGTGGCTTGCCAGTTCTCCTTTAGTTTTGAATGTTTTGCCACATCCGGAGCAGCTGAAGGGTCTATCTTCTGAGTGAACTGCCATGTGTTGTGCCAGTTCTCTTTTAGATTTGAAAATTTTGCCACACTCTGGGCAATTGAAGGGTCTCTCCTCTGAATGAACGCTCATGTGCATTGTCACTTCGTATTTAGTTTTGAATGTTTTGCCACACTGCCTGCAGCTGAAGGGTTTCTCATCTGAGTGAACTCTCATGTGACTGGTCCTCAGCTTTTTTGTTTTAAACAATTTACCACACTCTGGGCAGCTGAAGAGTTTCTCATCTGAATGAACTGCCATGTGGTTTGCTAGTGTTTTTTTAGTTTTGAATGTTTTGCAACATTCTGAGCAGCTGAAGGGTCTCTCCTCTGAGTGAACTCTCATATGTTTTGTCAGTTTTCCTTTAGTTTTGAATGTTTTGCCACACTCAGGGCAGCTGAAGGGTTTCTCCTCTGAGTGAACTATCATGTGTTTTACCAGTTCTCCTTTAGTTTTGAATGTTTTGCCACAGTCTGGGCAGCTGAAGGGTCTCTCATCTGAGTGAACTCTCATGTGGCTTGCCAGGTCGTATTTAGTTTTGAATGTTTTGGCACATTCTGGGCAGCTGAAGGGTCTCTCCTCTGAGTGAACTTTCAGGTGTTTTTCTAGTTCTTGTTGTGTTTTGAATACTTGACAACATTTTGAGCAAACATGTGATTTCTCAAGCCTCTTTAGCATCTTCTTTCTCACTTTTTTCACAGACATTAGACTTGACTTTTGTGGCCTTGTATCCTCCCAATTCTCATCTCTGCCCTCGGTCTCAGGTTCAGGGGAGTCTTGAGTCTTTCGTTGTATATTTATCCCTGAGTAGTTACTGGCTGGATCTTGTCCTCCATAATTCTGTTCCTTGCAAATGTTCGGGGGCTCAGTGTTTCCCTGGTCCAGAGTGGGACTCCTCTCCTGCTGCTCAGAGAGAAACTCTTTTTTCACCAACACCTGCTGGATATCTGCAAGGCACAGAAAAACAATAACTAAACAGAAGTTGATGAAAACATCAGGAGATATGAAAGCAGATTTAAACACTCAATGATAGTCTCAAAAAGATAAGAGTTAGTCTGGGGATTATGGACTAATGTTGCCCCCTCTAGTGTTGGACTTAATTAGCTCACCAGCTATTAAAAGCAGACTATTTCTCAATAGTTCTGACAAGAACTGAACAATGTCAGCAGCATGGATTTAGTTGAAGAGGCACCACTAAATCTGTTGTTATTCTCATATCAGTTTCAGCATTTGATATGATGCTCATTGTTGTGCTCCTGAAACTTCTGGGGCAAAACTGTATGGATGCAGCCTGGTGCAAAGAGCTGCTGCACAATAGTTCCAGGCAACCAATCACAGTGTTGATAAAACACTTAACCCAGGTAACCAAGAGCAGCATTGTGAGAGTTCATACTAAGAGCTAAGAGTTCAGTTCACATTTAGTTCACATGGATCCAAATCAAATAGGTTGCAGTGATAGTTTGTGTGTCTGTCAGCAGAGCCTCCCAAACTTCAATTTCTTATCCCCTCACTGACATTTATTGAACTAAATTATCATTAAATTGTATATCACAATTGGAGACAGACATGTACTTTGAAAAAACAAGGAAATTTCAGTGTTTTTTTTCTTCCCGCCCCAATACCCTGCTATAGTGGGTGAGATGTTTATCAAGCCCTCTAAAATAAAGGGGCTAAGGGTATAGAAACATTGAAGAGACAAATATGAAAGTTAACTATTCTATCTGAAAAAGTTTTACCCCTCTGAATCAGACAGGATTTAAGCCTGCTGGGCCGCACAAAAACTAAAAATGCAGACTGACAGTACAAAGTCAAAGATTTACATCTTCAAGTAGGCCGCAGAGATACACCTGGAACATGTGCTTCCTTGTGCCTTTTCAGAATCATCATCAAACCAATGTGTGACTCTTAAACTACAAATACTTGACACAGTCCAGCAGTTAATAGGATAAAACAGTATAGGATAGCTGTTCTATTTGTTGTCGCGGTTGTGCAGTACTTCATATATTCGTAATAAAAAACTTTTCCTTGAAAATAAATAGTTTTTTGCCCTTTAGTCATTTCAGGTTTAATCATATTATTTTGCCAGGCATTGAAACATGTATCCAGAAGTGTAAGGAAAACTGACCTGCTCTGTGCAGCTTGATTTCGGGTGTTAAAATCACAGCCAGCAGTTTTTTCTGGCGGCGGAGCTCCTCTTCGTATCCAGACTCTGTTCTATTTTCGACCAGATCCGTGATGACCGCAGCCAGCAGCCGCCGATTCAATAAATCATCGAGATCCTGAAACCCGGACATTTTCCACAAACGCAAGAGCGAAAGCAGCGAAAACAGAACTTTGTGGTTACCGCGGTACCACGTGGACGACTTCTTCCTCTTCTTTTTACTTTGTAAGCGTTTTCTGGTGCGGAAACTGAGCTGAATCGGTTTGGAGCGAAAATTTGAACCTCGGTTTCGGATCACCAGGTTTGAAAAAGTCAAGGCTTATTTGGCTCCGATCCTTTGTTTGCAGAATCTGGATTTGGTCGATTATGGGAGGTCGAGCAGAAATGTGTACTTCTTTATCTCCTTCTTGGTTAACGGCGGATGGCAACTAGTAGTACTGATTTCGGTCGACGACCTATAAAGAACTAGCATGGGGGGAATAGTGGGACTTCACACGACGTCATCTCCACTTCCGGTTTTACCTATAGCAGGCAAGAGTACCCAGATGCAGCGCCAAGATGGCGGACCCAAAGATAAAAAACCACATTTACAAAACGCAATAAGTTTCCGCATTACCTCCGATTGGCGGACCCAAAACATGAACTTTGAACTTCTGCTTTGCGATGCCAGAACAGTAGGTGGCGGTATGCACCTACACTTTCTGACGGCAAAATTTACAGAAGAAGAAGAACTCTCAGGAAGTTTGAAAAGAAGCAAGCCGTCCGCATTCATTCAATCTCACCTCCGACCACTCAAACTAACCCTAACCCTGCATTCCATTGTTTCCATCATGGGAAATCTAAGTGACGCTCTCAAATTAACAGGAACATTGCGCAGAAGATATGTCCTGGGCAATGGACTGAGAAAACGGGCAGAGATTTGGAGGTATTTGTGCATGCTTTATATTACAGTTGAAAAGTGTATAACAGCTTTCCAATGCTGTTACTTGTGGCGAACACCTTTTTGCTTGAGTTGATGCGTGCCCGCAGTTGGAATAATGTCACATGTCACACACATTTTCTGTTGTTTTGATTTATTTACTCATTCATCATTTTATGTGCGCACCTCTCCTAATCAACCCACCCATTAAATAGACAGGCACAATAGCACCATCTGCTGGCACAAAAAATACATAACAATAAACTGCAAAACCCCAATCTGGCTCCTACAAAGTGTATGTGACAAGATGATTAACGTTTGCTTTTGTTAAATCAGGGCTTCCCCAGCCAGGACTTCGGCTCAGACTGTGGCATATTCATGTTGATGGTAGGTCATAACGAGCTGTAATGCACAAATATTGTATCTAGAATAACTTTCCAACATGGACTTTTTTAAAGTTATCTCACATGTTGTCTCATAATTTTTTTTTTAAAGTCTGCCATGTACATCGTTATGGAGTCACAGTTTGACTACTCAGTTGTAAGTACTTTTCAACACGCAGTGTCATCCTCAAGATTGTATTTTGTATTGTGCACTAAAATGAAGCACAAACAACAATTTCAGCATGACATGCCTGTTTGGCGGCGATGGTGGTGCCTGTTGCTCCTGGAGAACAATTCTTTGAACAGGTAGACAGTTTAAGTAAACTAGATGTCCTAATTAACTGGAAGACAATCAATATATTGTACTTAAAGACATATTGTCATTACAGTTGTGGGAAAATCTTCGCCCACTGGACCAAAGAATGTCAAGAGCTCATTGCTGGAAAGCATACTCCGGTCTTCAGTCTAAAGAGGAAGGCAGAGCAGCAGGACATAGAGGTTAGAAAATTGCCTTGTAAAAACAGTATTATCTCAGTGGGAGTCCTTCAAAATGCACACAGTTGTATGGATCAACATTGTCTCGATGTAATTGGTAATTGATGTTACTTTTCAAATTGCCTTGTCAAGGAAACCATGACGCAGACGGTATCGGATGTCCAAAGAATGTGCATGGCAGATTCAATGCAATTCTGTGTCTACCAGACATCGAACAACACAGGAGAGAGGTGTGTTGCAGACTCAATTTAATAAATGCAATTATCGGGGCCTATTCAGTGATTTTCCATGAAGTGACCTCTTTTACATATAGTTTAAATGCACGAATCATGCAGGAAAATTATTTATACATTCAAATGTGCTGCAGAGGTATAATCAATTGGACAGCGTGTTTGTTTAATATTATGTTTGTCTCTCATTTGATCAGATTGCTTTACCCTGAGGTAAACGTCATAAAATGGGTCCAGTGCAAGACGTGCAGGGGCTGGCTGCATCAGGATTGTGCTGGGATTGAAATGGATTTGTTTGACTGCGGGTGTGAGGACTCCATTGAGCATCCTCGGTATAACATAATTTATCAAGGAAACATAGTATCAGTCAAAAATACGAGGCTCAAAGGATGAAAAAATGAGGGCTTGCTCTTTTCTTATTTCTCTGCAGGATCAAGGATGCTGTTGACAGTTGAGGAATTCATGCTGTCTTTTCTAAGACACAGATCAAGGTTGCTTTTGAATGCACTATCAGTTGTTAAAGCCACCGTTTCTTTTTCAGATGATTACATTTTTGTCTCTTGCTCTTTGGTTTCAGACATTACACGATGATCTACTGTCTGGAAAGATCCGCTCCAACAGAATGTTCCTTTGGAGGAATCCCGCCACCTCACTCCGACTAAAGCAGCATCTTAAGATAAGGACACTAAGTTGGAGTGAGCAGCGCGTAAGTAAAAATGCCATCCATCATGAGTATTTTTACTCTCAGGGGTGTTACATTTGAAAGGTGTTTACTTTCTGTGTTTTTCTTCAATAGATGTTCGAGCTCCTGCGGTTCATTGAGGTGGCAACAAACATTTCTAAAAAAATAAAGAGAGGCGAGATTCATCTGCTTGATTTCGTTTTTGACGTCATGCTCCCAGAGGTGAGTAGATCAAACTATATAGCTTGCTTTGAAAATTGATGATATTGTTAAGAGGTTGTTCTTATTCATTTGGAAAGCTCAAGAACAACAATTAACCCATACTGCATAACTTCAATTGTTCACATTATTTGACTGTTTTTCAGCTTTTGATCAAAGCACTGAAGGAGCATGGCATCAACCGGTTCAGAGCAGAGCTGATGATGGCCTGTGGCAACGTGTTTTAAGACCCCCACCACACCGACGGCAGTGCTGAATTTTGTATATATATATATTTTTTTACTGTTCACAATTTTGTTTGGAAAAAATTAAAGAAATCTTCAAAGCAGTTGTATGACAATTTCCCATTTCTTTACACAGTCTGTAATGATATCGCTATTCAATTGTTTTTGCTATATGGCTCTTCTGAACCTTAAAGAGATCATGTGACTTGTGTCTCTACAACTATTGTATACTTGGATTTTGCACAGTCAAGCAATCCTGAAGAGGTTCACCAGGAAGCACACCATTTCATAAATTATGTCCCTGGTTACACAATGTTACTAAAGGATGGGGGGAGTAAATTTGTGCAGCAACATAAGCACTCTCATAAAACATAATTATGAACAACAGAAAATATGTGAGGGTCAGGGCAACATTGTTGACATTAAACGAGGTCCTAATAGGAGTGGAGAAACAAGGTCACAGAAAAGTTAAGAAACATTGATGTGCTGTGTAATAAAGCTATTGGAGAGAAAAGTTCGAAAACACTGTTATATGATGTGTAACGAGAGGTTAAAACAGTCCATACTTGTAGCAAACTCTTACAAAAGAATTTGAGTAAGATGATAACTTCTACATACATTTACCTATTCTGACAAATTATCAGAATATGAGGACATCAGGCTATATATACATATTACTGTAAATCAGAACAAAACAGTAGTCATAATTAATACATAAACGTTTTATTTTGATTTTTAGCTCAATAATAAATTTAATTCGATTCTTATGGAATGAACGGAGCAAAAAAAAAAGGATCCGGCGACTAAATCCGACTACCTGAAGTATTTCGGCGCCGGAAGTCCGCCAATGAGAAAGCCTTTCCACCGGAAGTAATTGTTTTGGGTCCGCCAATCGGAGGTAATGCGGAAACTTATTGCGTTTTGTAAATGTGGTTTTTTATCTTTGGGTCCGCCATCTTGCGCTGCATCTGGTCTCCTCTCATAGCAGGGGTTCGCCTCGATGTCACTCAACTTCCGGTTTGCTTCCCGGTTAGCCATAGGGAAAATCTCTTTTTTTTCTTTCATATCAAAAACTGGCAACTACAACTCCGACATTCCAAACAAAGGAACATTGAACAAACAACATGGAGCACAGACTACCGTTTTCTCATCCTCAGCACCCCCAAAGAAATGTAATGCTTAACCAGAGATTGGGTGACCCCACCACAACAAATCACGGCCTTTTATAACCTCCTGTCCCAGAAAGGTAGACAGTCCGCCTTTTCCATTTCAAAGAGACAAAGATGTTAATTACCAGCAGGACCCCCACACTGAACAAACATTCTCTCCCTGGCACGAGTTCAGCGTGTTTTAAATGCTGTGTTTTGTCTACCTCACCAGAATATACAGTTTAGTCAATTACTAGTATAGGTTGACAAGGTTATATTCAAACTTAGTATTATCACTTATGCGTTTCTAATGCCTTATAGTTTTTCTTTGGGAAAAGATAATTTGATTTCCGTCTCTCCAGCTTTCAAAGAGCTTGCTTATCCTTAGGTTTTAAAATACCAGGAAAACAGGTAATAAGGTTTGCTTTGAACTTATTGTTGTGGTTTTGATGCATCTGCTCATAAGAAATAATGATTGTAATTATATCATATGTAATTTGATCAACTGCATTATTCACATCTTGATGACTCCAAAATCAGGCAAGTAGACTGTGTCGAGTTTGAGAAGACATTTCGCCACTTATCCAAGAAGCTTTTTCAGTTCTAGAATAGCTACTGAGGGGAGCAGGTATTTTTCTTACAGGAGAAGGGGAAAAACAACGACTGGGGAAGAGTTGGAATGAATGGGTCATAGAAACCCATCTTCGGGTATTTATCCCGAGAGTCGTTAACCTGAGTGGGCTGTTAACTACCCCTTCCAGGTGAGGTGTTGTGGTCACATGGTCCAAGGTGTGAGTGTTTGTGGAGCTTCCTGGGGAGAGAGCTAAGAATTGCATCGCAAGAGCCATAGAGGTTATGCTTGAGTCCACCTCCTCTGTTCAAAGAGGGTTTCTCCAGTCTGGTGAAGATGGCTTCTTTAACTCCTCTTTCAAACCATCTGTCCTCTCTAGCCAACACATGTACATTGCTGTCCTCAAAAGAGTGACCCATGTCCTTTAAGTGAAAATGGACAGCTGAGTCCTGACCTGAGGAAGTGGCTCTCCTGTGTTGAGCCATGAGCTTGTGAAGCAGTTGTTTAGTTTCCCCAATGTACAGGTCAGAACATTCCTCACTGCACTGGACAGCATACACTACATTACTCTGTTTATGTCTAGGTGTTTTGTCCCTTTGATGGACCAGCTTCTGCCTGAGAGTGTTTTCAGGCTTGAAGTGAACAGGAATATGGTGTTTGCCAAAGATCCTCTTGAGTTTTCCTGACAAGCCTGAAACGTATGGGATTACAATGTTCTTGCGTCTCTCCCCCCTTGTCCAGTGTTCTTCATCTTCCTGTTCTTTACAAAAGCCCAAATTAGGATATCTGCAGGTTTTCAGGGCATTTTTAATGTATTTTTGTTCCTTCTTTCTTAGTGGGAATTCTTTCGGCCTGGTGGTTGCGTGTTCTGATAACACCCAGCTTGTGCTGCAGAAGATGGTGGGAATCAAAAAGTAAATATTGATCCAAGTGTGTGGGGGTTTCCTGTACACTTCAACGTTGGTACACTCAAAGCATTATAGATTAACAAATGTCCGATCAAACACTTTACATATCAATTCACTGATGGGATAAAGGAATTTCTTGTTACAGCTTTCCTATGAAAGCTTGGACAGCCATCTTTTAAAACTTGTCTCAAATTATGCTTAGTGAATTCTGTTTAGTGTTTCTTTTTGAAGCCTTAAAATAAAAATAAAAAAATATTCTCAGGAATATAACAGCTGGGGTAATTGTGGAGCTATTTTACAGCTCTACCGCAGGAACTCAAAGTGAAAGAGTTTCATCACAAAATAAACAATTGTTACTGTTTTATCCATCTTTATTTTAAATATTTACATGACAAGTTACTCTACTGGTTAAATGGCACAAGTACGATGCGGGTGAACTCTGGGTGATTCTCAAAGTTTTTGAATCTGCTAGCAAAACTGCAACTTAATTCATGGAAGTCACAAGCCCCTCTGGCCATAGTGGTGGTGTTAAAAGAATATAGCAATACCTCAAAGCTGAGTCGACTGAATACACCTTATTGGAACAAAAAGTACATTTGACAAAAGCAAACATGCCTATAGCACAGAGAGATAAACCCAAAGCTTAGGTCAATGCCTCTTGTAGGCACAATGGATCAAGTAAAATTATTACCAGCTCTGTCATACTGCCTTGGATTTCTACATTTTATGCAAAAACTTCACCTTTTGAGTTTGTTTTTCCATTACATGAAGTTAACAGTTGCTATAAATTTGGTCAGCTGGAGGCAGTAACAACAGAATTGTTGGGTGACAAAACAAAGAACACTGAGGAGTTACAAGAAAAAGTCATGGTGATTTCAGTACATGAGGAGACAAAACCTTCATAACAACAATAACAAAAGTACAAAGATGGTGCATTAGATGCACTTAAATTTAAGGCAATGTGGATATAATGTGTAGTATGCTCAAGAACAGCAGGGGTAAACAACAATGGCAGAAAGTGTTTGACAGGTAGTTGTGTCAAGTATGGACAGATCTTATCCACAATAATTTAAAGAAGTCATTCAGTTTGCAATGACTTAGCAATAATGTGTTGTATAGAAAAAGACATTATGACAGTACCTTGAATTGTACAAAAAACCTCCCAGTTAAGCATTTAAGATGACTCTAATCACAGTGATAAATCAGGAAGTGTTCCCTTTGATAACTTTAGATAAGTTAATGTGTTCATTTATTTTGTATCAAACATTATAACTGGCAGCTGTTTAGCTCTGATGCCCTCTCTTCTGGTGAGTCCAAGGATGCCCCACTGAGAAACCTGAATGTTCTTTTCAAAATAATTTCAAATAGTGTTGAAGTTAGGATTTTAGGTCTAGGAAGAGCTGATTTCTAGAACAGGTTTAGGGCTGGAGGTTATGTTAATCGTTCAATAACCTGAGCTAGGAGGGAGACATGGGGAATACGACAGATTTAAAATGTGCTTCCAGACCCAACTGAAAGTAAATGTAGATGAAAACCCTTGCATCTGGGTCTATATAAAAGGTCCAAGGCTTTACTTGATACCATAACAGGTCCAGTACAATAATCCAAATATGAGATGAAAATGTGGAGTCACAGGGTGCCTTCACTCTTTTCTGTATTTTTAGCACAAAGTTCTAGAGAGGGCTATAACTGTTTTTTGTTTGATTTTTTTAAGGTTGAAATCTGGTTGAAGACGGTTTGATCTGGTTGGTACATCTTTCAAAATGTGACTTCAATACAAAAATGCTCACTGGCTTACCTCACTTAACTAATTCACCAAGCAAATGGGCTTACAGCAGAATAATAGGGAGGACAGGTAGAGTCTGTCTCACAGTACATTTATGTGTAGCAGCAGTTGCCCTGCCGTCCTTATTCTAACAAAGTTGTGGTCATTATTCCCCATTAGTGTACCACAACAACACACTTAAGCCTCCTACTTTAAAGAGATCCAGTACCCAAGCTAGCCTCTACTGTGTCACTGTCTTTGTTTTGCTTACTTTTGTTGGCTGTGGCAGGTACATTTGATAAAAACACAAACTTAAGATTTGTGGTTTATAGCTGATCAATTGCCAGCACAGAAAAGAAACTGGAAAAGCACTCTGAGAGCGCAGACCTCCGCCAAGCAGCTCATGTCCCCCCTTATATTGTGATTCACACCAAAACTTTTACTGTTGTGTCTTTATTAACCTTTATTTGTGTTTAAAAAATGTCTCTCTCTAGTATGAAACAACATTTGTTGGTTTGAAAAATGTTACATTTAACTCCTTCACAACACAGTAAACAACTCAAAATCTTCTTCCCAGCATATACAAGAAAATGTGAAACCTGACTTCCTTTTCCAAAGAGTTCTTCCCTTCAGACACAGCAGCCAGTGGACTTCTTAACCCTTTGAGATTGAATGTGTATATTCAGCGCTTGTTTAGTTTTATACAGTTTATCACATCCAGGGCAGCTATAGGGTCTTTCTCCAGTGTGAACTCTCATGTGTTGGGCCAGTTCTCCTTTAGTTTTGAATGTTTTGCCACATTCTAAGCAGCTGAAGGGTCTCTCATCTGAGTGAACCGCCATGTGTCTTTCCAGAGAAGTTTTAGTTTTTAATGTTTTGCCACACTGCATGCAGCTGAAGGGTTTCTGATCTGAGTGAACTCTCATGTGGTGCGCCAGGTGTTTTTCTGATTTAAATGTCTGGCCACATTTTGGGCAGCTGAAGGGTCTCTCCTCTGTGTGAACTGTCATGTGTGGGGCCAGTTCTTTTTTAGTTTTGAATGTTTTGCCACAGTCTGAGCAGCTGAAGGGTTTCTTATCTGAGTGAACTCTCATGTGATTGGTCCTCAGCACTTTTGTTTTAAACAAGTTACCACACTCAGGGCAGCTAAAGGGTTTCTCATCTGAGTGAACTGCCATGTGTTTTCCTAGGATATTTTTAGTTTTGAATGTTTTGCCACACTCTGAGCAGCTGAAGGGTCTCTCCTCTGAGTGAACCGTCATGTGTTGGGCCAGGTCTCCTTTAGTTTTGAATGTTTTGCCACACTCTGAGCAGCTAAAGTGTTTCTCCTCTGTGTGAACTCTCATGTGTTTTGCCAGTTCCCCTTTAGTTTTGAAAGGTTTGCCACAGTCTGTGCAGCTGAAGGGTTTCTCAACTGAATGAACTGCCATGTGTTGTCCTAGTATATTTTTAGTTTTGAATGTTTTGCCACACTCTGGGCAGCTGAAGGGTCTCTCCTCTGAGTGAACTCTCATGTGTTGGGCCAGTTCTCCTTTAGTTTTGAAATTTTTGCCACACTCTGGGCAGCTGAAGGGTCTCTCCTCTGTGTGAACTCTCCTGTGGATTGCCTGTTCTCCTTTGGTTTTGAATGTTTTGCAACACTGCATGCAGCTGAAGGGTTTCTGCTCTGAGTGAACTCTCATGTGGTGCGCCAGGTGTTTTTTTGTTTTAAATGTCTGGCCACAGTCTGGGCAGCTGAAGGGTCTCTCCTCTGTGTGAACTGTCATGTGTTGGGCCAGGTCTCCTTTAGTTTTGAATGTTTTGCCACATTCTGAGCAGCTGAAGGGTCTCTCATCTGAATGAACCGCCATGTGTCTTTCCAGAGAAGTTTTAGTTTTTAATGTTTTGCCACACTGCATGCAGCTGAAGGGTTTCTGATCTGTGTGAACTCTCATGTGGCTTGCCAGTTGTCCTTTAGTTTTTAATGTTTTGCCACATTCTGAGCAGCTGAAGGGTCTCTCATCTGAATGAACGGCCATGTGTTGTCCTAGTATATTTTTAGTTTTGAATGTTTTGCCACACTCTGAGCAGCTGAAGGGTCTCTCCTCTGAGTGAACTTTCAGGTGGATTGCTAGTTCTTGTCGTGTTTTGAATATTCGACAACACTTTGAGCAAACACGTGATTTCTCAAGCCTCTTTAGCATCTTCTTTCTCACTTTTTTCACAGACATTAGACTTGACTTTTGTGGCCTTGTTTTCTCCCAATTCTCATCACTGCCCTCGGTCTCAGGTTCAGGGGAGTCTTGAGTCTTTCGTTGTATATTTATCCCTGAGTTGTTACTGGCTGGTTCTTGTCCTCCATAATTCTGTTCCTTGCAAATGTTCAGGGGCTCAGTGTATCCCTGGTCCAGACTGGGACTCCTCTCCTGCTGCTCAGAGAGAAACTCTTTTTTCACCAACACCTGCTGGATATCTGCAAGGCACAGAAAAACAATAACTTAACAGAAGGTAATGAAAACATCAGTAGATATGAAAGCAGATTTAAAAACTCAATGATATTCTTAAGAAAGATAAGAGAGTGTGGGGATTATGGACTAATGTTACCCCCTCTAGTGTTGGACCTAATTAGCTCACCAGCTATGTATGTGCCGTCTCGGAGCAGCAGACTATTTGTCAACAGCCCTGACAAGAACTGAACAATGTCAGCAGCATGGATTTACTCGAAGAGGCACCACTAAATCTGTTGTTATTCTCAAATCAGTTTCAGCATTTGTTATGATGCTCATTGATGTGCTCCTGAAACTTCTCGGGCAAAACTGAATGGATGCAGCCTGGTGCAAAAAGCTGCTGCACCATAGTTCCAGGCAACCAATCACAGTGTTGATAAAACACTTAACCCAGGTAACCAAGGGCAGCATTGTGAGAGTTCACACTAAGAGCTCAGAATTCAGCTCACATTTAGTTCACATGGATCCAAATCAACTAGGTTGCATTGATAGTTTGTGTGTCTGTCAGCAGAGCCTCCCAAACTTCAATTCCTAATCCCCTCACTGACATTTATTGAACTAAATTATTATTCAATTGTACATCACAATTGGAGACAGACATGTAGTTTGAAAAAAACAAGGACATTTCAGTGATTTTTCCTCCTGCCCCAATACCCTGCTATAGTGGGTGACATGTTTATCAAGCCCTCTAAAATAAAGGGGCTAAGAGTATAGAAACACTGAAGAGACAAACATGAAAGTTGACTATTCTATCTGAAAAAGTTTTACCCCTCTGAATCAGACAGGATTTTAGCTCTTTTTGACTCTTAAACTACAAGTACTTGATTTTTTTCCCTTTCCCAGCAGTTAATAGGATAAAACAGTATAGGATAGCTGTTTTTTTTGTTGTTGCGGTTGTGTAGTACTTCATATATTCAAATTAAAAAACTTTTCCTTGAAAATAACTACTTTTTTGCCCTAAAGTAATTTCAGGTTTAATCATATTATTTTGCCATTTCATTAATATGGTTTGTTGCAGCCTGTGTGTGGCGCTTGCTTCAGTAAAGGCATTGAAACATGTATCCAGAAGTGGAAAGAAAACTGACCTGCTCTGTGCAGCTTGATTTCGGGTGTTAAAATCACAGCCAGCAGTTTTTTCTGGCGGCGGAGCTCCTCTTCGTATACAGACTCTGTTCTATTTTCGACCAGGTCCGTCATTACCGCAGCCAGCAGCCGACGATTCAATAAATCATCGAGATCCTGAAACCCGGACATTTTCCACAAACGCAAACGCAGAGCGAAAGCAGCGAAAACAGAACTTTGTGGTTACCGCGGTACCACGTGGACGACTTGTTCCTCTTTTTTCTTTATGAGCGTTTGGAAACAGAGCTGAATCCGTTTTGGAGCGAAAATTGAAACCCCGGTATCGGATCACCAGGTTTGAAAAAGTCGCGGCTTATTTGGCTCCGATCTTTTGTTTACAGAATCTTGATTTGGTTGATTATGGGAGGTCGAGCAGTAATGTGTACTTCTTTCTCTCCTTCTTAGTTAACGGCGCATGGCAACTAGTAGTACAAATGTCGGTCGACGAGCTATAAAGAACTGGCATGGGGGGAATGGTGGGACTTCATACAACGTCATCTCCGCTTCCGGTTTTACCTATAGCAGGGGTTCGCCTCGATGTCACTCAACTTCCGGTTTGCTTCCCGGTTAGCCATAGGGGAATTCTCTTTTTTTTCTTTCATATCAAAAAGTGGCAACTACAACTCCAACATTTCAAACAAAGGAGCATTGAACAAATAACATGGAGCACAGACTACCGTTTTCTCATCCTCAGCACCCCCAAAGAAATGTAATGCTTAACCAGAGATTGGGTGACCCCACCACACTAAATCATGGCCTTTTATAACCTCCTGTTTAAAAAAACAAAAAACAAAAAAAACAAAAATTACTCTCCCAGAAAGGTAGACAGTCAGCCTTTTCCATTTCAAAGAGACAAAGATGTTTATTACCAGCAGGACCCCCAGACTGAACAAACATTCTCTCCCTGGCTGGACAGTATCAACATTTGAGCACTCATACTTGGAACAGACCCCAGTTACAGATCCTCAAAGTGGCTGATCCTTCTTGTAATTCTCTCTAGGTGCAAAGTAAAGAGAAAAACTGCAAATGATTCGATTTCAAGTTTAATGGACACTTCACAAGTATTTCCTGTCTGTACACAATATCAGCAGTAAAACAGTCTTTGTCCCATTTCTCTAGCATGTTTATAAGCCAAACAGTTCACTTTATAAATGCATTCCAGGTTTTCCATAGACCAAGAGCTACTCCTAGTGGTGTTTCCTTGATATGGTTATGGTTATGGTATACCATAGACTGTATATAAGATGGACAGAGTCTGCCTCCTCGCTGGGTGAAGCCACTCCGAGAACAGCACCCTCTGATGGTGGGCTGCAGTACAGGTAATAAATCCCACCTCTGCCAGCAAAGCTTATGGGACTGTGGATAAACTTTAGAAATTTATTACACAGAACATAAATTTTTCTCCCCCCTGCTTGTGATGTTGACATGTAGTTATTGTAAGACTGGTTTGTGCCCAGGTCCTTTTTTTCTGTTCAGCTCCGTTTTTTAAAGTTATTAGGGGGTTCATGTTTTCTATGATTGACACCTGGTACAGCCTATGGGCGTTCAGGGATTGCGTAGCTCTTCCGTGGGGATACGCTCTTTGAGCCTAGCGTCATCAAAGGGACTCTCGGCGACTGCGCGGCCGAATGCGCACAATGCTACTGCACAGCTCTGGTTTCAAGAAAGTTGAGAAAAACTCGGAATTACCGAGAGCTTTTTGGCTTCAAATCCGTATACAGGCCGAAGGCGGAACCAGGGTGTCCATCTTATATACAGTCTATGGTCTATACACAGACAATAGCAGGCTACAGTCATGTAAATAAAAATTAATGATCTATATGCTGTAACAAACCCTAGATTCAACAATGTCACGTATGGTCGAATTATGAAATGCCTCTCCAATATTACAGTTTGAAGTGGTACTCTATAAAGAGCCGTTTGTAAGCGTAAAGATTCGACTCTTTTTTTGACGAGTTGAACCAAATGACCTGATCACCGAGTAGAACCGAATCTTCCACCGACCCGACCCTGCGGCTGCGCAGCGTGGGAGGAGTTTGATGGCGTCATCGTCCATACTCAGAGGACGTATATTGCGGGACGAACGGAACAGGCTTTTTTTTTGGAGCGAAAACCGTTATACACGCCGAGAATAAATCTGGGACCAGAAACAATTCCGATATGGTTTTCGACCGTTTGTTTAAATCCAGGAATTATTCAGTACCCGTGTTTCTAGATATTGGCCTTGTTTTTCTCTCTCCAGTCCTTCCCTCGAGCTGCCGTTTTTTTCCTACTTAAAGCCCACCATCAGACACAATGTGGTACAGAAGTGACGCTGAAGATGGATACGAGTCCAATAAAACAGGTGAGATTACCCTTAGATTACAGTTGGGCAGATTGTATGATGTTAAAGTTGGGCTTAGAGCAGTGGTTGTGATTTAAAGGCCAGCTGCAGTTAGCTTTAGGAGCTGATAATATGATACTGTGCTGCATTGCTACATCATCATGTCCTGGCAACAAATCCAGCACACGAGATTGATGAGGATAAAACTGGATAAATAAATGAAGCAAGAACAGCTAAAACAACCAAATTATTACTACCTAATCATTTAAAATATCACCTCACATCTGCATCATGGTGGTTTTTAATCAGGCTTAACTATACTCAGAAACAAAAGCTCCATAACATTATCAGCCAAACAAGTCACTTATTATCCTCACAGATCTCAACACTTTCACCAATTCTCTGTATTTTCACTTCAGAATAATCCAGATTTACCCTCCCTATTTGGCTCATTTGGGTCACTGCCCCATGACTACTTACCACATTAATTCTGCCTTTTACCTTGTTGTGGGGTTACATATTCATCAACCATGATGTATTGTTACATAATTCTCCCCAGATTCATCAGTCATTATGGAATCACTGTATGGTTAATGATATTTTTGTTACTATGGGTAGTGCATCAGCTATATGACTTAGCCTGCTGGTGTTTAAGAATAAAACAGATTTATGTTATCACTGTAGGCCTGAGTGATATGGCAAAAACAGCAGTAGTTTGGGTCATCCTTTATTTGTCATGATTCGCTATTAGACTGTGATGGATTGGGATTTGTTGCTTAGTTCACTAAACAACACCTGCCACCCTGGAACCTGAATACCACCATTTTTCTCAGGTGGCCCCTTATAAAAATATAACACCAAATAATAAAATAGAACAGGGAATGGTCTTCAGCACATATTGCAAGTGATACTCAAAAAAAATAGCAATGCCGTCATTTTTTGATATTTACTCTTCTAAGTTCTGTCAAGTATAAACAGCCAAGCAATGTTCTATTTTAACCCTTTGACTCGACATATCAACCTGCATACTTCTGTCTAAACTATAAAAATACAATAAAAAAAAAAGATGAGGGAATTTTGACAAAGGGAAACCCTGTAAACGCTCTTGATCTCAGTGGGTGTCAATCATAAATCAACCAAGTGTGTCTTAAACTTCATGACTTGTGTGACACATTGTCTTATACTAAAATCCCCATGTTTAGGCTCCAGCAGCAGCAGCTCTCCAGGGTGGGTCCTGGGTCATGATTCAGGTTGTCACAGAGACGCCCCCGGCCCAGGCAACATCATCTTGGGTGGGCGCAGACACAGCACAGTGTCAGACAGCGGGGACACTGGCATCGGCACCTACTGCTCTGATAGCATGGAAGGTGTGATGTGTTTTCTATTTTGTTCTCCATCATCATTCACAAAGGCAAAATCGGCAAAGTGTTATCATTTTAACCAAAAACGGAGTTTGTCTTCCTACAGATGATTCCAGTTCCAGTACTACACCGCTGTCTTTCCAGCCGCTGTCTCACAGTCACCTAGGTCTAGATGAAGATGGCGTCCCTGGTGTCCACATTCTGCCTTCCCCGTCTTCTGCCTCCCCCTGCAGCTCAAGTCGGTGGAGCAGGTCCTACCAGCAGCACACACCTGCCATGTCTCCGCTGAGCACACCCAGCTGCCTCGACATGAAGGACCAGAGACCTATTCGGAAGTGGTCCTCTCTCACAAAACTGTCTTCAGGTACTGATAAGACCTCTACAAGGACATCAAGTGAGCCACAAAACCCAGATTCACGTGGCTCCCTGGACAGAGGTTTGCTGCACGGATACAGAAAGGAACCCCGGGGCTCAAACATGGACCTTTATCTTCCTTTATCCTCCTCCTCACTCAGCCGCACCTTACTGCTGCGCTCACCAGGTGCAGCCCCTGGATACCGCTACCTCCACAACAGCAGGTCGACCGGTTTGGAGACAGAGCGGTCCATTTCCTCAGCTTTGTCCTCCCCAGCCAAACACACCAGTCTGGACATGAACTATAGCGCTTTACCGGAAACCAAACTGTCCCGGGGAGGAGGAGGAGGAGGGTTGTACGGCCTCAGCTTACCTGCACAGGGAGACTCACTGCTGGGTCCTCAGACTGACAGAAGCTCCCCGATTCAGCCAGCAGTCCGCACACAGATGTGGCTGACTGAGCAGATGGAGTACAGACCTAAACCAGAGCGCGGAGGGAAACCTGGAACAGAGGGAGGTGGAGGGGATGGTTTGTCGTCATGGCAGCAGGAACCAGGGCTTAATCAGGTAAGAGGCGTGTCATAAAAATGAGGTTTTTGCAAGTGCAGTAATAATGAAACTGTTAGGAAGAGACATTGTTTGCTGCAAGGATAGTTACGTATCATTTGTGTTTCACTAGCCAAAAATCCTATTTACAATCAGATTGAAAGGTCAATCAGATTCAAAATGTCTCATATAAACACCTTAGCCAATCTGATTCACCCAGATCTGATTGTATTTCGGGTCGGACTGTAAGAGGTAGTCTACGCCGATTGATAATCCGCTCCATGCTCCATATATACGGTTGAGAAGTAAATAGTGACGTACTCAGAGCGCACCCAAATGAAAACAAACATGGCGAACAAACAGAAAAACTGGACAGTGGAGGAGACAAACTTGTACCGCAAATAGATTTTAGCACAACACAATAAGCGTCCCCAACAAAACACGTCGCGGATCCATCTTTCTACAGGTAAACAGGAAGCAGGAAGTGCACCTCTTCTTCTCTTACACATTTGCAGGTAGTGGCAGAGTGACCTTCTGCGCATGTAATAAAAACAATACAGTCAGATTCAGCAGGGGCCATGCAAACGTGGACTGAACGTGGATCTCTTTACTTAAAGTTCATGTATACAGATGGAATCAGATTCACTTAATCTGATTGATTTCAATCAGATTGAGGATTACTACCCATATAAACGGGCCTACTGAAGTTTGTGTGTGTTTGCAGGTCCTGATGCAGAGCTCTCTCCCTGTTAACGCTCTGGTGAAGGTTAAAGAGGGGCTGCTGAGACAGAGAGAGCTGGAGATAGACAGGTACCGCAGGACACACTGCCTGCCTTGATGTCTGCATTTATTGTTTCATAATACATTAAATATACATTCACACCATATTCAAAGAGGATTGTGGGTTTTGTGTTTTCAGACAGAAGCAGCAGATCCTGCAGCTCCACGCTCGGATCAGAGAGAACGAGCTCAGAGCGCAGCAGGTCCTGCATAGCCAGAGAGGTTGGTTCGACAACACCCACATCCTGAACACTAAGGTAACACTGAGCACTTGTTTTATTATGTCGAGATAAATGTTCAGATATGTAATTTGTTTTTTAAAAAAAAGTCTCATTTGTCTTTTAGGAAACAGCATTGAGGGTGCCATCTGATAGGCTGTGCTGTGATGAGGATCTTGGCAGGAAGCTGGCTGTAGCTGAACTGGAGGTTCTTCATTTGAACGATTTCTTCAAGCAAGTCACACAGAAGTACACAGAGGACATCAGGAAACTGGAGGACAAGGTAGAAGCAGTGAAGTCCTTACCATGAACCATTCCTGGAGGGCAACTGGATGAAGTTTTCCATTTTTTATCCGTATAATGACCAACATAAAAGGCAGACAAATCTGGTATCCCTCTTGTGTGTAATTCTTGCATGACTGTTTGACTGCTTTTGAATTGGATTTTAAGACAGAGAAAATAATGGACGCAATAATTGACCATGTTTTATATTTTATATTTAGGGAAATTAATTTTCGATATTGTTATCATCCCAGCCCTAATTCCAAAAAAAACATGATGATACAAAATCAGCGTCGTTATTTCAAGACTTTTCTTCTGGTCATCAGGTAAAAACGAGGGATCGCTACATCAGCAGTCTAAAGAAGAAGTATCAGAGAGAGAGCGAACAGAACCAGGAGAAGCAGCAGCGCATAGAGACTCTGGAGAAGTATCTGTCAGACCTGCCTACGCTGGACGAGGTGCAGGTGCAGGCAAAACAGGTACACACTCACATAAACAAACACAAACATGTAAATAAACATACATGCTGAAAAGATGAAAGATGTTTCATATGGGAGAATAAGAAAGGCTGATGTTACTGGGCTTTGTTAAAAAGCTCTAAATCCTCCGTTTCTAAGTAATTTGTTGATTAAAAACACAGAATTCATCTATTATTCTAAGTGTGTTACACAGCACAAATCCTGTATTAGCACAGTGTGCAGTGAGCAGTGTGTATTTGTGTGTGTGTGCTCAGCAGGAAGAGGTGCAGCAGAAAGCCAAACAGCTGGAGAGAACCATGAGCCGGTTGGAGAGCAGCCTGCAGGAGGGATGTGCTCTTCTGGAGGAGAAAAACATGAAGATTGAGCTGAAGGCAAAGAGAGAGAAGGAGCTGATTGCATCTGTGCACAGGTACATCACCTGATCGGACTGATGTCTAAGAATTTCATAAGATAATTTGCCAGAAAATCTAAGGGCTGGAGGTTTTTTCCCTCAAAATCAGACTGTATACAGGAGGTAAACATAGCTTCTTGGCCTGTATTATTTCTAATGTCCAGCAGGGGGCAGCTCCTCTGGTTGCAGAAAGAAGTCTATGAGATAATGATGCTTCTTTTTGGTTGATTTATTCTCTTAGATGTGCTGTAAGGATTCTTTAACTAAGTATGAAACAGACAGACATGGATATTGATGCCTCTATATGACCTAAAATAGAAAATCAGACACCAGTGACAAGTTGTTCGTTTCTTTACAGCTATTTGTGATGTCTAAACTTCTGGAAAGGGTGTGTGTTAGACGATCAACTTACTAAACATTTTTAATTTTCCATGGCAAGGTTGCAGCTCCACCCTCTTGTCCAAATATGGTCATGTTTGTGTTAGAAAAGCAGCATTCAAAAAGGTATTCAAACTGTCAGGTGACAACCACAATATGTTCCTTTTTTTCTGTGTCTCTCAGTCTGCAGCAGAAAGTGCAGCAGTGTTTGGATGACGGAGTTAGACTACCTGTGCAGGACCTAAAATGGCTGGAGGTGGAAAACTCTGAACTGTTGGAGCAGCAGGACCACAGCAGCAGGGTACACACTCACACTCACACACACACACACACACACACACACACACACACACACACACACTCACACTCACACTCACACTCACACACAGACTCAGCATTTTCACATGTGAATGTGCACACACAAATAAACGGAAGAAACCTCTAACATGTGCTCTGCTCTCCACTTCAGCTGATCAAACACCAGAAAGAGCAAATCGAGAGGCTGACATCCAAACTAACTGTAAGTGATATGTACACACACACACACACACACACACACACACACACACACACACACACACACACACACACACAAAAGGTTTGTAAAATCAGGCCTATTACACTTACTATTTACAGGAAGGGGAGAGTAGGGTAAGATGAGCCATTTTTTTCATGTTTCAGATCACTACATCAAGGCAATCATGGTTTTGTCACTAACTTAGGTATCTTCATATATTTCAAGATGTTGTGCATCCCTGCAAACCAACAGAATGAGTGTAAACATAACTGTCTTGATGATATAGCATGCCAAAAACGTGGTCTCCTATGGTCAACTTACCCCGTGTATGGGGTAAGTTGACCATAGGAGCGGGGTAAGTTGAGTCGTATCCCTACTACCCTCCCCCACCCCACCCCCAATCACAGCTGTATTTTTGAAAAGGAAAATAACCAAATATTTGGTCACATGATCAATTTCTTTTACCATTTCCAAGCAACAGGGGGTAGCTCAACTTACCCTTTGGCTTAACTTACCCCACTCTCCCCTACTTGATACCCCTCCACTTTAAAAAAAAAACGAACTGTTCCTAAATTTTTGACTAAACTCAACAGGGGATTAGTGATCGTTCCTCCAAAGAACAAATCCTGTATACTTGTTGTTTCAGGCCACCAGTAGCAGACTTCAGGAGAAAAGAGGTGTGTCTCTACCTCAGCAGACTCCTCCACCTGGTCAGGATGACAGCCTGGACCCCTCTTCCAAAGTCCCCCCACAGGTACCCGTAGTCCTCTATAAATCTTTATTATGTCCCAGTGCCGTCCTTACACCTTTATATTTTCATAATGGGCCCCAGTATGTGCCTCACTCATGTTTCTGTAATCATCAGGAGTCCAAGATCATGATATCATTGGATGTTTGTTGAAGAGGAGATATTTTGACATGACGTTAGCAGTGATGTTGGATCACTTAATTGATCACTCACTAGAAACTTAAGCCTTCTGTACTTATTTCCTCTTGCAGCAACAGCAGGTAGAGGAGGGCCCGTCTGTGCGTCCTGTCTCCAGCGTGGAGACCCCTGAAGTGAGCCGTCTGCTGAAGGAGATGTCTCTGTGTCTGCTGGACTTGCAGGCGCTCTGCAGCATCCTGAGCCAGAGAGCTCAGGGGAAGGAGCCCAACCTGAGTCTGCTGTTGGGAATGAAATGTATGTGCTCACACAAACACAAACACACATAAGCCGATCAATCTGCCAACCAGTTTTCTCTCTCTTTATATTATTTTCTTATTGTTGCCGTGGTGATTTAATTCTGCGTCTGCCTTGTTTCTGTGCAGCTCTGAGCATGTCTGCAGAGGAGAGTGACAGCAGGCGGGTGGAGGAGGACGAGCTCCGCTTCAAGCTACTGGAGGTCAGTCAGCTAAGGAGGGATATCGACGAGCTGAGGAAGAGCATTTCAGACCGCTACGTCCAGTGTATGGGGGACAGTCGTGTCTCTCAGTGACACTCAGAGACTAGAGGAGACACTCAGAGAGTCAGCAATACCAAGTGACATCCAGAGACACATGGAAACATCCAGAGAAACCCAGAGACTCACACAATTACCCAAAAGATAACAGTAACACCCTATGTCATCCAAAAACCAACACCCAGGATCCTCAGTTCTGGTCTGACCTGGTGTCCCCTTACTTCTTCACCTTCTATAGATACCCACAAAAAGGAAAACAAGATCTTGAGTGTCAGTAATTCTGCAGACAGCGAGCTTCACTAATTCAGGGATTAATATTCTTCCAGATTTTTGTTAACTGCATGATTTATGTTTAAATCCAAAAGTCACGTGTTTGACCAGACAGAGCTGGTTTTATTACCAATCTGAACTCTTTTAGCTGGTTCAGATTTACTCCTGGTCTTAGTGAGAAAAAACCCTGAAGAGGTAAAAGCAGAGGAAGCCAGAAGATGAAGCTTGAACGAGTTAGCTAAAGATCAGAAATACACCTAAATGGTGCAACTACCACCAGGGCCCAGCTGTTCAAAGAATGTATCTAGTATAGGGATGATCTGGTTTATCCTCCTTTTTTCTGAATCTGAATTGTATCAACTTTTAGACTTTAATGTGACCAAATCCAGATTATTAGAGCTTTAGTCGGAACAATTTGATTTGCTGTATTGGCCACAGGAGGGCGCTCAAATCCACAGGAGGTGAAAATAATCAGAGCTGCTTTCAAGACAGAATTTTAGGTTTGATTTTAATTCTGTTTTAGGATAAACTTATTATGACAAATCTTTTGTTTTTTTACAACCCTAATTTCTACATGATCTACTCTGCTGTTGTAATGATTTAGCAAAAATGTTATCTTTTTTCAAATTTAGTTCCTGCAATTCAGCCTGAATCCAGTCCTCTGCTGCTCTAGATTTTTATAGTTAAAATTTCCAAATGACACACAAAAAAAGACTCAATTACCTGATCTGTTTTAAAATCAGAATCCTTTCTTATCCTTTAAAAACTTAAAAAATGTTCTTTAATGATAGATGCGGTCATTTTATGTTACTTTTGAACACTTGGGCCCATATTCAGCTTGATATCCGATGAAAACTCTGAAATAAAACCACTTACACGAGTTTGAATGAACAGATCTGAAAAAATAAATTAACCACTTTTTTCCTACAGCAACGAACAACAAAGTCAAGTTTATAACATATTGATAAGACTAGCCTAGAACTGCAATAATTAATCATTCTGTATGAAGATGTTTGGTATAAAACATTATTTTCATGGTGTGAATGCACATGATATTTTGTTTGGACCTAAAGCGAACATTATAACAACTTTTGAAACTAACAAAAAGTTCAATTAATCTGTTTATCCTGATGATACAACCTGTCTGTGTAAACTATGAGACTCATTCAAGACGCTGGAAGAGGGAACCTAAACAGCACGTGCACTTTTGAATCAATTCTGTCTTCTATGGAGGCGGCTTTAACAATAAATAAATGTCTGCATGTTTTAACATATTTCTTACGTTTAGAAGCTATAAGTCACCATGACAACAGAACAAAGGGACTGTATTTAAATGTTTGTGCTTGATGCATGTGTGGAAGATTTAACGAACCATGTAAAGCTTTTTTTCTGCTCATATGGAACATCTTTTTTTTAAATGATGTTTTTATATTTTATTTAGTTTTATCACTCAAAGCAATAAATGCCAAAGATGTGATGGATAAACTCGTAAGAGAAGGGGTTGAACATATTTCACATTTGACTCTTTAGTTTCTAGTAATGTTTTAGCATTTAAAAGTTCAGTATGCTGAGTACTTATGGAAAATTTGTCTTTTAGGACTCTGAAAATTATTCTTATCTAACTTAATGAATCTTGAAATGATGTGAAGCCCTCAGGTTTTGATTTCATTTGACTATATTAGATTTTGCAGCTGACTTGTGTGTGCAGTTTACATAAAAGTAGAACTGAGTGTTATAATGTTACATTGCCTTTTGCACTCTGACCCTCTGTCTCCAACATTATGATAAGGTTTTTTTTTCCTGCTGCAGAAAATTTGGGTCATAATAACCAAATGAGATATTCTGGCTTCAAATTCAAAGAGATGTTCAGCATTTTACAGGAAAGATTGAAATAATCTGGACAGGTTTTGTCCCATGCTGAGCTGCAGGAGGATCAAATTTGAGGTGCATGTTTTAATGAAGTTGTGGGTTGTATGTATTTTTGAAGGGCAGCTTCAAGTACGTCATCATCTAAGAAAGTGATTTGGTTGAATCCCACGTGAACAGAAAGTAGACAAGGCGTTAAGGAAGCTTAAGTTAACTAAATTGATAGTGAGGACTCATTTTCAGGTCAGTGTTTTATGAGGATTAAATTCAAATTTTGCTGATTGTAACCTTTTATATTGTGTTTTTATTGGAGGTGCATATTCATAACATTAATACAACATTTGATAACAGCTTTACCGAGGGCGCCTACATGTTGTCTTGGTTTATTCTTTCAAATAAGAGAACAAAAAATTGTGATATTTGTACTCTTTATAACTTTTTGTTTTTTGTTTACCAGAAATAAGGCTTTTTCTTTGTGGGACATGTTTTGTCTCATGTCCTTGAGGAACTGTGGTTTATAAGAAGTTCATAAAAGTACATTTGTTTTTGCAAATTGTTAAGACGGCAAATAAAGCTTATTTTACTAAAACGATTGTAATGTTTCTTACAAACTGGTGTCAGACACTTTTTTCTTTAACTTTAACCATAATAATTCTACCACTGGATGATCTAAAGTTAAAAGATCTGTACATTTAGATCTATGATATTATTATACTACTATATTTATCAATCAGGAATTATTTTGGGCTGGGACTGCAAAATTCAACCAAGTGTAGAGACTGAGCTATTAAACAGATAGAGTAAGAAGGTATGTTCTGCTCTCACTGGCTCGTCTCAGGGAGGTTATTTTGTTGAGGACAGAGAAATTTGTATCTCATCTGTCAGAAATCGACCACCCAGTGCGGTGGAGATGCTTTGTAGATCAGCCGCTGATGCACAATGTTTGTGCTGTTAGCTTAGCTGCAAACCTATCTTAGCGAATAGCCCCCCTGGAAAATTTTTCAAAACAGTCAGACAAGTACCTCGAAAGTAGACCAGATCAGATGCTGTCACTGAAATTTGAACATTTCTGTATTTTAAGTGCTTTTATAAAAATACCCTGCTCTCACATCAGTGCCAGTTTACTGACATTGTTCTCAAGCTCACAAGACAAACCTGACACAGAAAGTTTGGCCACTGTTTAAAAGTGGCAGCATAGACTGTGTAGACTGAGATTAATGACCTATACTGCAGCCCATCACTAGGGGGTGCTGTTTTGCGGAGGCTTCACCTACAGAGGAAGCAGATGATGTCCATTCTACAGACAGTCTATGGGTGGCAGTTATCAGACTGTCCTATACATCACTTTTGATTTAGGAATTGTCATCGATGATACTCCAGTTTAACAATTCGAAATAAGTAACGTTCAGGGTCATAAACGCTTGTGTGGTTATTTTATTCTCCTTATTTTTCCCAAATAGACCCTTGAGAACCCTACGAAAATCCAGCTCCTTTAGGCTCCTTTATCCAAACTTTGGAGGTAACTTTAAGGCACTGTAAGTTTTCAGCACAAAACACTCCATTATATATATGTTACAGACAAAACAAACTGGAACCAAACTTTATTTAAAGGCTAAATAATTTTTTTACATTAATGCATGATCCGACGCACATTTATGTGTGAAGAGACAGAAAGTGCCGAAAAAACAGAATAACAAAAAGCAAGAGAAGAAATGGTCATGTGACGCTAAAAAGGTTTCAGTAACTTCAGTTCCTTTGGGTGTGAGCACTGACAGGAGGCAGTGCTGAAACAGACAGTAAGCTGGATGTCCTATATTCTGTCAGAGGATCAAACCGTCCAATCAGAGAAGAGAAAAACCTGTGACTGCATTTTACTGTGACGAGTTCCTGACTAAATACAAGATACAACAGGATGTCACACGATAAGAAAAACAAGAAAAGTACAGCGATACACGGCAAAGAAAAAGCCCCTTATTAACAATGATTGAGTATTTCATACAGTTGTTACTGTGCTGTCCTGTGCTTCACACACGCCGAGACAGAGTTCATGTTAGTGAAGGAGCAGGTTAAAGGTGAGGCAAGAGTAGGTACAACACCAGGTCAGGGGTCAAAGGTCAGGAACACTCACGCATTAACTACATTGTCCTCAAAGATTTGATCTTTCAAAAGTTGTTACAAGCTTTTCAAAAGGAGTTTAAAATGTTCTGCCGGACGGAAACATTTGTCTTCTTCAGACTGAGATGATTTAACAGCATTTTTTTTTTCTCTTTTGAGTGATTGTTCTGCTAAAAGCTGCTTCTAAAGAGATTTCTGACTTGATACGATCGCCAGTTATGATTTAAGAGGCTGTTTGTCAAACATTTATAATGCCAGCTGCTATAACTTTGGATTTTGGGAAGGGATTTTAATTACACAGCTACTGTTTTCAAAGGGGAACTGCTGTTAGAAATAGTCAATCTCTGGACCCTTGGCTTTTGTCTGATACTAAAATCTGTCTCAGGAAATAATGACCAACTTTTCAGACATTCTGGTGTAGCTATAACTCACTTCCAGCCAAGACTTTCAACTTAAGAGGCTATTTGTTCAGATCAGAAGTGAAGTCAAATTCAACCCTCACAACATGTTTGCAAAGTTAACGCTGTCATTACTTGGTTCATTACAACCCAAACAGGAGCGCCCATTCATCCTTTCAGCTGAGTCTCAGTTTCACCGTGAATATTAAGTTATACAGAGGCTTAAACAAAAACAGAAACCAGTTGTGTATTGATTGTGTATTGATGACAGATCATTCGTTATCTGGAATAGCCTCATGATGAAGATTTGTAAAAAGTATAAAATCAGGCTTTGACAATGTTTGTTTAAAGGTCAGAGTGAATATTTCTAATGCATTCCATGAAGTCATGAAATCTAAACACTGATTGGTTCCTGCACTACAGTGTCGAGCAGATTTGTGTCTAAGGTGTAGATGTTCGAACTCAAACAGATTGTAAGATGCTCCTGCATGCAGATATCTGCTGGTAAAAGATAAACAAATCAGGTCACTGTTGGTGTGAGTCATACTGTCATTATGGTGGATTGTGTTCTGCCTGCTTTTGCTCTCCATACAGACTGTTTTTCCTGCAGACACCTGACTGGTCTGGACCACTTGGACTACAAAAGTACTCTGAACTGAATGCAAACCCACTGACACAGATAATTAGAAACCCTTTTTAACAAATGTCATTGTTCCATTGCCGGGAAAAAACAGTAATACTAAGATAGAGAAAACTTCAGACCCAGATGTAATTTTTCACACCCATTTCAAATGATATGTGGCCCATATTAGCAAGTTTATCACAAAGACATTTGTGTTTTACTTGCTCATGAAACACACCCTGCTTGCCTCCAAGAAATGCCGGGAAACCAACTTCCATCACGACTACACTCTTGCACAGCTGAGTCAATCCCCCCTCCTCTTCCTTGAACTGTGTCTGATGCTTCCAGCTCCTCAAACCCAGTTTGATGACCAGTTAGCTAAGTGCCAGGGATTTCACAAACTACTTCCAGCGTTCAGTTTCAGCTGTGAGGCGCCCGTCCAACCATCTCTCCTGAGTCTCAGTTTCATTGTTAAAAGCAAGTCACGCTTAAGTTGGTTGAAGTCTGTTTCACTACTTTGCTATGAGCTCAAAATTGAACAGATTTTACTGTGATTTGATCTCAATTAACAGATTGAGATAATCAACTACATTATAATACAGATCTGCAAGAAGTCTGGATTTGTTTATCGTTAGGTCTGTCTGCAAGTGGACGAGAAAAATACTTTTGTCTCATGCTCTTAGGGCTGCTATGCTAACACTAACTCTTAAATAACAGTGATGCTAAAGAGCAAACCTGCATGATGAATTCTTGAGACTCTTCCTCATGTGTGTCTTTGGGTTAACTTGGTATATGATCATGCTGCACAAAAGATTGGCGTCCGTTTCAGTCTGAATGGATCTCCAGCTTCCAGTGTTCAGTAACTTATTTATAACCCTGGATCCAAAATCCACATCTTTTGGTGGCGACAGGAGATATATATATATATTTTAGAATAAAACATGAAAAGGCTCAAAAGGCCTTTGCTTTCACTTACGGTGATAATTATGTCTGCAAAGATTTGAAAAGATAAACTTTCCTTTGCAAATCAGTCAATAAATATTCTGTGTTTCCTTGAACTAGGATGATAAAGTGTAGTTCTAGTGTTGTTGAGCAGGAGGAAGATTAAACAGTCTAAACTTTCTAAAAATGACACCTGAAGATATTCTAAGCTATGTTTTACCTCTCCCTCTGTTCCTGATAAACAGCTGATTTGTAACAGCGCATTCATTTATAAGTAAAAGACCCCAAAAAGTCCCCTTTTGCTTGGCAACTCCTCCTGTACGTATCTTACATCTCTTCCAAAGTGTCATATTTCACCCTGGATCATTGCCACGAACCCAGATTAACCCCCCCCCCCCTCCCCACCACACCCAGAACGCCAGGAGGAAAAAGAGAAAATGACTTTTTGTTTTCTTCTCCCTCATCCTTCTGCTTTTCATTTCATCCACTGATTCAGTTCTCCAACGGTGATTTCCCCGCAATCCTCATGTGAAATCTGCAGTTTCCTGGCTCGGCCTCTAGGAGGAGCCGTTGCTCTCAGGAGGCTTCGAAGGAGTTTCCTCTGAAGGCGTCTCACTGGAGATCCCCGTGTCTCCTCCGTTCTCTGCTCCGTTACTCAGCGACATTTTCTCCAGAGCTGCAGACAAACAAGAACAGACAGTCAGATACAGGAGGATGAATTATTACCTTAGAGATATTATAGTCCATGCTTATTTGAAACAGCAGCTCGACAGGTCCTATAATATTCTATAAATGTTGGGGAACAAATGTTCATTAAACTGGAACTTTTAGGAAGTAAAACCGCTAATTTTGGCTGTTTCATCCTGGCAACATGTTACTGGAGTGAATTATGAGTTTGGAGTTTTCCTTTTTTTTTTCCTGTTTTCTTTTTCTTGCTCCTCTAAAGCAGTGGTTCTCAAGGCCAGTCCTGGAGGCCCACTGTCCTGCTCCAACACACCTGATTCAAATAATCAGCTCGTTATTAAGCCATTACAGAGCTTGATAACGAGCTGATTATTTGAATCAGGTGTGTTGGAGCAGGGAAACATCCAAAACATGCAGGACAGGGGGCTCAAGGACTGGACTTGAGAACCACTGATCTAGATAAATATAGAAGTGATAAGAGGAGAGGGACTGGAGGGGTTTCATTACAAGGTTGGCCTCACAATAAACGATTTTAGGCCTGATTCCCCTCTGCTCTGCGGTATTGTGCACATTTGCAGGGAACTTTAATAAATAGCCTCTAGGGCTGGGCGATAAAACGACAATTATATATATCGAACACTAATTTCCCTCAATATCAATATAAAACATGGTTAATATGCTTTTTGATAGTCGGCATTCTGCCATGTTTTGGTAGACTATACAAATAGTAGAGCTGCAGCTATCGAATATTTTAGTAATCGAGTATTCTACCGAATATTCTATCAATTGGACCCAAACGGTTTTGACGATTTGAGCTTATAAACAAGTACTCAAGGCAGAGAAAAAATTCTCAATCCGAAACAGCCGACCATTCAGTCTACTTTCTCTAGCGTAACGCCTTACAACATTGTGATAAACTTTTTCCCCATACCGCCCAGCCCTAACAGTCGCACAACTAAAAGAGCAAAAATATGGACAAAGTTTAAGATTTGACACATTTTTGTCGGATAAAATAATATGTTTTAAAAGTATTATACATAAAAAATTGTAAGGCAACAGTGCCATGATGGAGAAAAATATCCAAATTTTGTAACCCGAGCGTGAAATTAGTGAGCATTGTCATCTCATGTTTGGGAACCATATATTTGAATTGTGAGTTCATCCTTTTTGCATTATTAATGTTGCTGATTTCTTTAAGAAATTACAGTTACGTGAAGTTGGAAGATGCCTGATAGTAATCTTCCTCTGAAGACGTAAATATGCAGCGTCTGTGTCTGTGAATTTATCCCAACCCTCAAAAAGTCAGCTCTGAAAACTGCATAAACTCACCTTGCAGTGATGCTGAGTTGTTGCTGCTGGGGGGCGCTGTGCTGCTGTCATCCAATTCATCCAGGTACAGTCTATAGTGGTGTCCACTGTCGTCTTCATACTCCACGTTCTCATCATCGCTGTCCACCTCGGGGGCCACGTACACCACCTCAAACTCAATCTGCCCCCGCTGACACACAGAAACAAACACAAACACAGAGACACACTCACTCGGTGAGCACTGAGAGGGATCGGTGCGTGTAGGTTCGAGTGTGTCGCTTTGGCTGCTGTTACCTGCTGAGACAGGATAGTCACGGCCTCCTTGTGTTTGGCGTCTCGCAGGTTGATGCTGTTGACGGCGAGGATGGCGTCACCTACATGCAGACCGCCACACCTGTCCGCAGGCTGACTGGGGTGGATCTCTGAGATTAGGATGGGAACGCCGTGCTCCTTTCCTCCCTGATGAGGAGAGATGAGAGTCAACCAGGTTTTACTTCAAGACCAAAAAGCACAAAACATCATCCTGAAACAGATTTTACAACGCAAAGATTAAAAATCCCTGATACTGTTCTTAAAAAGAGGTGGTGTTTATTTCCTGCTGCAGAAATGGGAGGATTTGCACCAAAACACGACGTCGAGATCTCTGGGTAATATGACAGGGAACTTTCAGGACCAGACACAAACACTGTAAGGTAATGGGTTCTCACTGTGATAGAGATTCCCAGCCCCTCATGGTCCTCTTTGACCAGAGCCACTTTCCTGATGGGGCCGACTCCCTGCGTCTTCTTCAGCATATCTGGATCCTGCAGGGATGTTTAAATACGTTTAAATGAAAGACGCAGGATTAAAGGTTTAAATCGGTTGACCTGCTGTGAGGTTATAAACACTCACGTGTCCCACAGGGGAAGGCAGAGGTTTCTTTGGGTCATTGCGTCCTCGACACGCCCTGATGACGGTCTTGTGGCGGTGCAGGTGGATCTCGGCCTCTAGCTGGTTCCACAATTTGTCATGAGCTGGTCCCTTCATGTCCCGACCCAGCAGCTGGATCTGCTGCACCCTGAGACACAGAATTTACAGAATTGCCACAATTTACCTGTGAAACTTTAAGTCGAACGGGTAAACATGAACCGCCTCCTCACCTGCCGGCCAGCTCCTTGTCCAAGTATTTGGCTGCCAGCCTGGCCCCATAAACCTCAGCCTGCAGCACCGCCATGTGCCTGCGGAGGGCCTCATTTTCTTTCCTGTACAGCCTCACTTCTGCCTCCAGACGCGCCTCGGCTAACTTCTTCTTCTTGCTGCCCTCCAGTTCCTGTTCCTGGATGAGACACAACACATGTGAACACAAGGCAGCACTGACAACGACACACTGAAGAAAATTAGCTGAACGCCTTTATCATTAATATCTGTATTAAAGCAGCTCTGAATAAAACTAAGTCACCTTTTCTTCAACAAAGAATATTCTGCTGCTCTTTTGCACAAATCTAAAAAATAGGGGGTGTACTTTTACGGATGTATTTCACAATCACTGATCTTGAACTCAAAACAATGAAATATCAAATAAAATGCAAACTCACCACAATACATCTACATGCAATGATCTTTGACATGCATACACACACTTACATTTAAGGACAATAGAGCAAAATAAACCCAAAATAGTAAATGATGTATTGATGTTGTTCATCAGACACAGTTTTTTTTACCTCCATTTGGATTTTATATGTCTCTAAAGTTAATCCTTGTGATTGAGCTGATCAAATAAGCTGCTATGTGAACTGGCCAGAAAAAAACTTTAACAAAAACCAAGAGCAGTTAAATGAAAAGAAAGAGTAAAAAACGCTTGCACATTATAATAATCAAATATTTGTTCACTCCTTCCTGCTCTTGACTCAAGGAGTTCCTCATGGAGGTCTAAACCGAGAGCTCGTCAACACCATGAAAACATTACTGAACATGACTAAGAGTATTCCAGGACACAGATTAGAGATGCACTGATCCATGTTTTTCTGATCCAATACAAATACCAATACCTGGGCTGAACGTATCGGTCGATATCCGATCCAATACTTCTGTTGAATGAATGAACTGTATACCTTGCCCAGTGAGTGAAGGCATCAGGCTTGAGATTAGCCTTGTTAAAAAAAGGTAACAAATTAACACAGATACAAATTTACTTTATATTATTTATCAAAAAAATAACAAATTGCACATTAGCACACAGCAAAAAGAAGTAAGACTTCCATGAATTAAAAGAAAAAAAAAGACTGGATCTGAACGCTGGATCAGCGTCATTCATCAGATATCCGATCCAGTTAACTTGTCAAATTCAGAGCCAATATCCGATCCAAATATCAAATCGATGCATCCCTAATACAGATAGTAACATCATGGCTTTCAAACACGTTTAACATGCAGATCAACACTGGCTGGTATCTACATTAAATATCAGCATAACTTTCAGTAAGAGCCAACATTATCAGGATTGTAGTTTTGCTAAATTAATCAATGTAAAATGCAATCCTCTTAATGAAATAATGAAAATACATTTTACAGCGCTGCTTGTTTATTTTTCCTCTGCTTACTGAATTATAGTCTTGGGTTGCCATCAGCTGTCAACATAACATAATCAAACACAGGATCGGACAGTCTGTGAGTAAATAATGTCAAATAAGATTGGCTAGAGTGGCTACCATTAGCAGAGCTAGCACCTCCGTCCTCTCTACAGGTTAATGTCAACATGTCTGCGTTGGTTTTGAGATTCTTAGATCATTATTTTCTCAATCAAAATTCTACCTAACCACAACCAGGCTTTCTAGCTGCAAGATTCCATCTGTGCCTGTTTCTATCGACAGTAGCAGTCAGCCACAGCTGCATTACAGCCTAGACAAAATGTGATTAATACTTTTAATCTAGTAGCTGTGAAATGCTGGTCATATATTAACTGACTCATAATTCCAGTGCTAGCTACTAAGGGTGATAACATGTGATAGTTCAGTCCAGTAAATGTGCACATTCTCGCCATGAATGATAGGAAAAAAAAAATTGCAGTAAGAATTCCACTAAAAACCACTTGGTTAAATTATATGGTGAGCAGTGGGTGATATTAGACACATCCTGTTTCTTCAGGGTGTGTCTAGCAAGAAGTGCTGAACAACAGAGTCAATGAGGAATTGAAAAAAACTGCAATCCCTGAAGTGCTCACGCAAAGCAAAAGCCAAGCTATATACCCAACATACTGTATATTCTGGGTATTTTAACACATATAAATGACCTAACATAAATATCTCCTTCAATAATTACATATTACATAAAACAAGATCAAAAATTAATAGTTTCTGTCTCTCAAGCCATTTATTAAATTTAATCAGATACCTGCTGCTGCTCTTGTCTAACAGAGGACACAAACTTTGGCTTTAAACAGCTGATATTCACAAGGGAATAACCTTTCTGGAGACTTGACCTCATTTGCAAACTAATTACGGACCCAAAGAGTGTAAACATCTCAAAATCTGAGGAAATGTTGAGGTCGGATCAGATCTAATATTTCAGACTTTTCAGATGTTTTGTATTATTTCATAAAGCGCTTAGTTTCATAATTAAAAGGCTGTTGTGGATTTGGGTTTACAAAAGCTTTAATAACGAGATATTGAGAAGTTTTTGTGTGTGAGTCCAGCACAGAATAAGCTGTTCTGTAAACAGATGGATTATTGTTTTAAGAGGTTTTTTTAGGGACATAATCCCTTTAAAAAATTGACCAAGGTCTGAGTTATCGCACTGAAAGCGATCATTTCTAAGCTCTTCATGATGCCTTTTCATCCTGCTTCCTTATTCTTACATAGAAGTAAAGTCATGGGCTGCCCTGTTTGTTTGACACGTCTTTTCATAGTCACAGTCAAGCTCTACAGATCTGCTCCAACAGTTGTACGCCCTACATGTTAGCAGCTCCATCGCCACCACCGTGGAATGAGGTCAGCAAGTCTGGATTTTAAGCTTTGAAGCTTTTTTCCTCCTTAAACTGAATCTTTTTGTAATTATCTGGAGATATTTTCTTAGTTGAGTTAAAACTTTGTCCTTTCAGGTTTATGAGAGCATCACAGAAATAAAATAAAAGTAAATGGTTGAGTATCGTGAGAGTGTGACTCTTGGATTGAATGCCTGGTGTCAGTCTGCAGAAAAACAGACCTTTCTACAGCAGCCTGTTAGCGCACTGTTTTTGTTAGGTGCAGCTACACAAACTATATTTAACCACAAAAAGATTTTGTGCAACTCCCTACATACACATGCACACACTTGCCAACACAAAGCACACACACTTACCATCTGATCCATAGTTGGTTCAGGCTTAGAGAAAGAGGAGCAGAGGAAGAAAAGAGAAAGAAGTCAGAGATTTTAAAAAAGGGGTCAGAGTTAGTGAGCAAAAAAAAAAAAGAGCAGATATAATGCAGAGTAAAACATTAGCACTGAAAGATGAGGGTCAATAAAGCAGGGGAACCAGTCAGAGAGCAGCAGAAAATAAAGTAAAGCTGCAGCAGCATACACTCTTCCTATTACTGGCTCACGTTACCGCTTTGTGTCGATCTTATTCTGACAATCGGAGGAAAATGCAGTGACAGCAGTGCCTTGAAAATACACATTAATATGAATAAAAAATTGATACAAAATCTACATAAAAAAGGAGAAATTATTAGCAATCCAATGTGAGTATTTAGGCCATAACAGTCAGATTTACAGTCTTAAGATAGAGCTGCCCTGAGTGATGGGTTCCATTCACGTCTTCAGATCCTCACTGTAAAATATTTCTCCCACAAGGCTTCATTGTTTCCTCTCCTTCTTTTTTCCTGTCCATCCTCGTCTCCCACTACTCAACAGTGAGGCAAACTCTTGCCATGTTGCTATAGTAACCATACAAGACACTAAAAGTGAGCCATCCATCTTAAATGACACGAAAAAGGCAAAACTGGGGCTTGAATTTGGATTTTTGATTGCATGTTTTGATTTCAATTTAAATGTTTTCTGAAGGTTTAAACTGTCAGTTACTCCAGTTACTCTATAGATCTTTATTTCATTAAAAGTCTGACTGATGTTAAGTGTACGCTGTCACTAAATAAAGTACATAATATGACCCTCTGACATGTAGAGCCATTTAGAGCTGACAGGTATTTGCAGATGTGAAGCTTGGATCAATATTTTCCAATCAAACTTTACCGTAATTTGACATAAAAAGCAAATCAGATAAGAAGAAAATAAAAATTGGAAACCTTTACCAGACAAACTTGCACAAACTTTCAAGTACACCTATTGGAGTGTACTCATACGTTTCCCCGGACATTATAAAAAACATAACTGTAAAGCTTTACTGCTTTACATCCTGTTTCTTTACAGCCTCAATAAAACTGATCTCCTCGAATATTTTCAGCTGAAGGTCGTGGACACAGTCTCATCCTCCTACCAGTTTGTCTTTGATGGAATCTGAGTCCTCATCCTGGCCCTGCTTGGCGTGGAGCTGCAACTGCAGAGCGTGAAGCTGCAGGAGCTGGTCATGCACCTCGCGCTCCAGCACCGCCCGCTCAGCCTTGGCGTCGGTCAGCTCTGAGCGCAGGTCCACAAGCTGAGCCTGAGATGTAAAGTGGGAGAGAACACAATGTTGGTTTTTGACAACTCAAACTACTCTGGGCATGTAAATGAAGTCGATATGATGCTAATGTGAGACCATCGTGTCCTGAAAAATGTTGTCACGCAGGTATCTTTACAGGAACAAAAGAATTTCCTGTTCTGTTGGTTTGTGGCTTTTGTTGCTGTTATCTGTTGGCTCTCACTCACCGCCATGTCAAGGGGGGATTTATACTCCTGTGTTACGCCTCACTTGCAATATGAAAGTCATTCAGCCTCGCAGAAAGTAACATAAGTAGGTTTAAGGAAAGGAAGTATTTACTTGTAGACAAATAGGTAACCATTAAAGGGATATTCCAGCATAAAATTAAGTCAGGATCAAACACTACGTAACACTGAGTTAGACACATACCGTCGAGAGATGAATGTTGCAGACCGCTTGCTTCTCTAGTTATACCAACATTAGTAACGACCGCACGATAGCAATACACAGAGCCAAGCACGCAACCAAAATGCCACTCTATAGCCACAAATAATGCTCAGAACAGCACCTAACTTCATCAACAGTACATATAGGGCCCTCGCCACAGCACTTACCACCAAACATCTTTTTAACTTTGCCTGATTTCTTTCCCAAAGAGACTAAACACAACTCACCCACTCTCTTCCAGCAGCCGCTTGTTTGTATGGAGACCTCTGGGCGAGTCCATCGACCGCAGCGGGGTGACACAGCTCAAGGAAGAACTCTTATGATCATTACTTTATCATTTCCTTGAAGTAATAATCATCATATTAATCATTAGTTCTTCTGCCTTAGCGTCTTGGTCTGATTGCATTTCCATGAAGAAATGATCATAAATGTTCTTCCTTGAGCTGCGTCACCCCGCAGCAGCCCATAAAAGACTGGCCTAGAGGTCTCGCTACAAACAAGCGGCTGCTGGAAGAGAGTAGGTGAGTTGTGTTTAGTCTCTTTGCTAAAGAAATTAGGCAAAGTTAAAAAGATGTTTGGTTGAGGTTTGTGTGTGGAGACGTAGACCGCTGTGTATTGCTATCGTGCGGTCATCAATAAAGTTGGTATAACTAGAAAAGCAAGCAGTCAGCAACATTCATCTCTCGACAGGGTGTCTAACTCGCTGTGTTTGACCCTAAATTGTTAATTTTACGCTGGAATATTCCTTTAATCTAGTTCTGATTTTGTTTTTAACCTGGTAAGGTGGTGTCACTTGACAAAAAAAACCCAATATTACAGCGAAATGTTTCACTCACTATACTTACTCACTGTGGAAAAAGTAAAAAGGCTGTTTCTTCAGTGTACCTACCCCCACACATAAATTATCAAAAATTACAACATGGAAATTGTCACTCTCGTCCCTGATAGTCTCCTTTACTTTAGTACACCATGTACACACAACACTGCCTGTTTCTGTCTGTTTCACAACACACACACACACACACACACACACACACACACACACACACACACACACACACACACACACACACAGAGGAATGTAATTAGCTGGTGCCAGATACAGGGGGAGGGAGGGAATTTCAGGTCACCTGCCAACATGGCAGATAGGTGTTATTTACACTGGTCAAAGGCTTCAATAAAGACTTATTACAATTAGTTATAAAGGCGTAATGACAATAGTTATACTGTTGTTGAACTTAAGATATCAGGAGCTGCACCATATTAAAGAAAAACCAAATGTAAAACCATCTACATCAGAACCTGAACTCTAGTCTGAGGGATTGTGTGACCTACTGAATCAGGTGAATTTGGATCACCGTCTGAACTCTGTAGCTCAATTTCCACTCTGAAAAATGAGTAAATATCAGCCTTACCTCTAGTTTATGGTTGAGCTGAAACACCGTCTGAGCTTTGTGGCACAGCTGAGCAAAGCACGAGCTCAGGTTGGTCATCTTCTGCCGGCCCTCGTAGGTAATGTCCACCTGATCCGGGTCTATCTCCCCCAGCAGCAGGTCCACGTCCACGAAGGCCTTGTCAAACTCCTTCTCCAGTACCTCCAGCCAGCGGAACATGGACATTCCGGGACCGAGGCCTGAGCCCGGGCCCGCCGGAGAGCATCCTGCTGAGGCGGACATCACCAGAGCACAGCGGTCCCTCTGCTAACGTTAGCCTGAAGCTAACTGTGCTTCCGCGTTTCTACTCTGAACACCACGGTGTCACACAGGCGGAAATCAACTCGAATCAGGTGTTTGTATCCGACGATGTTTTAGCGAAGAGAAATCTGACGACTGTTGATGTCTGATTCTTCTTCAGAAAACAAGGAAGTCCCACATCAGACTTCCGATCGGATATGACAGCAACGACTAATGTCTGTCTGCTGCAGGGGAAAGCAGTCGATCGCAGATTTACAGATTTTTCCCAGATGTTGGTTTTAGTATCTAAACTTTAGTTTCTAAATGAACTATTTTAAAGATAAGGATGCTATGATAAATCTTAATAAAAACCGATTTTGATTCTTTGCGAGTCATTTAAATCCTATTTTTGATTTTAAAAGTGCAAAGACAACATATCAAAACTAACTTTAACTTCGCTAAATTAGTAACACCATCACTATCAACGGGTGATTTTTACCCGAAATAATATACCCAAGAAAAAGGACTTGTCATCAAAATATATCAAAATAAAACAATGCATGACAAATTAAAGTAGTTTTCTTTTATTTTTAACTGTGCAGTGTCCAAAGGGAGGAAAAAGGTGCCATGAGGGCACCATATAATAATGCAACAAAATAACTAAAATTAGGCATATATAACTCTTCTCTTGCCCACCCTGGGCGGTATTGTGTCTCTTCAAGCTCGGGTCCTCTACCAGAGGCCTGGGAGCTTGAGGGTCCTGCACAGTTTCCCTGCTGTTCCTAGGACTGCACTCTTCTGAAGTGAGATGTCTGATGTTTCCCCAGGGATCTGTTGGTTCTCTAGTTTCTCATGTTCCTCTTTTCTGATGTAGCTATCGCTTGGGATGGCGACATGATCTACCACAATGGCTTTACTCTGCTGTTCGTCTACAACTACAATGTCCGTTTGGTTGGCCATTACCATTTTGTCGGTCTGTATCTGGAGGTCCCACAGGATCTTGGCTCAGTCATTCTCCATCACCTTGGGAGGTGCTTCCCATTTTGACCTCGGGGTTTCCAGTCCATATTCTGCACAGATGTTCCTGTACACTATTCCAGCTACTTGGTTATGGCGTTCCATGTATGCTTTTCCTGATATATAGGATTTTTTGTTCATGAATGCCTAATTTCGGTTATTTTGTTGCATTTTTATATGGTCAAGAAGAAGAAGGATGGGACATAACTCAAAAAAAGAAGTTAAAAGAAGAGGCATCAAATTTAAGATGGATATGTATTTTATATTTATTTTTTGTAGAGTATTGACATTTTTTCTGTTTCAGCCTTTAATATGTTTTCTTTGCACTTAAAAAAAGAGATTTAAATGATTTTTAAACCATCAGATTCCTTTTTATTTCATTGTCTATGGCGACCCCCTGTTTTTGGATTAGTGTTGTACAAGCATCTATTTACACAATGAAAATTGAGCAACTTGTTTTACATCAACAACCATAATAATAACAATTAGGTCTGGTAACTATAATATTTGGAAACAAGAAATATGCGAACACCATGAAGCAACAGTTTTTAGATAATTTATTTTATTGAGATTCCAGTACAAGTTGTTTGCAAAAGTTTGCCTTATCAACTCGATACTGGCTGTAAACTCCCACAGTTGAAAATAAATGAAAAGAAGTTGATACCGAACACCTGTGGATGTGAACACTTGGCAAATAAAACATGTTTAAACATCAAGATAGCTGCCGTTTTACGCTTTCAGTTGATTGGATCACAGAATAAAATACACAAAATATGTCAAAGTACAACCACTCACACGCTAAACTCAACTGACAGTATTTCTGATATGCATTGAAACTTATATCTGATTCTTCTGATATGCGTTCTAATACAGATATTAACTCTTAATAACAATAAGAGTCGTATAGTTACAGCTCATAGTGCCATTTGTCTAAGCACAGATTTGTCGAGTGTTTCAACACTGATTCGTTGTTTTTCATTGAGTCTGTTTACTGAGGTGAAGCTCACGGTCAGATATGTGTTTTCTCTCGACCAGGATCTTAAAGGTCTTCCCAGCACTTCTTTAGCCCGTCTCCTGAAGTGCTTCCCCACGATGACAAACAAGAAGGGGTTAATAGCACTGTTGCTGTACCCCAGATATGTTGACAGCTGTATGCCAATGTCTAGGACGTGACCCCAGAGACACCCAGGTGTGAGTTGAAAGTAATCCAAAGTGTCAAGAAACCTCATCACCTGGTGTGGTGTCCAGCAAAAGAGGAAAACAGCCCACACGGCAAGGACCAGGTCTGTGGCCTTCCTCTCTGTCCTGACCCCAGGGAGTCCACCGGCTGCACGGTCTTTTAGAGCTGCCACAATGTGACAAGTGCAAAATGTCACCACTACTACAGGGATTAAGAAGCCCAGCACGTTTCTAGTGATATTGTGCTGCAGCCTCCATGCAGGGTGAGGGTAAGCCAGAATGCAGGCGTGCACACCAGGATCGTTTATGTAGACAACTGAGCGAAATAACAGGGTGGGTAGAGTGAAGAGAAAGCCCAGAATCCAAACTCCAGCACAGAAACGTTTGGCCCAGGAGACTCTCCTCAGGCGGCTGGAGCTCATGGGCTTCACCAGAGCGAGGTATCGGTCCATGGTGACCAGCACCAGGAACAGAACGCTGCAAGTGTAGTTCATAGAAATCGCCACATTCACCAGTTTACAGAGGATCTCTCCAAAATCCCACTGATATCCTTGAGCGATGGTCACAGCCCAGAAAGGGAGGCAGGACATCATGATCAGATCAGCAGCCGCCAAGTTCCCCAGGTAAACGTCAGCCACAGTGCAGGGCTTCCTCTGAAGACAGAGCACGCAGAGAACCAGGCCGTTTCCCACGAAACCCACCGCACTGATCAGGCCCAGGTAGGAGGGCTGCAGGGAGGACAGCCACAGCCAGGCCTCAGTGTAGTTACTGCAGGGGTCCAACTCTGGGTCCAGGGTTGGGACCAGCAGGTCTGATGTATTCGCCATTATTGGAGAACTGTAAGTAATAAAAGTTTGTTGTTAAAGCAGTCATAATTTACTTCAAGTGTAATACGTGGCTCTCTGTATTGCTATCTGTGGTCATTACTATAGTTGGTAAAACTAGAGAAGCAAGCGGTTTGCAACATTCATCTCTAGACGGGGTGTCTAACTCAGTGTTACGGTGTATTTGAACCTAACTTAATTTTACGCTGGAATATCCCTTTAATGCTGGAGTTAAATCCCAAATATGAGAAGCATTTATTTTTACTATTTATTTATTATTTGAGAGATCATGTGAGTGACTGATGTTAAGACTCTGTCAGACACTCAGATACACTTCAGACTGGCTAACTATGCACAGACCTGTACTTTTGATAGAAAAGGTCATACATTATCGCTTTTATTGCATGGGCAGGGATAACTTGACAAAAATAGAATCATACCTCTGCATTTAGATTTTTGCCATGTGTCCTATCTTAAAAAAGAGTCTCTAGACACTTGTAAGTAAAACTTGCTCAGTCTGTATCTAGTATAGGGATGAATTTATCTCTCCTCAGCAATTCATGTGGGAATGAGAAACAGATCCCATCACTGGCTGGCTCTGTTGTCTACTCTTCCTCATTACTCACTGTGAAAGGTTCACATAATGGGCAATAAATCATGACAAATCCTCTGTCTTTGACTCATTGCAGACTTTCCATGTCTCCTGCACTCGAACTGGTTTAATCCTGCTATGCTCTGTGGTTCTGTCACTGCAGATACCCAATTATTCATGAATAAAATGTAAGCATGTTCACAACAGCTGCGTGTGAAAGTATAAACTTTCCTGTGTCCATACATGCACTGTCATTTAAAAGTCAGAAACTGCCTTTTAATGCACTTAAAAACCTTTCAAGCACTCACCTTATCTGTGCTGCTCAGCTCTTTTCCTCCAGATGTTCCTCATGTTTGCTCCCCACAGATAATCATCACTGTGATCAACCCTCCACTGCTGCAAGCTCTGGGAGAGCGCTCACTTTTATACATGCAGACCCAGAGATCATCACTGTGTCGTCACTCATACCTTCCATCTGATTCCTCCCACTGACACTGAGCACACTCACAAAAATGGTATACACTATTAGGCAGCCTCACCATCAATCCCTGACTCAGTGGCTTAACAGATCTCTGGATTTGGCTTCAGGAACAGTAAATGTCTGAAAAACTTTACGCAGAACAGTGGCTTTTATTTCTTAGCTACCAGATGTTGGAAACAGAGATTATGTGTGCTAAGCAGGGGTATGTCCCGGCAAATGAACAGGTTCAGAGAAATGGAATCTGCAAGGATACGTACTGAGGTGATACATAAATTTTTTTGGTATGAATTGATTTCATTTTCCTCATCTGAATCACATGTTTCCGGACATAATACTGGACTTTTGCTTCAACTTTGATATGTCTTCACTAATGAAACAAACCACATGTTCAACTCTCGCATGAACTGCAGTTGTTAACTGTTTCTCAACACACATACTGATTTCATTCAAACAAACAACTAAGTTGTTTAGGATAGTCACCTTTCAGTGATATTGTGAGTGATATCATTCTGAATCAAAACAAAGTTATAAAAGATGTTATATATACGCTTGAAAAGACTGATTGATTTCTTTGGATCTGCAGCCTGTGATAATGTAAGGGTTAAATGAGCTCAAATCTTTCCGTTTTTTCTTTCATGACACTATGAGAAAGAATAACTAAAAGTGAAATCTGGTGTTTAATTTAGTAACTATCACTAAATTGAGTAAAAGTGTTTAAAGTGAAGTGAATAGGCAATAGTCCTGAGGACATATGACTTTTTGAAACAAATAAGGTAGACTATCCAGTTAGACAGACAAACACGACACTTCATAAGCAAATGGTGTAGGCCTACATTTGATCTGTCCTGTTATGAAAGCTGCATTATTGTGTCGAAATTGTATTAGGAACTTTCAGTTTGTGTCAATTTTGCACCTCTGTTGACAAAGCAATCTTTTCCTGTACATGCAGAAGTAGTGTTTTCTGACTGGAAAGTTTCATTATTCTGACCTTTGACAGCCATGGTTATTATTTGGTTAACATCTAAAATGAAAACTGTAAAAACAGGAGTGTTTCTATGGCTGCTCCTACCAGATTTTAGGCTTTAAATAGAAAGTTAAAAATCATCAATCTTCTTGCTTAAGATCTATTTTGTGTTTGACTATCCTAAAAAGGCCTCTCAGAAGGATCCTCAGAGCATTACTATGGCAAACTTGTCCTTCACTATGTTTAAACATGAGTGTGTAAAAGTTTCCCAATGCTTTTTCTCCAAGCTTTCTAAAAAATTTATAAAAAACAAAAGTATCCTTTGGTGACACATGCAGCGTATTTGAATACATTTCATACATCTCAATGGTTCATTGGTTAACTGTACTGTCTGTGCTTCCCTGTAATGAGAAAATGATTAAACTGTGCCATTTTGTAGACTTTTTTTACCACAAAAAGAAAGTGTACAAATCAGTTGGTGACTTTGTGGTAACTGTCTCTCTGACCCCAGACTGCAGTGGACTTAGTAAAACACTAACAGACCATAGATGGCTTTAGTTTGGCTAAAACACACTCCCCTGATCTGAAACTGTGAGCAGTCACACTCACAGTCAGAAATAAACTCTCTAACAAAATATGTTCACAGGATGACACTAACAGCTAACATCCAGCAGGATAATAAACTAAAAAGTCGGTGTTAGAGCCAGGGAATCCATCTTCAGACGTGTTTTTCTTTCAACAGTTTAGTTTGGGTTTTTACAGAGCTCCTTACTGTCTGCATGAGAATGAGTTGAGTTGTGAGGAGATGTTGATTTACATTGTATGTATATTGTAGTATGTTTCAGATCTGCAGCTTTGCATGGATTTCATATAGCCCATCTTACCATTTAAATAATCAGATGTGCACTATGATGTGGTTAGCCCTTACATACAAAAATAGATGCCTGAACATAAACACTTCTATGAACAATAACACTCTGCATGAGCTGGATAATGCTGTTTGTGGATGACTCACAGTTTGGTTCAAACATGGATTTTCAACATGGACATAATATCCGTGACTGGTAACCACTGACTGGTTTCTAAAGTAGAGTTCTGAAGCATCACCATGTTGTAAATGCTGACCCAGCATGAAGCAAAGAGGTAGAGCTGAGGTAGCCTGCCTGTCAGCTGCACCTAAAATTGAACAAAACTCATAACCTTTATATCGTTGAAGTGAAAAAAAGAGTGCAGGAATGCGGATACGAGTTATTCTGTCCTCATCTTTTTCTTGAATCAGGCTGTAAATCTGTTGAACTTGACTTTAAAGATAGGCTATTTTGAATGGGTGTGTATGTGACTTCTGATGCCTTTGCAGCTACCCCCTAGTGGACATGAGTGGAAGTGCAGTTTTAGCATTAGCTTGAAAAAGGCGAATTTGTACTGATCCATTTTGAACCATATAAGAAATTTTTTAATTGGAGTAGGGTGTGTTTAAATAAGTCTGAAAAGTTTTACAACACAAGGCAAGGTGGGTGAACCGGTAACCAGCAACTGTCGAACCACTGTACTTGAAAAAGGCCAAAAAAAAAAATAAAATCTTGTGTACGAGCCATAATGTTGCTTTGCTGATTGGTTACCCTGTGTTTAATTTCTTTTGTCTTGGTACCATTGGGTCACGTGGACACTGTGTTTGCAAGCCAGTAGGTTATATAAGGGGCGGTCTCACCTGCACTTGGGTGGAGAGGTGAGCCTAGGTAGCCGTTATTTTTGTTGACAGCCCTTTATGTTCTTTGTTTTGCAATGATACATATCGCAAAGTGTACACATATTATATCTGATGTGCGCGTGTAAATCATTGGCCACTGTAGAAGCGTTTTCTGCGTTATTAAAGCTACAAAACTTCGATGAACTGGGGGTCCTTTTTTGGAACAGCAGCGGTTGTGTCACAGAAATTTACAGGACCTATCCTCTGCCTCAAGTGACCTTTTTAAAGGTACAAGGAAAGCCGCAATACCTTGTGTGACAGTCACATCCCAACCTTTGCAATACTGGATAGTGCAGGAAATAGCTCATGGATTCACTATGAAGGTTTGAAAAATAGTTTGAACTTTAACAAAGTCGGGGATGATAAAAAGCTAAAAAAAAAATGGGTTAGCTGTGTCCTCTGACCTTTTGCTGACGTCTTGCTGAGGATCTGAACATGAACAGGTCTTTCTGTGCATGGGGGGATCTGCTGTTAATGATCCATAGTCATTTCCCGCAGCATCCTTGTTACACAACTCATCCCAGAGGAGTCACACATTATTATTACCTTTTTCCAAACTTGTAAATAAGCCATTTCTTCACTCAATACTATGCTTTGAGTGGGCAGATGACTAGAAAAAGAGTTATATAGACATAGTCCATTTACGAGTCCACTCACAAATAAAATATGAATTAGACGGACAGAATCCCCCCTGTAATTTATCTGACAGTCTTTCCTCTCTTACTTTCTGATGATGACACATCATGCAGCCAAAGAACAGGAGCAGAATTACAACATCTCTGTCGCTTGTCTTCTTTATCCATTACCGCAGGAATGTTTCTCCCTGCTCCCCTGACAGAAACTGAATCTGATTAGATAATCTGAGCCGAGCAGACCTCCCTGGTTTCTCACAGAAGCATCAGACCTGCTGGATGATGAAGCAAGACAGGGACTTGCAGCTGGAGACGCCACACATGGTGAAAAATATGTGAAATAAATCGTTAAATATTACTGTTGTAGGTTTGAACCACAAAGAGCTAATCTACAAATGCTGACTGACCATATCACTGGAGTTTAAAAAGACAGAAAGCTAAACTTATGACGTTTGAATCGTATACTGAGATTTTACACTTTCTTACAGAATACAGCTAAATTTCTCTTGTTTATTACCATCATTGTTCTCACTACGCTCCTGATGAAATTAGCAACAAGATAAACTGATAAAGCAGAAACAGAAGCAGCTTTTAGACCCAGCTGGTCTGTGCGGTTTGTGTTTCCTGCACTGATTGAGGACGTATGGAAGTTATAATTGACGTCATAAACTCACAGGCTGCATTTCCGTCCTTCCTTCTTAACGCACACTTAAAGTTTCACCAGAGCTAACTGCTGCCATGCTAACACTGTAAAACAGCAGTCACAGGATGCTCTTCACAGGAACCAGACTCCACATACAAAACAACCGTCATTTCTTATGCAATTAGAGTTGCTGGTCTACTGCTCCCTCAATTATTAGAGATGTCTTACAACCTGGAATTCCCAGTGACGCCCTTTGGGGATTGGTAAAGGCGGCTCGTATTTGGATACCATATTTGACTTTATGTACTGAGCTGAGGTGAACTGTACCGCACCGCTTGGTGAAAAAAACAGCCACCTTTTAAATAAACCGCTCTAAATCATGCAATTGCCTGTAACCCTCCTCCTGTGTTACGGTCTGCTCTCACCCGTTTTTGTTTTTAAATGTTTAAAAGAATCATGTAAATTAGCTTTCTCACATCAAGACTTCCTCTTCCAATCATGTAAGATTTAGGAAATTCTCATTTTGCCATGTATCTCCCGGCACAGAAAACAACGTCAGGCATGTCCAGACATGTGAGGTCAATTCAGTATGGATGTCTGTATGAGGGGTATACTGACAAAGAAAGGCACAGAGGCCCACTACAAAAATATTACAAACAATATTTTCTTGGATAATGAAGCCTAACAAAGTAACCTAGAGATTAGAAACAAATTGGATGATAGAGAATTGTTTTTAGTGTAATTTACAGCTGATTTAAGACACAGGTAGAAACTGACCCTTAACATAGTGGGTGCGTAATAAAAGCTAACACAGGAGGAAGGGTTAACTCTGAACAACAACCTCAGAGTCACTTTTAGTTATGGAGACCCAAAAATAAACCATCATAAAAAAACAGGGCCCATGCAGGTTTAAAAATAGTTGGATTCTTATTTGAGTCTCTGCATCATTTACACCTCACTCGTCGTTTTGTAAGCAGACTAACAGGGATCATAAAAAACCTGAGGATCCCCAGTCCTGGATCATATTATGAAGAAGCGTAGACAGCAGACCTCATTTTGTCTTTCTCCTCCTCTTTGGTTCTGCGTCACCAAGCCATGAGCTCAGTTTACACATACCCTCAGACCAAATATGGACTTCCTGCTGTCAGTTCAGGGGGAACACCTCCTCCCCTTTCTCCTTTTCCTCCTCCTTTAATCACCGTTTATCACAACATATCAGGGTTTATATAACCACACATTCACTGTTTCTGGAAACCACAGACCCTCTTCTCCACATTCCTCTAACAGGAATCTCACAGCTGCTGTTACTAGGTTCTCTCAATATATTTACGCCTATCCCGGTCACTCGTAGGCGAGAATAGAAGTGTTGTTGTGATGGCCCAAATTGTGTTATTTTCAGGGAAGGGATGACAGCTTCAGTTTCTACACAAGGTCTTCCGGACGTTAGAGGTATATGATCGGTCAAATGAAGACATAAACTCGAATCAAAAAACAAAAACCACGAACAACAACAACAAAACGATGTTTGCTGTAAAAATGCTAGTTCAAGCTGAAAACCCATACACTCTGATATCGTATTAAAATCTGTGATATATCAGTGCATTTCAGGCATATTAGTTGAGTCTTAGTTGGAAATCATGCCACAATATAAACAATAAGAAACAGGTTTTTAAGTACACTTAGTGTGTCATGTGACCAAGGTTATGATTACTTTCCTTACAGGCACATTTACATTACAATTTAAGCAGTTTTTGCTGTTAATTTGCCCTGAGATTGTGTTTGCCCTTATTTTATTTCTTGATTTAGAGATTTATGGAGGTGACGGCCCTCACTTTCCTTCTTTTCACTTATCCTGGATAAGTATGTTGTGAAATATGTGTACAAGAGGGCGTTACCTTTTTCTTTCTTCTTTCTTGTGAGTAGTTGTTATCTACAGTAAACCTTTAGATCGTCTTTTGAGTGTTATGGGACTTAATCTCTAAGTGTATTTGAACGCCGTCTCTTAATGTTTGTACAATATCTTGATGAAGTCTCAGCTGAGTCAGAACACACTGACATTACCCTGTTTATTCAAGGATTTCTATTCTGTATCAGAGTGTTTTGGCCTCGCAGCTCAGACTGCCGTTCTTAGTAGCAAACATTGTTTGTAAAGTCAGTTTTTTGCTAAAGAAGATATTTTTCAATAAAAATGAAGAAATACAAAAAAGTTTATAAAAATCACTGCGCTTCCCTGTTATACTCTTTAATGTTACCATCCATTTGAAAAACTACCTTGTTGATCCGGGATGTTCCTGCAGGTGCATATCTTAGTATTACACAACTATTTCAGAGTGTTCCAACTGTTTTGAAATCTTGGGCTGATATCAAACTTAAAACAAACACACACTTTTCATAATCCAACTGTTATGGCCTGAGAACTTGGCTGAGCCCAGAAAGACAGGAGACTAATCAACAGTTCAAAAATCAGGCTTTTTATTGCCAACACACTCTAAAGAACCTCTGCAGGCTGTGGCTGTTGGAGGCTGACTACCCACTGTCCAGCAGCCTGGAGGTGGGTGAGGCAGCAGGGCATGAATCTGGAAAAAGAACACGAGAGGGGATGGTCAGAAAAGCTCATGAAGTCGCAGAGGACTAGAACTTAGAGCAGGAGAACACTGAGGCTGGCACTACCGAGCAAGACGGAATTATCTGGCAGAGTAATGAGGGTTGAGCCAGTCTTTTATGGAGAGGTGAGGTGATTGGAGCCTGACATCAGGTGTGCCCTGCTGCAATCAGACAGAAAGTAGGTCAGCTGCACCCCCCAGCCACAGCCTGCTCTGCTGAGAGGACCACAGGAGAAAACTGATCAAGAGCACAAACAGAAAACTTCAACCAAAACCAAAAATATCTGCACAATAACTCAAACCATAACACCAATATTTTTTTTTGTTTAGCATTTGGTATGTTGTCCATGTATAGTCTGTAAATGACTCTCAATCCACCACAATCTCTTTTTACCAACATCTAACACAGATGTTGGTGTTTAGTTAGTTCTTTCTTGTCACAAAGTTCTTTTCTAGCCGCAATTGCAACCACTTATACACAATAAAATTGACACAAAATGAACAGAGGAAAGACACATTTCAAATCAGACATAAAAACTGCACCAAAATAACTGTGTGATAACGTTACAGTGAAAAAACTACTCTGAATTAAGGTTGTTATTCATTGGCTTGTTTGTCTGCAGACTTCATACAGTCATACAGTGACTACAGCTACCTCCTGTGGCCACATTGAGGAAGTACATGAAAGAGCTGTGTCTTAAAGCCAGCATCAAAAAATCACACATTTTTTAGTGTCCAAAGAGTAAAATTGAAAAAGGATGTCCATTTTTTCCCACATACATTTTGTTCTACATTTTGTATGTTTTCAAAAGCATTTGAGGTTTCACTTTAATGAAATACTCACCTGAAAGTTTATTACTCATCACCTTGAGACTTCTCTAAGATTGTAACGTCCTTTTTCAAATTGAAACAAAGGGTAATGTGCGAAAAAAGGAGCAGCAGGTTCACATGTTTCTGTGGAAAGACAGCGTACTGTCTGACTTCATCATTTAGAGCCAGCACACTCTGATTGCATTAACGCTCTCTGTGACCCCCAGGCCGCTGCTGGGGCCTGTTGTATCAGGAAACACTGACGTTTCATTAGCCTCTCTGCTCAGCATCTCACCTAATGGACTGTCTGCCTCTGTCTGCTGTGTGCCGAGGCTGTCAGACTTTGCAGGGGGGAATATTTATCAAACCTATCAGACTGTCTGGAGGATCCTCGCTGCTCACTTGAATCATGAGACTCAAAAGTGTGATAGCCATCGCTGCAAAGGGACAGCTAGTTTAAGTGATTGATAGAGACACATGGAAACAGGTCAGAAGTCTGTCTCAAGGCTACAAAGTCCCCTCTCCTTCTCTTCAGCATTTACTCCTCTGCTGATGCATAACCCTTTCTGGTCTGTAAAATGTAAATAAAGGTACTTCTGGTCTAGAAAATGAATATCCATAAAGAGTCAGTTCTGTTTCTGATGGTCTGGTTTGCTTTTTGGATAATTTAGAGCAGGAGTGTCCAAACTCTTTCCAAAGAGAAACACAAACTGACATTTTCTAACCATACAAGTTATATACAAATGCTCTTTTTAAACAATTTATTTTCAAGGAATTTTCAAAAAAGATGATAGCTGGAAGGTGTTGAATATATTTGAACTGCAGCTAGTCAGTACAGGAAGCCCTTGAATGTTGTTGCTTCTCTTTTTAGGAGGCTGCAATCTAAAAACCTTTTTTCAACACCAGGGTTGAAAAGGGACCAACTACTTATTGGGTTATTTTGACCCAGAATGTTGGGTTGTTCAAATTAACCCACATTTTGGGTTGACTCAATAACTCTTCTTAAGGGTCAAGTTAACCCGATCTATAGGGTACAGGTTGCACCCTGGCTGTTTCAGTGTACCGACTGTGGGTTGCTTTGAAGCAACCATGTATCCCTCAGCCTGTTCATGTATCCATGCTGGTTAGGGTTACTGGAGTAGTACCATCCCAACAGAGTCTTGTTCTCATCTCATGTCCATTGCCTACTCTTTGTTGTTCCAGTAACCCATTTCTCATCACCATGCCCTGGTTCCTCAGCATGTGACGCTGACCTTGTTAACCTGGGCGATGTCTGAGCTGGTTTGGCTTTCAATGGTAATGCCCTCATGTTTATGGGTCTTGCCTAAGGACCCACACTGGTAGATGTAGTTCGCTCCAGGTCACTTTAATTACCATTAGGCCTAGATACCACGTAGAGTTAATCGAACCCAACATTCTGACCCAATTACTGGGTTACTCTCAGAAAAATAACCCATAATTATCAACCCATTCAAATAACCCTCAAATTGGGTTACAATAGAATCCATATGACCCAAGAAATGGGGATGGATCTGAGGAATAACCCAGAAATTTAACTCAACACGTATAACCCAGGAACTGGGTTGAAGAAATACCCCAAGAGTTTTAGAGTGTGTCAGCTCATCCTCCTCTATTTGGTTCATGCCTTTTCTCTATTTTGCTAAAAACATGTTCCAAAAAAGGCTTTTGTTTTACAATGAGTCACAGATTTAGGGTGCACACCCGAGGCAAATATTAATCTTTCTTCAGTGGTAGCAGTAAACAACCTGAGGCTGAGGGCTGGACCTGACTCAGCGCTTTAGTCTTTTCTTTTTCTTCCTTATCCTTTGGTTATCTCATGTAGCAGGTTGAATAATGACATTAAAAACATAAACATACTATCTCAGGTGATTCATGCAGATGTTCTATTTAAAAAACTACTGAGTCGGAAAGAGCGGGCACAGTGACTCTGAGCATGATCTAATCCACTTTGTTCCCTCTTTATTCCCATGGTTGTTTCTTTGCACCAAACTTAACTTTATTACAACCCTTTTCACATTTTCTTGAATGTTGAACTTGCTAATTATTCCTCTATACCCCCATTTACTGAGCTCTCTTTACACCTAAAATCTCCTGTGTGTTGTGGTGTCATTATCCGAGTATTTGTGCGCTGTGGTTTGCAGACAAGGGAGGATACATAAAGCAGGTGTGACGCTGTGGGAAAACGGGTATGAGGGCAGAGAGTTGCATTGCTATGGCAACAGGCAACTTTAAACCCACAGCTCATTACGGCTTATTCAGCTTGGAAAGCAGTTTGTCTGTTGCTGAGGAGAGGAGCAAGGACAGAATTTACAGGACGAAGATGTTATCAAGAGTTTCAATTTCAGCGGCTTAATGAAAATATACATCCTGAACATTGGAATCAGATTTTAAACACAAGGCATATATGAGCTTTGAAATCAGATAAACAAATGTAAAAAAATACTATTTGGATGAGAGCTTTCACAAAACTGTATTTACCATGTTTGCATGATGAATAAAGATAGCATCTGCCATGTGATTGGATCTGTACTACTTCATAAATATCTGAGATCCTTGAATTATGATTCCATATCTTTCAAAATGATATTCAGCAATTTCCAGAGAAGCTGAATCTTAGGTTAGTCTTCCTTATCGATAATAAATCCTCCTTTTGTTTTACTGCAAGAATAAGATTACCCCACAGTATACGCTGATGATTTATAAATGCATAAACGTCCTCAAACCTGCTCTGTCATGATAATATATGACGCCGCACTGAAGTTCATGAGAAATCTCCAGGCACTAACTCATCATCGCCCCCTGCTTGCTCAAATTGTCCATCCCACATTGTATACAGTACAAATTGTTAATCCAGGTAATTTTTACAACCTCCTTCTCCAAAAACCTAGACTTTGTGTAAAATGTTACAAATGACAGAATGTGATGCTATTTAGAAATTTGACACCATCAACACATTTCAGAAAATTTGGCATAGGGTCATATGAGCATCTGTCTTATGCAAAAGAAAGACGTGTGAAAACTCCTCAAGAAAATAAGGTCAAATTGCTACAAGTTAGTATCATGACTGAGAGGCTTAGTTTCTCAGAAGTAAAGATGGGAAGAGATTCGACACTGTGTTAAAAATACAGGTTAAAACTACGAAAGAGGATTAGGGCCACATGAAGAGAAGAAAATAATTACAGGAGGGAGATTTTTTTTCATTTCCATTTTAAGATTAAACTCAAAATTTTGAGATTAAAGTCGCAATTTAAAAAAGTTGAAATTTTGTATTGTCATGTCGACTTTAATCTTGAAATTATGACATTATAGGCAACATTTTTTAATCTCAAATTTCGACTTTAATCTCGACATTTCAATTTTTAATGTCCAAATTTTGACTTCATTGACATAATTTCGCTTTTTTTTCTAATCTGGAAATTTCAACTTTAATCTCAATTTTTTTTTTCTTTTAATGTGGCCCTAATCTTCTTTCGTATAAACTGAACCATGCAAAGAGGAAACCAGAAATAAACATGATACAGAAACAGCAGACTTCCCCAGACTTCCCATTTGAGATGAGCTGAGACAAATAAAAAATCTGTCCTGACATTTGACATTGATTTTGGAACTCATGGACACTGCAGACAATGACTTTTTAAGGTTAGACCTTCATATTTCAGCATGAAAATGCCAAACACATTCTGCATGTATTACAAAAATATGGCTCTGAAGTCCTACTGAGTCTAGAGCATAGACTGTATATACTCTAGACAACTTGGTCCCAACTTCCGCCAGTATATAGATTTGAAGCCAAAAAGCTCTCGGTAATTCTGCGTTTTTTTCTCTACTTCTTGAAACCGGCATTGCACAGTAGCGTTGTATGCACTCCACAGCTTGAGCAGTACCGTTGTACTGACCTGCCTGCAGTCTTGATGTGAAGAATTTGGCACATCATTAAACACAAATTAAGTGACGTAGGAGATCTGATCGACTGAGCAGGTGAAATCTTATATCAGTGAAAAATGAGATAACAGTCTTTTATTTACACAGTGTCCAAAGTGTTGTAAATCAGAGTTGAAGAAAAACATAAATAAAGCACAGACACAAGGACATGTGAGGATTTGTAAGGTTTAATAGGGTTAAAATGACCTCAGAATTGGCAAATACAGAAGGCAGATATATATATTTTTGAAGGAGTAGTGATTTAAAAAAAGCATCTCCACTCAAATCCTCGGCTGTGTACTGTGCTAAACTGTTACACATCTACACGTACATTATGCACCAGCAGTGGACCTCTGCTGAAGAGGTCTAGTCCCTCACTGGTTCCACAGACTAAATAAAATAATGAAACATAATTTAAAGCATTAGTTATTCCCTCATAGAGAGGTTGTATTGACGCTGAGGTCCACTGTTGGATAGGTAGCTGAGAGCTTATACACACACGCTCAGCCCTAGGCTTACAAGGAAAAATAAACTAAAACATTTTAACAGAGAACATGTCGGCCACTACAAGGAAAAACAAACTTGAAAACACAAACACGGAGAAGAAAATGAGATATTTGTACACCACGTCTGCAGTTAGAATCTCTATTTCCTCTGAGATAGATGCAGTCTAAAGTTTTTCCACTCCCCACACTCCTCCAGCAGAAGTTCATTATCACTCAAGTGCTCTGATGACTGCAGGGTAATTTCACTGATGTGAGGAAACTCCATTTGATGAGTCATCTCTCAGCAGAGGCTGCGCTCAAACAGCCCATCACTGTACAGAAATTACATCCCACGTTCCTCCACGCGCTCAGCTCAGAGCCCGTACATTCAGAAAGTAAAGGCGTACACGACGCCCACGACTACAATGTTCCCGATGGTGGCGGTGATAGCGATCCAGAGCCAAATGGCGTCCCTGGACATGGGCTGGGGTTCCTCGGGCTGGCTGTGAGCGACCATGGAGGCGGCGTGGACGCTGGCAGACGAGTTGAACAAAGAGTGGTCAGTGCTGTAGTCGTCATGGTGAGACGAGTCCATGAAGGCACCAGTCATCATTGGGATCTGTGGACAGAAAAACAAATGTCATGGAAGTCTATGCATTTATTATGTATATATACAGTATAGGGTTGAGCGGTATGAACAAAATCTTATATCATGGTATGAGTAATTTCATATCGGTATATATCACGGTATGTTTTTTCCCCCTGTAAATTTAGTTAATTGCTTATAAATAACCGTACCAGATTATAGGGCGAGAAACGAAACCTGACCAATCAAACGGAGCGAACAAACTTCGCACGACATGGGACACGCTGGTGAATATATGGAAATGCACCCAAATCGATGTGTTCCGGCTTTCCTGTTAGCAAGTGTAGACAACTACACACTGACTCAGAGAGACACAGCAGATATTTGCTCTCTCTCTCCCGTATACATGGTATAACAAAATTTCTACCAGTAGACACTTTTATACTGTCACATGGTATATACCGTTATACAGCCCAACCCTAATATAGTATATTATACAGCTGATTGTAGCTGCAGACTGTATAAAAACTGAGTCTGTGTGATATCACTCTGGCTTTCTGAAGTAGAAAAGCTGCCTGATGATGGTAGTAGCTGTATTGGAAATGCTGTCCTAATCTAACTAATGTCCAATCTAAAAACAGGCAAAGAAGTTGAACTCAGGCAGACATTAAGCCTCCTAAAAAAACAGCCACAATGCTTATAAAGAGATTTATGTATAAAGGTATAAAACAAAAACATGCAGCCAGTAAATTAAAAAATGTTTAAAGACTATAAAGTTATCACAAATGTGCATAAGTATGTATAAAAAAATCACAGAAACTGTATAACAGTTTATTATAGGACTTGGATAAAGTTGAATAAGTTGACTGTGAAAAAAAAATAGACCCGACAAGTTTTTTCATTAATGTAAACACGGGTCTATTTGGATCTCTGTCCCAGCATACTAGCGGTGGGAATCATTAGTGGCTCCATGATAATTGGGCGACGATACAATATCACTGCAATTTTTAACATTTTGCAATACAGTGAGTATTGTGATACAATGTATTGCGATTCATAAAACTTTTTCAACTGTTTAGCTTTTTAGCATTTGTCTTTCCTTTATGTTTGTCTTATTTACGCTGTATTTTATTTTCATGTAGCACATCTTGCAAACCTTATATTTGTTGTACTAACTTTCTCCTGCTCTATGATGTCACCTCTGCCAACCTCACTGGACAAACAATTGATTTTATTTTTCTACTATCATAAATTTGACTTCATACTAGCAATTGAAAAGAGCATTATAGTGCCTTTACATTAATACATGTCTATAAACTTTCCTGCAAGAAGGATTTAATTTCAGCTGATTTAAAGCAATTGGTATCTTTCAGGAAATGAAGAAAAATCCCAGAAAGACCGAGAGCTATTTGGCTTCAAATCCGTATACAGGCGGTAGGCGGAACCAAGTTGTCCATAGTATGTACAGTCTATGGCTCTTAAGCACTGACTGATTCAGTGAACGAATCTTTTGAATGAATCATTTTAATGAACGGATTCTAAAGATTCAGTACAGTCAAAAGAACTGTTCTTTCCATCACTATTGTTTGACAAGTAAGTGCTCAGTGAGGAAGCCCGTCCCAACAGCCCTCATACTCGTTTTCTTTATTCACAAGTTATGTAGTCAGTCACATGGTTCCTTATGCCCTCCACGGCCTGACAAACAGTCGAAAAAGTTTCTGACTGATGTGGAAAAGGACCTCCACCTCTGTTTGTTTGTCACCTTGAAGACTTCAAACCACTTACACTTTCATTCAGTCACTCATTCCCTTCATCAGCAGCACTAAATGACTTTCACAGAGAGCCTTTATGATTCATGAACAAACACACACACAGGTCACTGCTTCTCTATCAAACCTTCAGGTCAAATTACATCATCTGTATTCGTCTCAGACTCAAAGCGAACCCAGGCCCAAACAGAGGGGAGATATTCACAGTCCATGCTTTAATTTAAAATTGACATATCGCTCAGCTAAATGCTAGAAGCTGCTTCAACTGTATCTTCAAATGTACTTGTAGGCTTCATTCAGATGACAGACAGCCCAGTTCTTTCTATATTTTCCTCATTCAGACTCTGATACACACTGTGATAGATCCTGAACCATCTTCATCCTCTGAGAGCTCATCTGAAACACGCCATGTAATAATTGGATTTCTGTCAACACTGATGGTCTCCTCACAGGTTTTAATATACCTCACCATTTAAAGCCACTCATCATACACTTATTGAGATGGTAAAAGACGACATTCAATAATATAGATTTTCTAATGAGGTTCATATTGGAGGATACCTCATGCTGCCATGAGTCCAGTCTGATATTAAGAGTCTGGCGTGATTTTGCTTCATGCTATGACTTCTCAGCTGATTTCTCTCCCTTGTCGTTCACTGATAAAGCAGTCTAACTTTGAGGAGAAACAGGGGTGTATGAACTTGCAGTTGGTTTGCACTCTTAGATCGTTCCGGGGATGCTCTCCTCTCATTCAGCTTTCTGTTTGAACCGTCTAAAGCCTCTTTGCTTTGTAATATAAAAGCAAACTCTGAGTTTGGACTGAAAGACTGGATGACAGTTTGAACCGTGGTGATGTGGATGCACTGACAGCCTCTCAGCTGGTGGACAGGTATCAATTTATGAGTCGGCTATGAGTATTGGATTGCCAGTTCAACAGACAGCTCTGTACTTAAAGAAAATAAAGTTTTCGTAATCTTGAGAGTGAAATAACACGTCATCAAGGTTTGTCTGCAACTCAAGGAATCAAGAAAGAGCTCCGCATCATGTGTCCAGGGTCTCAAATCAACATCTGTCTAGCCCCAAATGTTGGTACACTTTCAATTTGACCTGCCACTAAATATTTGTGCTAAAATGGTCATGGAATCAAAAACTTCTTAAACTAAATCTATAACAATTACATGATTTTATATGAATTGTGTTGAGGCTTTAATTGACTTAAAAATTTTGTTCTGGTTAACTCTGCAACAAGTCATAATCTGCATGATATATATTGTAGCAAATGTGTATAATAACATTTCTTAAATCCAGACTAGTGTGTCTTTTCTTTTTTAGTGTCATCATCTCTTTTTAATTACATTACACTTGGCTTGAACATTTTTTCATCTACGGGCCAATTTGCCTGGTGCGTCAAAAGTTAATCCTGTACCCTGTCTGCACCCATGTACTTTGGTCCAGTTATTCAAAACTGATTGAAGTATTCAGATTAAATCAAATCAAGATAAAACTACTAGTTAGTGGGAATGAAACTTTGAGCAGGATTAAGATATCTTTGATTCAAAACGAGGCAAGCTCTCTTTCAACTGAGCCTTCCTCAAGTAGGCAGTCCAGGATCAGTACCAGCCTTCCCACCCTCTCCCAGTTTCCTGATCTATCCACTGTCCTGTCCAATAAAAGCAGAAAAAAACCCCTAAAATTGTCAAGATAAGGGTCAAAGTAATCCAGGTTACCTAATCCTTGTTTGAAGAATGAGTTTTATTGCAGAGTCACTTAAAATCTCTCAGTCACTCCCTCTGAAAACAGTGAGCCATCTTTTCTGTTGGTACATTCAGTTACCACATCATTAACATCATTCTCTCTATGTTCTGAGTTTGTGTGTTAGCTTTCTGTCACATGGTAATAAAGCACAGAGCAACAGAGTGATGAACCAACCTAAAATCAGTGCTGAAAGTTTAAAATGTCGAACTAAAGTATGGCTGGGCAATAAATGGAAAATTTACCGATACTAAAATTCACAACAGTAACCAACGTCATTATGCCCATGTCAATTTGGTGTCAAATGAATAAAAAAAAGTTGGTTTGGTGTGTAGGTAGGCTATGGTAAGACACTGTCCTACATTGGAGACGTGACTCCACCCCAATCCAGCAAAGAGGAAAAGACAGGTGAGGAGATGGAGGACGGTTCAAAAGTTGTAGCGGCTGAAGTAGACAAAATTAATGTGGGAGGGGGTGAGCAGCTTGTGGAGTAGTTATCGTCCATTTATCGTTACTGAGGTGAACTGCTCAATATGTTGTGATATTGATTTGAGGCCATATCGCCCATCCCTAAGCTGATGTTTAGTTAGTTATGTAATCACTGCATTGAACAGGGATGCCTGCCATGACATACTCATTACAGGCATTACCAATTAGGACACTGTGTAAAGTCACAGCGCAACAATTATTTGCACTTAACTTGTTCTGAGGCTGCACAGATCAAATTGTGGGAGTATACTGTACATGACCAAAAGGGTTTTAATTTCAAGCCCTGCTGCAGACAGTAAGCCCAGCAATCTGCAGGTCTTTATATTCATTCCCAACACTGGATCTGACATGAAGCCAAAGGTGCTGCAGTCTCCAGAGGCAGAATCTTCACAGAAAAAAATGCCCTATAGAAGAGTTTTTTGGGGGAAGAGTGAAAGAAAACACAACACCAAGTGTCTAAAAGTCTCAGACATCACTGGAGAGCAGATAGCAAAACGAGAAACTGTGACAATACCAGAATGTTTTTTGAAAAGTTCAGAGCTGAGCACAAAAAAAATGAGAAATAGCAAAGAAAGTGCTTTGTGCTTTCAGGAAATGACAAATACTTGGACAACAGCTCTTGGGCACAAAAGTAGAGACATTGTAAAAGCACCAGGGGAGAATAAGCACTCATTGAGCAATCACAGTACATTTTGGGAGTTGAAGAAAGCACTGTTGTTGATGCCATATTTCAAACCAACCCTCATACACCAGAGAAAGCCAGTTGAATTTTAAAAGGATTTGAAATAGGAGACAAGAATTTAACTATCCGACATGTCTTTGATGTATTATCATTTCTGTGTATCATAAAAACTAAAAGCTTCATCACAAAGCAGTAATTGGAAACTGGGGATGCATCAAAACCAAGACAGGACAGATCAAGACTTCACCGACATAAGGGAAATCTGGGCAGTAATCACAGTCATTCCAGCCAACAAAGACAGAAAAACATAAAAGCCTTCATCCTCAATCAGAAATAATTAAGAAACATTCATTTTAATGAGTAATTAAGCTTGGATTAAAGATCATTTTGTCTTGGCTTAAGAATAACTGAGGAAAATGCTTCCAAAAATGAATACAAACAGACTGTTTAAGGACGGACAGATCTAACAGCTCTTTTTATTATTGCAGCCTTACATCTAACCCCAGTGCCCTGCTAACACCGGGCGTAGAGGAGGAGAGAGTCTATAATTAACATCCCTCTCACACAGTTTTGCTCCTCCTCAGGTATGATGGGGAGAGAGATTGGACAGAGGCCCAAAACCATTAATATTGACAAGGCCACCATCACCCTGTTAGAGCTTCAGGAGCGTGGACACAGACTCAGAAAAGAGCTGCTACAAAGTGGACTCTGTACCTCTGAACAAAATCTGCCTCTGTACTCAGATTCAATTTGAAGAGGAATTAAAGAGGTCTGCTTCTTCTCCCAACCAAACTCAGTGATAAAATAAAATTTATGAAAAATTATGACCCCCTAAAACAGAAGCACTGTGTTAAAATCAGTGGTCCTTTTAAGCTCTTCGGGGACAGACACAGGACAGCAGCGGCAGGGCAGTTCAGCTCTTAAACACCCACTTCGATGAAAATCTTGTTTGTCTTGTTGTCTACATGTTTATATGGCATTTTTCTGATACTAGAGGACATATCAGGAGAAAACGAGTATTTCTGCATTCAAATCTAGAGGTGTCCCGATACAACTTTTTAACCTCTGAAATGATATCGATATCGTAACCTTCAGTATCGGTCGATACCGATATTGATCCGATATTGGCACAACTTTGTGCATGACAAGTTTTTCACTCAGCGACAATGCCTTTTTCGGACTTAAACGAAAAATACTGCCACACAGCTGACATCACCCCTACTCCTGACTACTTTGTGAGAACCTTAGTACACACTGTTGTTGTGATTTTGTGGGCTCTGCATGCTAGATCCAGGCGCTAGGGTGCCAGAGTGGAGTCTGGAATGGACTGCTTGTATCGGAGTGCTGATATCGGAGATTTTAGATGAAGGCCGATATAATCTGATATTTGCTTTTTGGCTAGTATCGGACTGATATCTAATATCAATATTGTATAAGGGCAGACCTATTCAAATCGCTGTTAATCTCTGGCAGACCCAAACGGCAGGATCAGATACAGTGAGATTTCCTACGTAACCAATCCAAGCTCCGCCCCCAGATCCCCGCGATGCAGACCAGAACAGAGAAATAGGACGATCGCGGAACAAGTGTCTGCATTAGCGGATTGAAATTCTTGTAAGAAAGCTAATTATGATATTAGCTTCAAAAAAACAACATTTCTAAAAGACAAACAAAAATCCATTAACAGAAAATAATGAACAGTGTTGAGGTTCAGCCTTTTGTCTCTCTACAGGAATGAGGCGAGGTGGAGAAAACTGAACACCACTCCCTGGAACACCACAAAACTCATCATCAGGTGTCTGAATGCTATTTTAATTATCTCACAAAGTTAATTATCATTTCTGACAAATACGTTTAATGAATGTGTGAATGTGTGTCCTGTGCTCAGCTCTTGTTAGGGTCAGACCTTCATGTCATCCCAGAAAAGTTTCACAAGAGAAGATGTGCCACAAAGCTGCCATCAACCCCCACGAAGATGAAAAGTTTGCAGGAAAATAAACTGCAGAATTAGCCTCATTAAGTGTGCATCTCTTTAACCTTGAAACCTTTTAATGAAGACGGTCCCTGGGTCAGAGTCTAATGTCTCTGTCTCAGCTGCAATTGTGCTTACATGACTCGAATTTTTAAATTAATTTGTATTTAATTATTTTACAACACAGCAAAACCAGAGCCATGCGGGGAATTTAAATAGCAGGAGGCCAGCAGGAGCAGGGATTCGTGGTGTTAGGGAGCTGGAGATACAGATTTCTGTCTCAACATGGCTTCAAAATGTCCTCAGTTTATCAGATCGTGTTCACAGCGTAGGTGAAGTGACCCAAATCTGACTTTTTTTGTTTATTTATGATTGAGATTAAATTTTATTTCACAACAGTCTGAACAGAAAAAGAAAGTATGTGGAACCTGATGCTTTAAAAATCTATTTTGAGACACTTATCAAGAAGTCTTCCACCAGCCATAGGTTGGATCTCTTGCAATAGTGACTCAGTCTTGAGCACTTGGAGGTAGTTCGGCTTCCTCACTATTATCTGATCAAACATCTGCTGGCATGTCTATTTTAACATGAAACTATAAACTAGTTACTTAAGTGGTGCAGGCAAGTCCAGGACTGAGACCAGTTCACGCAGGACTCGGATACAGGCACCATTTTAAAACGTATGGTTAACACTCAAACAAGAAACTCAGATCATAATCATTATTATAAGTATTTTTATTGACATTGATGCAATGATGATTAAAAGTACACTCATTTTAAGCAACTTAAAACCTCTTTCAAACTAAAAAACGGCAAAACTTTAAAGCCTACAATTCGGGGGGACCATACATCAATTCTTCATTTCACTTCAAGCGCTTTAGGTTAATATAAGTGATCATAGTTACTCAATTTTACACCAGATTTCACTAGTATTTTTATGTTATGATTTTTCTTTTTGTTTTTTATTTGAAGATCTGAGCTTGTTACCACTTAAATTTTATCACGGGCTGCAGAGCTAAAACTATTCAGCCTTTTCAAGCTTTTCAACAACGTCCTTGTACTTTATTATGAATCTTTTTTAACCACTGAATGTAGTTTCCAAAAGAATAATGACAGAAGATGCATAACCTGCAGCCAGCCCTGTCTTAATATCTTTGCAGGGATATAAGCTGATAATTGTCTCATTAACTTTGCCTTTCTCTGACATCGAAGCCTGTTGAATTAAGGCAATCCCTGGATCACAATATAATTCCTCTATGTAAGCAATTTTATATTAGTCTTATATTAGTGCAGATGTTAAAATTAATTTGAGTGGCAAATCTAGAGCCAGACAATAAAACAGACCAGAGCAGATGGTAGCATAAAAGAGAAAAATCAGAAATGATGCAACTTTTGGTAATGCAGCATATTCAATAAGGTCATTTTATGTTTGGGATGTTAAATGTTAATAAAATGTGATATTCTTCATTACCTTTAGTGAACAAAAGGATCTTTAAATTCAGTTCATATGGGAGGTGAAGTGTTGAAGTAGCCTGTTTATTTGAAAGACGTCATGTCTTAATTACCACTGCTTAATTTAATCCACACACGACCTCAAGCTAAACTCAGAATTAACTTTGAGAGCAAACTTGCCGGACACTGAAGGCAGTAAACTGAGCTTTGGTTCATATGTCAGAGTAAATATATGATTTATTGGTCATTTTTTTCCCTTTCAACTCCGTTTTACATTCACGTCTCCTTCATTAAGATCTCATTCGATAATCTTTCCTGATAAAAACAGAAATAACCAGAAGAAATTTACCTGCGCTGCCATGAAGGAGAGATCCATGGTGGCGGAGGTCTTCAGGACAGTTATCCGACGTCTGGTCCTTCTCAAACGGCGTCAGTGGTCGTCCTACTCCCGCGGAGGAGAAGGAGGAGGAGGAGGACAGGAGCTCCGACTGGAGGTGACAGGATGCACCGTCCTAAACATGCGGAACAACATGTGAGCTTCACCGTGCAGCCAATGTTAGTGTGACAGACAGTCTGAGAGGAAGAAGAGAGATGTGCGAGACAGGAGCGTTTAACTGAGAGCTGACGAAGAAGGGGGTGGGGGTGTGACAGCAGCCTGAACTGAAGCGAGGGGAGAGAGGATCAGTTCAAATTTTAGTCTTTTTTCCCCCTCTACAAGTGAGTATTTTAAGAGTAATAGGATCCTGTGCAAAAACATCAGTCAGAGCAATGTTGAAAATGTAAAAAGTAGGGGAGACTGGGGTCAGTCGTGACATAAATCTCTCCAGATTCAGTAACTACTTCTATTGGTCCTTGCCAGTGGAAGTACTTCACTGATTAAAGGTAAGGATGCATCTATAAACTTAATAAAAATACAATTCATAATGCTGAGTTCATACTGCAGAGAGCTTTTCTTCTTTGGGGGTTTGAGTAGCTGTTTATGTTAAAGCTTATTAGGAGATATTGCCTTACAAAGCTGTTATCTGTGGAGCTTTTCATTTGCCTTTTTCATTCAGTGACATTTATCTCACTTCCTTTAGATGGTAAAGTCATGCAAGAGCAGGATCAGAATGATGAACAGTAAAATAAAGCTGGATGTAGAGGTGCCCCCCATGAGGCATAACCTCTTAAATTGTTATAAAGCTGTCTTATGCCTCTTTGATTCCCTCCCTGGAAAGCAAACCAGTTTATAAAGGGATATTCCAGCCTAAAATTAATTTAGGTTCAAACATACCGTAAAACCCAGTTAGACACCCCCTCAAGAGATGAATATTGACGACCACTTGCTTCTCTAGTTAGACCAGCTTTAGTAACGACCGCACAATAGCAATACACAGCGGTCTGGGGAGACATAAACAAACCTCAACCAAAACGCCTCTATATGGTCACAAATAATGCTCAGAACAGCACCTAACTTCATCAACAGTACATATAGGGTCCCAGCCACAGCACTAGCCATCAAACATCTTAACTTTGCATGATTTCTTTAGCAAAGAGACTAAACACAACTCACCCACTCTCTTCCAGTGGCCTTTGTTTGTAGTGAGACCTCAGGCCAGTCCAAGGAAAAACATTTATTATCATTTCTTCTCGAAAATGCAATCAGTCCAAGACGCTAAAGCAGAAGAACTACCACGTCTGCAGTGCAAAATGATTAATATGATGATTATTACTTCAAGGAAATGATGAAGAAATGATCATAAATGTTCTTCCTTGAGCTGCGTCGTCCCGCTGTAGTCCGTAATGGACTGGCTACAAGGTCTGGACTGAGGTCTCGCTACAAGCAAGTGGCTGCTGGAAGAGAGTAGGTGAGTTGTGTTTAGTCTCTTTGCTAAAGAAATCAGGCAAAGCTAAAAAGATGTTTGGTGGCTAATGCTGTGGCTGGGACCCTATATGTACTGTTGATGAAGTTAGGTGCTGTTCTGAGCATTATTTGTGGCTATAGAGTGGCGTTTTGGTTGAGGTTTGTTTATGGCTCCTCAGACCGCTGTGTATAGCTATCGTGAGGTTGTTACTAAAGTTGGTATAACTTGAGAAGCAAGCGGTCGGCAACATTCATCTCTTAAGGGGCTGTCTTACTCGGTGTTACAGTGTGTTTGACCCTAAATGAATTTGACCCCGCAATATTCCCTTTAATTGTCTTTCAAGCTACCCTTATATTACCAAGCGGATGTGACCTATTCTTTTCATTTTTAAAATATGACCTTTTTTTCTACAGATTGTTTAAAGGAAATCGCTAAAAGGTGAAGAAAGGTTTGGATTAAACAGGCTGTAAAAGCTGCAACAAAAGCCTTGGTGGGCTAATCCAAAGTTTCTGACTATATTAATGAATTAGACTCGACAGATAGAAAAAAAATTAACACTGCTCTCTCAAAAGCCACCAGACTCTGATCAGCAAAAAGACCACAGATCTACTGCTTGCTAGCATGGTTTGTACATTTATATAAAAATGTTTAAATTCCTGTCTCATCGTAAAAAAGAAGTTACATGACTTTCCTGTTAATTTTGGCTAAGACTCTCATAGTAAGAGACATTCTTTATGTGTAAATCTGCTCTGCAGCAAACCTGGACGAGATTCTGGGGATAGTGTGGAGCCAACAGCAGAGAAGACAAAACCATAAACAACAAGAAGGTAATAAACTGAGTGAAGGATTGTAAATAGCCACAGATATGAGTGTAAGAGAAATTCTGTGCTCATTTAGACAGCATTGTTATGACTCTATAATTGGATTTTCTTAATGATCCATATCTGTCATGCATATTGAAGTAGAGCAGTGCTCGGATCATATGTGCCGTGTTGTAATGAGGGCATGTATTTCACGCACAGAGGTAATCCATTATGCCCTCAGAGCGGAGTAGCTCTCAGACCAGCTGCTGTTCAATGTGAAGGAGTCAGAGTGATTAATGATTGTTTGATGAATGGCTAAATCTTTAATGTACAGCAGACTATTTTCAGAGTCCCACTGACACACTATAAACTCGAGTCTGTGTGCCGGGGAAGTGAAGCAGAGGAGTAATGAAGTTACAGTGCTTTAATATGATAATTTACTTAAAGTATCTGTTCGTGCATGAGTTTTTATGTTTCTTCCAACTTCCACTTTTACTCCACTGCACCTCCTGAATTAATTATATGAATACTTTTACTCCTATTACCAGCATAATACTCATTATTTCTTCAGGAGAAAGTGGTGGTCTAATGAAGGTTATTTTGTTGCCTTTACTGAATATACCAGTTTCAGCAGGTAGAGGATCGCTTCGCTGCTTTTTGTGGATGATGTGGTTCTTCTAGCTTCGTCGAGCAGTGACCTTCAGCTCATGCTGGGGCAGTTTGCGGCCAAGTGTGAAGCGGCTGGGATGCGAATTGGCACCTCCAAGTCCGAGACCATGGTCCTCAGTCGGAAAAAGGTAGATTGCTGTCTCCGGGTCGGAGGGGAGGTCCTGCCTCAAGTGGAGGGGTTCAAGTATCTCGGGATCTTGTTCACTAGTGAGGGTAGGATGGAGCGGGGGATCGACAGGCGGATCGGAGCGGCGTCAGCAGTGATGCGGACGCTTAACCGATCTGTCGTGGTGAAGAAAGAGCTGAGCCGTAAGGCGAGACTCTTGATTTACCGGTCGATCTACGCGCCGATTCTCACCTGTGGTCATGAACTTTGGGTAATGAGCAAGAGAACAAGATCACGGATACAAGCGGTCGAAATGGGTTTCCTTTGCAGAGCGGCTTGGCTCAGCCTTAGAGACAGGGACACTCGGGAGGCGCTCAGAGTAGAACCGCTGCTCCTTCACGTCGAGAGGAGTCAGCTGAGGTGGCTCAGGCATCTGGTTAGGATGCCTTCTAGATGCCTCCCTATAGAGGTGGCCCACCGGGAGGAGACCTCGTGGCCGGCCCAGGACCAGGTGGAGAGATTATATCTCTCGCCTGGCCTGGGAGTGCCAGGGAATCCCTGTGGAGGAACTGGTGGAAGAGGCTGGGGTGAGGGCCGTCTGGGCTTCCCTCCTGAAGCTGCTGCCCCGCAACCCAGACCCGGATAAGCGGAAGAAAACGATGACGACGACTGAATATATGGCTTTACATGAATGGATAGTGAGGATGGTAGTAATGCAACATGATAGATACCAACTGGTATATGAAAACTCAAAGAAAATGAAGCAGCAGCAAACATGCAGAAAGTAGTAGCTGGAATCACTGCCATTTTAACAATCTGCGCTTGGTCTTGATATCAGATTTTTTACTTCACAATTATCATGACCTTAAAATATTGATTTGATATTGTTGAGATATTTGTGGAAAACCTAAATTTGTTAAAAAGGCTGGTAATCATTAACACCCGTACACCCTATGTCAGATAAACCAACCCAATCACAACGATGACATTCCCTCAGCTTATTTGCAAACAGCCAAGCTGGCAGCTTCTGCTCCTGGAGGGTCTGTTTGAATCTGCCTTTTTAAATGAACTGGATGATTGATTTTCATAAAAACACGAACAGGGCAGTTTTGTATTCACATCGTTCACCATTCACCACAGGGGATTTTCCTTCCAACACTAAGCTGGTCAGTTGTCTGATGTGTCACTTCCCCCCTTTGCAGAGGTTTCCAGCATTGAAAATTACAATGTAGAAATAATCAGTCTTGCTGCTAATAGTCCCACTCTGAATGAGGGATCACTGCTAATTTCTATTTGTCTCGTAACCGCTTAAAACCTCCTCATGGGACCTTTGAATCAGGAAGTATTTTTAAACTTTTGGGTGATGAATATAAGAATGCCTGACCTTCACTCACACTCTTGTCGATTTACTGTGTGTTAGCTGTACTTTGGCTTAAGTATGGCTGTCAGATACTCCGTTCTTCTCACAGACAGTCCCCTGCTTATCATTTCATGAGTGTAAAGCAACTAAAAGCAAAAAACTTGCATTTATTCTGTGACTTGCTAGACAATCAGACAAACAGGTTGCAGTTTTGATAATAAGAATGAATGTAATGACAACATTTAAACCAAAAAGTCCAAATATGTTCAAAAGACACAGTCCAATATAAAATCTAGAGAGTATCCAGAAGTCCCTGTTAGTGGGTATCAAAGCATCCAGAGACCTGCAGCCCCCCTGACACCAGAGTTGGGCTGTCATCTCTGTCGTCTCTCAGGAGTAAACTGTGATACCTTATCAGAGCTCTCTGGGTCCTGCAGACACTGCTGTCACGTTTGATGGATCTTTTCTCTCCGCTGTGTCTTCAAGCTACATAATATCGCAGATAACTGGACTGTCACTCACTTTTTTTTTTTCAGCCTTATTAGATCACTTCTCTTAGTCCTAAAAACATTTGAGTGCAGCTAACAGGCCTGTGTGGACGGCTGTCATCCCCTTATCTGAAATCTTATCCCCTAGTTGATGGAAAGTATGAAAAAAAAAGATATATTTTACGATATAATTGACCCATAGACTGTATATAGAATGGACGCCTTCTGCCTCCTCACTGGGTTAAGCCGCCCTGAGAACAGCACCCTCTGGTGACGGGCTGCGGTATAGGTCATAAATCCCGCCTCCTCCAGCAATCCCTATGGAGCTGTGGACAAACTTTAGAAATTTATTACACAGAATGTAAATTTTTTTCTCCCCTGCATGCGATGTTGACATGTAGCTACTGTAAGACTGGTTTGTGCTCAAGTCATTTTTTTTTATGTGCAGCTCCGTTTTCAAAAGTTATTAGGGGGTTCATGTTTTCTATGATTGATACCTGATACAGCCTATGGGCGTATGAAGATTGCATAGCTCATCCGGGGAATATGCTGTTTGAGGAGAGCGTCGTCACAGCGACTCTCCTGACGAATGCGTACAATGCTACTGTGCTGTGGTGGAGTGCGTACAACGCTACTGTACAATGTTGGTTTCAGGAAATATCGCAAGCTTTTCGGCTTCAAATCCATTTACTGGCAGAAGGCGGAACCAAGTAGTCCACAGTATATACAGTCTATGAATTGACCATAAGATTTTAAGGGAGTTCCTGCTGTTTTCCAGCAGCAAGTTATATCTAGTAGCTAGTTTGTTTTGGACCAATATGTATAAGTAAAAAAAAACATCCAATAACATTAAAAAGTGAATAGAGGGAGTAATACACTTGCTGCAGATTATTGATTGGTTTAAAAAGGGGAAACAACAGTGATGTAAATGTTTGCCATATCACAGGACCAACTATTTGGTTTCACCATTATTTGTCAGAGCATTTAGAAAACAGATTTTCATTGATGGTTTGTTTGCCATTTAAGTCCTCATCTCTGTTTTAAAAAAATCAGTTTGTCAGTAAACCCCACAGAGGTAAAGTCACTATTGGAGCTGTATCTGGCAGCAACAACAAGCATGTAGATCCCCAACATTCCTGTTGATTTGATCATTTTTAAAGGTCTTATGATCAGATGTTCTTTTATACAGACACGTATTTTTTAATTACCTTGATGATATGTTTCGGCGTGCTGGCAGCAGTCTTCCTTAGAGTGTGACGCATCTTAAAATGGCTGATGTTTCCAAAGAACATCTAATTGTAATTTATCAAAAAAGACACAATGAACCTAATCCAAGAATTTTTAAAGGTCTGTTTCTGTTTCTCGATCAGGTTGATTAAATCCAGTTTTTCTACAAAATATCAGGACAAAGTGTGATGGAGTACCCGATACTAGAGAGCTGTGTATTTATAAATCAATTTTATTATGATCTAAACTGAAATTGAGCTTTGTGGGCCCAGAGCAATGCCAAAACTTTCTGTAACTATGAGTCATTTAGACTCCTTAATAAATGTTGAATTGCGGCTGAGGTTTCTGCTGACTTATATTCGTGTGACGTTGATCAGGTGTTATTTAGAGTTTTTCTTGAAGGACATTTAATGAATGAGCTTGCAGATATAAATTTACTGATAAAAAGTAAAATACAAACACTGAGACTAATTTTCAAGGACTTTGTGTACATGTTTTTGTCTCCATCAGGACACACACGTCTCCACGGATTGATTTACAAACCTCATCATCTCAGAGGATGGAGGCAGCTTCATCTAAATTCTCCTGTCCCCTCTGAGACCTTCCTCTGATAGGATCCATTATCTCCTGTTGTTTCAGAATGGCACTTCCTGTCGGGATAAGCAGCCTAATTGTAAATTTGCATAAAGCAAGAATAAATGGAGGACCCCAGCAGAAAACCTCTCGGTGAATTTGCATCCAAATTGGATCAGCCTCGCAGACTTAAACTGTTGTTTGTCCTCATTTTTCTCCCCTCCTCCTCCTGGCTGTCACCACAGTCCCTCGGCTGGTTATTGTTGTGTTAAAGTTTGCTATTAAAGAACGTGAGGCGCGTTGGAGGGAGTCATAAATCAATGCAGAGTGTTTGGAAGCAGACAGCAGACTCAGGGAGAGAGGCACATAAAACATTTCACTTTTCCAGATTCCAGTCTTAGATGAAATCATGTTCCACCTCGGCTACATCTCGGATAAAAGGTAAATCAATTGGTGGGCTTGACTATGAATGGATTGTGGCTGCATAAGGCTCCAAGAACCGCACATTGTCCTCCACCTCATCTCAAGGTATGATTGATAAAGCATCATACCCCGATTTCAACACACCGAAACACCCATGAAGCTTTGCGTCTCATGCAGTTAAATCCTATTTTGTGTTTGATTGTGGAGATGAACCATCAGCATCGCCACAAATCTATCCACAGATGATGCCCCAGATGAATGCATAATGGCTCATTTGAAGCCTCAAAGTGCAATTTGTGGTGCTTTTAACCCTTTAATACTGATGCACAGGTATTGGATGCACAAATACTGCAAATCTTTTTGTGCAGGTTTCTTTTTTTTAACTGAAAGCTGTTGTGCCATCATAAAAGTAACTCCAACACCTTTTTTATTCAGTCTGTAATTTAAGGAACAACAATGAAAACTGCTCTTCGGGACCTCAGGGCACAGTGACAGCTCACAGGGAGAAATCTTAAAATCTCAAAAAACTCACCAGCAGCTAAAGAGAAGATGAGACAGACAGGCAGTGTGATGTGAATTTTGTGAAACTTCGAGGGACAGACACTGGTGGGAGGACCGAAAGAAGACTGATGACAGAAGGGCCGGTGTTAATCAAAAAGCCTTAGGGTCGATAATTAAATCCAAAGAAAGCAGATACTGATGAAACTCCGAACACAAGTCAGTCTAAATAAAATCAGCCGAGCCATAGGAAAAACACTGAAAAACAGGATATAGGGTATAAAGACAAACTGGTCCAGAAACAGGAGTGGACAGACGACATGAGGAAGGTGAGTCTAATCATTTTCACCTGTTTCTGCTGTGTCTGACCTTAGAGCTGGACTCACCGTTACAAAAACAAGGATCGAACAAAGGAAAGGAAATGAAACCTCAGCCAGTATGTATGAACAAGGGAGTGAAAAACACAATAATTACTGAACAACACAACACAACAATGCAGCGACTCACTGGGTTTTCATGGCCATAATCCTTGCTATTACATTTTAAATCAATTGAAGCACAGAGAGACCTGCTAAAGATGGAAAGGGGAGTTGCAATAATCTACAATCAGAAGAAATAGCATTTTTTGCAAACAGACATTTCGAGCACTCCTGCTAATGCTCTGCTCATAAAGCGTCAGACCGCCTGTGTTTTGGCTGCATTACTCATCACTCAGTCTGTTTACATGTTGTTACAAAATGATTTATTGCATCAGTCAGACTGGAACAGGATGAAATTCAACTTCGAGTCAGACTAACATACCTGGATAATGTGATTGGGGATTGACTTTCTCTCCCATGTATACAGTTTAATTAAACTGAAACTGGTCTAAAGCGAGGCACACACATACAGATTTTTAAATCTGAAGAGATTTTCTATCTGTTACAGACCCCACACATGAAAATAAAACACAAAAAAACAAGAAGAAGAAACATAGCAACTACTGGGAAACACAAGATGCAACATGGAAGAGGACACACAAGAGGAGGGAATGATGGTGGTTTTGGGAGTGTTTTTGACAGAAAAACCCTGTACTAAAAAAAAGAAAAGACCGTGGAAAAATCCTGGAGACAGAGTGAACGTGGACTTTATTTGTTCTCAAATTAAGCTAATGGCTGGTGTGATTTTTCTAGTGACACAAATAAATGCGGCAGCCATCAAGGAAGACAAATTGTGCATGGTAAATTGTGTTTAAGTCATTCGTTTGTATTATGTTAACAGATAACTGATACAGCAGGCTTCTTGATTGGCTACATTCTGTTTCACGTGACAATTCACAGAGTCATGACTTGGGAGTCGCCGGCTTTCCCCACACACGTGAGGATTTTAGGTCGTAAATTTTGAACAAGTTTGATATTTACGATTGTCGCCCACCAACCCATTTCAGACCCAATTATTGGGACAAATTCACTATTAATACAACTCAGACCACAGGTTAATCTTATAGGATAATCTTATTAGACATAAGATAATCTTCTGATTGTCGTCCTTAGTCGGGAGGGGGAAAATGTTCCAGAGTTTGTACACTGGACTTTAAACCAGAAGTTTAATCGTGCAACAATATAAGAAAAAAAAAAGGACAAAACTTTCCTCTCGTACAAACCAACAGTTTACCATTTTTATAGTGCGACGTAAGTACCGTTAGCCTCTCACTAATGCATTTTGCAAACTGTTTTGATATGTAATACTTCATCAGGGAGATGACCCAATAGAAACGTACTGAAAGGAGTCTTGTTACCACTGACCCTGCTTCTGTCAATAATTTGATTCTTGCCTGGTGCCAGTAAACTGGGACAAAAATAGTCGTCAAGGTAAATCGCCTAACTGAGCTGTGTAGCTTAGTCCTCTCAGTTGTACCCAAACAGAAGCCATAATCTTTTATTCTGGTGTCTTGACTTTGAAAATGTCAAGCTGAAGGAGACCTATTATACTCGTTTTCACCCTTCGTTTCAATCTGGGAGATCAAGTGTAGTTCTGCGTGATTTACAGCTTGAAAATCTTATCAGCATCTCAAACTAGCAACCGGAAAAAACTCTTTAAATGCTTTTTGGCCTCTGCCAGAAACACTTTGTTTTGACTGTTTTTCCGGTGACATAGATGTCTGTGTAGGTTCTCATTCATTCAGGTCATGGTTATCCAAGGTTTAATCCAAAACTGGACTTCATTAAGTTGTGGTGAAGAGAGCTTTGAGAACAGGGTCTTGGAAAACCAGTAAGGTAAGTTAGACACAGCTTGTGAGTGTTATTTTTACACTTCTATCCTCAAATATGATTTTTTTCCACCATGCTCAAGAATCAGGTGCAGGTTTTTGGTACCAAGGACTTCTAACATTTCGTGAATGAGATTCATTATTCCTGTGTATTACAGTACTGATCAGCACAGCAGATTTTCAATGAACTGTCAGTTTCTTCATTTTGTCCACATTGGTTTTCTTGAACAATTTTTCCAGACAGCTGCAGGCAACACCGACTGTAAATGTGGTGCCGAGAAACAGAGCGTCATCTTTCAGTTTCCTTCTTATTAGAGCTGAGATGAAACTATGGATCCAAGTCATAATTGTCTGGGTGGGCTTGATCTTTAATAGTGACCTCTTTCTCATTGTGAGTGTTTTTGATCCAATCAAATCAGTTGTAGCGGCTTGGATTGAATCTATAGCTCTGAGGTCAGGTTATTAGTTTGGAGTTATCTGATTCTGTCCTCAATACATCTCAGATAATTCTTACATTGGGTTTAACTAATTACATGAGTGTATTTACAGACGCTCAACACCGGGTGAGACAATGATCTGTAGGTTTCAGTTCATACTAATAAGACTGTAATAAGGCTGAAGTCAATGAACAGAAGTAAGTCTAATAAAGCAAAGGCTGCCCTCATTAAACACTCCTATTGAACTTCACTTTTAATGGACTTCACAGGCTTCATTATGAATCAGATTTTCATTGATTATCTGGTCATGTGACATCATCTGATGGGGATTGAATTGAACAAGATTGTGCCCAGGGTTATTTATGTCCAACCTCAGACCTGTGGAGAAAATAACATCTGCAGGCTTTTATTGACGTCCTGCAGTGATTGTTTCCTCTGCAGCTCATGATGAATTAGATATCAGATTCACATGGAGCTCCGTGATAAAGACATGGAGGAAAAAAACTTTTCGGACAGCTTCCCAAAGAGAAATAAATCTCACTTTGGTGGTAATGAGTGAGAGCAGCAATTTTTCAGGAGTTTGGAGAGAAGCTGATAGATCTGGATTAAAAACACAATAAATCCATACAGAACTGTGACACTTTTGTGGATATGCTATAGACTGGGCATTATCAAGAAAAAGAGATGAATCAGCAAATTAGTAGAAGAACTTTTATGTCAATAGAAACTTATAGCATGGTGTTTGCCGATTTTTGGCTGGCCCACTTTAAAAGATAAGACACACTTTGGGGAAATTTGTCTTTGGCTATTCACTGATACTGCAGACACAACATGTAGACAACATACAACATGATAACACACAATTAAGGTTAAAATGACCTTGATGGTGTACAGGACCGACATGGTGCCAAAAGAAGAGAAGAGGAAAGTATTCAAAGTGAGGGTGAAAAACATAGATATGATTAGTGGGAGCGTTATTCCCATTAAAGGGATATTCCGGCGTGAAATTAATTTAGGGTCAAACACACCATAACACCGAGTTAGACACCCCCTCGAGAGTTGAATGTTGCCGACCACTTGCTTCTTTAGTTATACCATATTTAGTAATGACCGCACAATAGCAATACACAGTGGTCTCAGGAGCCATAAACAAGTTTCAAACAAAACGCCACTCTATAGTCACAAATAATGCTCAGAACAGCACCTAACTTCATCAACAGTACTGTAAGGATGCCTAGCCCAGGTTCACATTAGAAAGAATCGAAGGTCCACACGAATGATCATTTTGACAAGCTTTACTGATTACATATCTGGGTTACAGTTTCAGCAGGCCATAAGTGTGACCAACAGTGGTCCTCTACAAGTGTAACAAAGAGTGACCACCCCAAGTGTAGCAAAAAGTGGTCCACCCCCAAGTGTGGCAAAGAGTGTGACCAACACAAGTGTGGCCATCCTAAGTGTAGCAAAAAGTGGTCCACCCCCAAGTGTGGCAAAGAGTGGTCCAAGACCATTCAAGTATTTATAGCGGTTCACAATCCTAAACATACTGTTGGTATTTAGTTGACCCTAAGAGAAATCCATGTATGGTAAAAACAAAGGACAACATTTTTCAAAAGCCTTAGATGAACATGTGGAAGGTCCCAAGAAGGAAATATCATGACAAACATATTTTGGGGACCTACATGGTGTAAATAATGTGTACAGGGTTCCTTGCTCAGGGATGGTTGTAGGAGGCCCCCGGCTCCAGCAATCTAACACCAAAGTGTCTGGGGTATTTGAGTGACACAGCTCCACCACTCTACAGGCTGACATGACTGGCTAAAGAAACTCATCCTAACAAGTACATATAGGGTCCCAGCCACAGCACCAGCCACCAAGCATCTTTTTAACTTTGCCTGATTTCTTTAGCAAAGAGACTAAACACAACTCACCTACTCTCTTCCAGCAGCCGCTTGTTTGTAGCGAGACCTCAGGCCAGTCCATTACGGACTGCTGCGGGGTGACGCAGCTCAAGGAAGAACATTTATGATCATTTCTTCATGGAAATGCAATCAGACCGAGACACTAAGGCAGAAGAACTACCACGTTTGCAGTGCAAAATGATTAATATGATGATTATAACTTCAAGGAAATGATAATGAAATGATCATAAATTGATCATTTTGGTTGAAGTTTATTTATGGCTCCTCAGACTGCTGTGTATTGCTATCCTGTGGTCGCTACTAAAATTAATACCTAAATTAATTCTATGCCGGAATATCCCTTTAAAGGCAATGCATGTACATTGAAACTAAGTCATTACTTGCTCTTTTCTCAACCGATTTTCATGCTGTTTACTTTATTTTCAAAGCCAAAACATGTGCTATTAATATAGAACACTGATAAAAAATAAAGTTTAACAAAAATTTTACTTTGATGGCTTTACATGTAATTCACTTGCACAGATTATTCTATCTGCATTTGGTGTGAACCCAACATTTTTGAGTGCTAACTTGCAGAGAGTCTCTTCAAAAAGTGTAGAGTGTCTTCCCTGTCTTTTTAATTCTAGTTCAGGTAAAAATAAAAGGCAGGCAACCTGTGGAAATGTTTGTGCAGCCTCTGGATGGGGACAGAAACCTCCTCTGAATCTCTATTTTCATTTCCTCTTTTTTTTCCTGTCTGGACACCCTGTATTCATTACAAGATGGCAGCACCTGTCCATGTCGTTTAGTGGGAGTTATTTGATACGCCAAAGCCCATTAATCTGCTGAATGCAGACACAGGCTGAATGCCAAACTTGGTATAAAGAGAGCAATGTTTCTATTATTCATGGCAGAGGATAATCTACACAAAACCACAGGAGGGCCTCGTGAATATAAAGGAAAGGAGGAGGAATATGCTGAGTAATCACAAAAAACATCAAATTCTGACTTTGACAAGTGTCAAAGTTGAGGAAGAAGTATGACAGGAGAACCCGAGGACCACCTCAAAGGTTAAGAAATATGTGATGAAGAAAACAAATTTAGCGATGGCAGAGAAAAGGAGGAAAAATTGCTTCTGAAATACTTGGTCCCTTCAAACTCACTGGTGTTGACTATCAAAGTCATAACTACAAAATGACACCACGAACAGACCAGCCAGTTAACACCATACATTCAGACCACAAGAAAGAAGACCAGACACACAATCACTTCTTATCCTTTTCAGCCTTGAAAAGGAGGAAAATAATTCATCTTTATCCCCTCAATGACTGCCGACTAACTCTACCTCATTCCCAGGAGTGCTCCCAGCCAGACAGGCACAGACCCTCCATCAAGTTAGTTTTTCAGGCCACGTCATCCTGATAGTTTTGAATTAGCAGCTCCAGACGATGTCTAATCTCAAGGGCGCAAATTCAGCCAAACAAACCTTTTACCTTCAACTTTAAGAGCCTCACACTAGAACATGAACTGGAGATTGAGGTAATTCTTGATTTTCATTCTTGATGTAAGCTGCTTCAGATTCTTCTCCAAGATTTAAATGATTTGAATATATTTTGTGAGTGGATTATAAGAGCATATCTCAAAAATGGTGCTGAGAAAAACTAGATAACATTGTGGAAAGTGTGGATGAGAAAATATATGGTATAAACACAGCAGCTGGTGATCATGGGATGAGAATTAAGTGACAAAATGACAAAAAGGACGATGACAGCAGCAATTCACATGACATACAATTACAAAAACACCAATACACACAAAAAACAAGACTATCTAGCTCCATGGGGATGCAATGTATGCACTAAATTGGTTCATCCATCAATAGTAAAGATTATATATTTGTTACAATAATCTTACATACAAAGAATACATACAATTGGATGCTGCATTTAGTAACACCTGTAAAAAAACAAGTTGCATGAGACCAGAATCTTGATAGATGGATTGTAAACTTTAGCATTGTATTTCAGGTGGTACAATAATGAAGTGAGAGCTATTATTTGTTCTATTCTAATAAAAGAAGAAGAAGAAAACACCCTGAAAATTGATGAAAAATAAAAATAAAATGTATTGGAGCCCCACAGTAGAGCTGTTGTTATGTAACTACCACATGGATTTTGCTGTGGATGAGGCTGCCATAAACCCTCTCAGAGAGAAAATGAGAGAGAGCCGCAGCCAACCCCGCTACAGCATTCTGGTTAGCAACAATCAATTAAGACATTAAGGCATTAACCTCACCCTCTGCAAAACAAGATTTTTTTATTGTGCAGCCTTATACAGACACTTTGAAAAGGGACGGCATCACCAGTTGATCATGAGATAAAAAGCCTTTACAGTTATTCTCAGGGTGCATAGAAAGTCATTTTTTCTTCTTGCAAACTGAATGCACCAGATGTGGATTACTGTTCGACTGGCTCTGAATGGGACTGAATGCTACCTGAGTGCTTCTCATGCAGCAAATGATGAGACTCCAAACTGCCAAACCACAGAGGCTGTCTTTATTTCTATTAACTTCACACAGCTGCATAGAACATGAGCGTCATGTGTCAAGTGCATAGACTTTATATAGTATGGGCAACGTGATTTATCTCTCGTCATTGTTGCGAAAAAAAAAGCTCATCAGGAGAACGTGCAATATTTGCACACCCATAGACTGCATCAAAGTCTCAATCATAGAAAATATGATGTAATTTCCCATTTTTATAACCCAAATAACTTTAAAAAATGGAACTGCAAAGTTTTCAAAGTTTGGCCACAGCACCATTCATTTTGCTGGAGGAGGCGGGGTTTATGACCTGTGCTGCAACTAGTCACCAGGAGGTGCTGTTCTGGCAGAGACTGCATCCAGCGAGGAGCCAGATGACGTCCATTATATATATATATATATATATATATATATATATATATATATATATACAATCTATGGTCAAGTGTCATACTTCTACTCCCCTGAGAGTCAAATGTGCAAAATGTGAGCTGACACAAAAGTCATGCCGGCCTATCCTGAAAGGTATCTAAAGTTTAAATCTAGACTGCTGGCTTGGACATGAACCATGAAACGACCTCCATTTAGAGCATTTCAGGTCAGACAAAGACTTTTTTGTTTTTTAAGCTATTTAAATTCTTCAAATGACTACACTAACATCCATTTTAATGACTTGTAGCACTACAGATAGTGTCTATGCGAGTCTTATAACATGAGAGTGTTCTTTGACTGTGATGTAATGGCAAGGTCAATCTGGACACCTTCTGCCGGGCCGCATGCTTTTTGATTTGATTAGAAAACGCCATCATGTGCTTCTGTGGGTGCAAAAGTTAACAGGGTCAAGTGTATTGACTTTATGCATTTTCCCCGCAAGATCAGTTAAATCAAGTCCTGTTTTGTCACAAACCCTATATAAAAAAGGCTTGTGATTGGCGTGACCTGATTGAAATCAGCGTGAACAGAGAGCACACTTCTGTTAGAGCGAATCAAAGATAAGCGCATACACCCATGAGGTTCCCCTTGTACTTCTTTCAATCATCTGAAGGTTACTTTGACCTGTAGAGAGGGAGGGGCTCTCTGTCACCAAGATGAACAACCTTACTGTATATGTGTGTCCTTTATACTAATAAACATAAGTATTTGATTCACCTTTGACTGCAGGGTTCATCGCGGCCTCTAACACTCTGCTAAAGCTAGCTTGCAGTCTGCTACTTCTTTATCCACCCTCTGTTTCATGATGTGTAGCAAAAGGATAAGGACTACGACTATGAAGTCACTGTATTACCTTGTGCTTGTTTTTATCTATGTATCTCTTTGTCTGTCTCCCTATATCTACAAAAATATACAGCTATTTACAGTTATTTTCAACATCCGTGGCCGCACCTCCACAGCCCTATAAGTACCAAACAAATATAAGTAATTATGAATTTTGCAGCAAGTTTAAATCTTATTAAGTGTCAGTGTGCACCCGCAGTGAACATGTAGCCTATGGATAAGAGTATCCAGTATGAATATGTGCAACCACACATGGCCTACATGTATATTTCCGATGTTGGTGTTGATTATGCTGATTGAATAAACAAAATAAATATTAATGCAGACATGATTTGTAAATATTCAGTTCTTCTTGGCCTTTCTTTTGTGTATAGTGAGGCATAAATTATTAACCTCTCTGTTTACTGACCCAAACTCAAACCGGTAATGGAAATAATGCAAATGCAATAACGCATTTTGTCATTATTTGTACAGAGAAAATGTTTCTGCGTTGACTGCTTTCAATCTCAGGGCTGGTTTGAGTTTAGAGGATGCTCTCCCTACTGAACAGCAGATGGCAGCATATGAACACTGATCGATCCCACTACCCAGGACTTTGCTTGACATCCTGAGTTCCTCTAAATCTGCAGCTCTGAAATTCTACTCTTTACCAGGCTTTCTTTAACATTTGATTCTTCAGTTTCAAATAAAAACAAAAAATGTCTATAAAATGGAAAGTGTGAGCTCACCAACATCATACATGAGCGATACATGGAAATGTCACAAACAGGCAACTAAACAAAAAAGTGAAGATTGACTGAGCTCAACACACGCTTGAACCGGATTGAAGGGATATTTAAGAGGTCCAAAATAATTTAAACAAGCGAAACACTTTACTATCAAGAGTGCGTCAGATATTGGTGAGTTTTTTATGAGCAATAAATTAAAATTCAAAACTCTGTTGTTGTAAAATTGCAGACTTACTGATGTAGATTGCAGCAGACAAGCATTACTCAGGTTTTCTGTGAAATTCAGTTTCTTAGAGTCTGGTGAATAAAAAGAGTAATGTTTCATCTGGTTTTGGTTTAAAAGGAAAAAAAATTCTTCTTCGACAAAACTTTTAGATCCTTTCTGGTGGAAAAATATGAAAATAGAGAGGTGAGAAATTTGAACAAATTGCTGGTGAGAGGCTTTTTGCTGTGATAAAAGCTGTAACACAGAAGAGTAGAAAAAATCAAGGTGCAACGCTGTAAAAGAGTAAAAAGCCTTTAATTTATCAAGCAATTTCATTTTGAAAAAGCTTAAATCATACAGTGATGATGTTTGAAGAAGAAGCAAGTAACGTTTCATGAAAAGCTGCACAAACAGCTTTCTGCAGAGTACAGCGCTCTGCATAATCTAACACCTCAGAACAACCCAGATCAAGACCCAACTTGGACTGGAGGTTTGGTGACTCGACTACAACACTGCCAGAAGCTGTACACATCTATCCAGTGTGTTCTTCATCAATCAATCAGTCTCTTTATCAATCTTTTTCTTATCTAGAACCAATTTACAACAAATGGTCTATCAAGACAAACAAAAGAGCTTGTCTAGACCATGCTCTTTCTTATTTACAAAGACCCAAGATGAAGACAAGCAGAAATAATCAAAAGGTTTGACAGTTAACATTAGCTTTGCAACAATGATACAAGTGGAAAGACTGATGAAAATAGTTGAAACAGTTGAGACAGGCAGGTCCATATAGCAGCAGCGATCCAGAGGAACCTACAGCATGATGGAGCTCAGAGACTCTGAGAAAAGACTGTGGTTACTGACTTTAATGGAAAATCATGATTCGATGTTAATGAGACAGACAGAGGATGGAGAAGGAGGGAAATGTCCTCATTGTGCCAGTACTGATCCTAGTAGTCTAAACCTATAGCAGTGTAACTAAGAGCTGGCCCAGGCCTGAACCAGCACTTACTGTGAATTTTATCAAAAACAGAAGCTCAACCTACTCTTAAAAGTAGAGAGGGTGTCTGCAAAAGAAATGCCCATAAATCATACAGGTTAAGAAAATGAAATAAGTAAAAACATGCAGGTACCAATGCTGTCAATCAGTACGTTTACATGACACTCGAGAAAACCGAATTATTGCCCTTCTCCGATTAAGACCAGACAACTAAAGAGCATGTAAACACCTTAGTCCGACTATAATCAGAGTTTGAGAACTCTGATTGAAGTTGGAGAACTCCGATTGTGACACCCAGATAATGCGATTGGAGTTCATGCCCCAGTGACCCGGAACAAAAGTACCTCATCTGCCGAAAAAGTAGCGCGTACATCATGTATGACAAAAACAACGCTGTACGATGCTTTATCTTCTTGCTCGAAAATGCCCAACAGCAGTTGTAGCCACTTCTGACGTCTGGCACGGACTGGAAACAGCGCCGCTAAAAAGACCCATATCGCCCCCTCACTTTAAGGAAGGAGGACAGGTATACGTCTATAATTTGATTTTCTCAGCTGCATGTATGTGCGGACAAGGAGAGAAGTGCGATTCAGCAAAAAAAAAAAAAAAAAAAAAATTATGAGTTTAGTCCGATTAAGCTGTCCATGCGAGCACACTGAGTGTTAGACCAAATGTTACAAGAGGGGACCCCAAGATTCTTCCAATCTATATCTACTTTTTGAATCATAAACTCAAAATTTCTCCATGTATATCACTAAGACCAGTTCATGCAACCAGTTTCTGAAGCATGGTGAAGGTGGTGTCTTCTGGTTTTTCAAAATCCTTTTTGCCCTTGGCTTGGACCATGCTCATTAGAGTAGCTGTTTGGATATGTAAAGGGAGCATAGGTCACATAAATCTGTAATGAGGCCATACAGGTAGTGCTGCTGAGGATGGAGAGCAGGAGGGGAGCTGAAATGTGTATATTTACTGATTTGAGAGTAAATTACCTGCATGTATACTGTTTATAAGGAGAGTAAATAAAAACCTCCCTGAGCTCCTCCACTGTCTGACCTCTGTGAATTACAGTGTTGATCCAGAAGGTTCTTCGGTGAGTGAATTAACCTGAGAGAGACCTGAGATAAAGAGCTGCTGAGACTTCCTCACTGCTGCTGAGCCTCAAATTTACACCCCAAATGAGCATCTATTTCTATTTCCTGTTTGTGTTTGGGTCAGTGAACGGAGAGGCATCTTCTTAAACAGAGTGAAATTATCTACTGCACCATGAGGGATATCCTTTCAGCACAGTAGAGGTGTTTTTAAAAAGCAAATCCTGTTAAATTTCCCTTCAGTCTTGTTGTTAGGACCCAGAGTTAAGTAAGCCTCTATAAAAGACACCTGATGATGTGCACACACTGTTTTCCTGCACAGTGTGGAGTCATAAATGATGTTTCACAGAGACGAGTCAGCAGGCACCTGATTGGAGAAGCCGCCCAGGGTCTTAAAACAGAAGCTAAGCTAATGTGTTGCTGCAGAGAGATCACAGGTAGCACAAATATTAGGCATAATTCGTTGTCCTAGTCTGTACTTTTCCTATTCCACCCTGATGTGAACAGTCCTCCTTGGTCCAGAGGTTTTACTTCGCTGTTTGTAATCACACCCTGCCCACACGGCAGTGTGGAAACAGATAAAAATGCTCACATAAGCATGTCAGACCAGTAGGAGGTGATGTGTTATCGGTCTGTTATGTCAAACATCACAGACGACCCCAAACTGTGAGCGCAGTGCACAAAAACCACACCACAGCCCTGTGTTCTTACACAATGTCACAATGTAAAAACTCGGCCAATCAGGTCATTGACACTTAAAAGGAACAACATATAAAACCCAGTTATTGAAGCAATAAAATGCTGCTCTAGTTTGAGACCAGGGTATTTGGTCAACATATGTAAATAACTCAAATGGATGATCTGCTCTATTGGATCAAACTTGCTGTCCAGATATGCTACAAAGCAGCTCTGTGCATGACTAAAACAGTAATTATGGACACTCAATACCTCGTATAGTAGGGTGACCATATTCTGACTTCCCTGAGTTCTAACTCAGTAAGTTCATGTGACACAAAATCGAAACGCTCGTACAAAACCGCGAACATATGAAGGATTTTGTAAACTTCCACAAAAAATTGACAAACCTGGACAGCCCCCAAATAAGAGGACATGTCCGAGTAAAAGAGGGTGTATGGTCACCCTGTTGTATACTTTTACATGTTTGCTGACGATTCAGTATGCTCCTCCTGGAATATTAATTCAGGATTTTTAACAGAGGATTAAAATTTGCTCCGATTACTCAGACAAAGCGAATGGAAAGATTTGCTGTGATTTGGAGTGATTCAGAGGTGGGCACAATTAATCTAAAATTTAACTTCGATAACCATTAATATGCTCACAAAGATGTGAAACATGATAAAATTAATGTGTAAAGTGAGTTCAGTCAGGATCACTTTGTCAAAATTCAGCTTTATCATGCAAAGTTACAGTAAATTTGGCTGCATAGTTCTGTTCCGGGTCCCTGCCCTTCCATGTGCTTGTGCGGAAGCCATACGCAGGAAGTGCCCCTTCCTCCACGCAAGCATGTGTGTGAGGCATCATGAAGGCAGAAACAACGGGGGATAGAGCAGCGATGAACAGAACCGCCCCAAAACAGGAGCGCTTCAATGGTAGTGGAGCAGTTTAGCGGGCACAAGTGCAGCTGGTTGAAGTTGAAGTGGCTACTTGCCATTGGCTGCAGATCAGCGCTTGACATCGTGACCTGCCAGAACTAACGCTATGCTTCATTGAATATTAACATTAAAACCTGTTCAGGTCCACTGGTCAGAAGCAGAGAAGGTTCCCATGATCCCAGTCCACTAAAAGATTTAATCCAAGCTCCTTATATCCATTAAGATCCACAGATTACTTTACATCTACCAAGGCCAGATGGTCTTTGCCCAAGCTGTCTGGCATTCATCCTACTATGTAAGAGCAGAGTCTGAATCCTTCTTCTGTCAGCATAGATGCTCTTAGTGACTGGATATCAAACTGTATTTAGTGATCCAGATCCTTTAGCTTAGTAAGAACTGGCTCCTAATCAAAACCAGGTATTTGAAACAGCTTCTCAACAAAGAGAAATGACCCTTTAAAGCAGCAGAGCGTTACAAACATCAGTCTCCACTGTTTCTGATACTGAAGTATCTACACCCCATTGTCCTCTCAGACCTCATTAATCCAGTCCTCAAGCTCTTTTCTGGCCTGTGTCACCATCATGTTGGTATCAGAGTGATCCAGGAGATGTTGAGCAGGCCCTTCTCCATGTTTTCACACAGAGACAGTGATCTGTGTTCAGTCAGAGCTCAGACTGCAGCCCAGCTCGGGGACACAGCAGATGTGACCACAGCTGTATCTGTCTGCAAGCCCTGGGTCTCATTAGTAGAACGTCCAGGCAGACAGCCAAGAGCGTGATGTCCTTTAATGTCACATGTCTGACATATGTAACAGAAAAATACATGAGCTTTGTCTATTATTTATTGCTACTATTCATCGTCTGTTTGACATTTGCGAACAGATCCTCCCAAATCTCACCATCTGATCCTTTAAAACCAACCCTAAACACCCACAGGGTGCATGTTACCGAAACCAAACCTCCATGATTGTTGATGCCAAAGAGATCAATCAATCATTTAATCGATCACTTTACTTTTAAACTGAACTAACAACCAGTGACCCCCCCTAAAAAAGCAATGCCATTTTTCTCTGACGTTTTAAAAACCTCATAGAGCGATCTCCATGAACCCGGAGGAGATCCTCTGCCTGCTGTCAGCCGGGGCACAGCTGATGAGATTTGACGTGGATATCTGATTCTGACGTTAATTTTCCTCTGAAGCTCTCGGGTTTTTGATGGAGAGTAGATTGAGCTAAAAGGGGGGAAAAAAACGGGAGAATGAAGGCTTAAGGTGAGCTGGGAGTTGGAAAATGATGCAACTTTTCTTGGCTACGGCTTCACTTAAAGTACCACAGGGTTTCAGTGAAGGAAAAAAAATCGAGTTTGTTGGATTATAGATCAAAGAAAATAAAAGATAAAACGTTCTTTTATTGAATCTGAGCAGATAATACAAGAAAAAAGCAGATGAAGGAGTTTATTAAGGGACTAAACACAAACAAACAGACTGTCTTTGAGAGTTTTTAGAGACCCTGATCTCAACACTGACGGTAAACATCCAGAGACGCAGCTGTCTGATACAAAGCACAGCCACATGTTTTCACCGAAGAGTGTCAAATAAATCTCCCAGCCATCTGACGCTCAACAGAAATACGGTTTTTCTTTGCATTTAAATTGAGAACCTTTTCTTTAGAAAGGACATTGAATTGTGACTTTAGACAGACATTTTCTTTTGAGTCGTTGGAGAAATAATCTGACAAGATTTACATGATGATGTCACTTTGTTTTCTAAAGACAGAGACAGTCGGGGTAAAAAAAATTACATTCATAGTGAATGTGTGTGCACATATATTGTTTTCTAGCCCTGAACCTCCATAAATTTTATCAGTCCAGTTTTACTGTTATTTATCATATTCTGGTCTGCAGAGTGATCGAATTAGCTGCACTACTGGCTGCAGATGTATTGAACAACATAATACTTTTAAAAAAGAGAGAGAGAGAGAAAGAGAGAGAAAGAGAGAGACCTTTTTCTCCACTATTTTCCCCTCATGTTTAAAAGGTTTTTAACCTTCCTCCTTTTACTACGCACGCACTATGTTAAGGGTCAGTTTCAACCAGTGTCTTAAATCAGCTGTAAATTAAACTAAAAACAATTCTCTATCATCCAATTTGGTTCTCATCTCTAGGTTACCTTGTTAGATTTAGTGCCATAATTTTAATAAGAGTATTTTATAATTTAGCCAATTTAATTTTTTCATTTTGTTGAAATAGTAGTACCTGACAAAGTCAAAAAGTCTTGATGCAAAAAAGCGAATGTAAGTGGTTCTTTTAAGCATTTAAAATCAAAAACGGGTCGGTGCAGACCCCAACATGGAAGGAGGGTTAAAGAATGAACACATTTAACACAACTACTAAAATTTTTTAAATGATTGATGCATGCTAGTTTACACACAAATCTGTTCTATTCAGGTTTCAGGAGCGAGTTGTTGTCTTTGTTTAATTTCAGAAGAACTTAGATTTTCAATAAACTTTTGATCATGTTATCATGTTTAAAAAGTTTTTGAAAGAGACATACAACATAGACCTGTCAGTCCTACCATGCTAATCTCAGTAGGATTGATGTTGATGTGCTATCTTTTTCATTGTGTGCTACTTTGTCCCTTCCTGAATGCCATAGTTAGGCTGTTGCAGTGTCTTCCTGCTTCCTGCTTCTACTGTAACAGAAACAAACAATACAGACAAAAGTTATATGCTGTTATATTATACAAATTAAATCTTACTCATGAAACATAAATAAATATGTGTGTAGATTTGTACTTATATGTCATCGGTACTAAATAGTTTACAACAGATTCATAAACACAAGAGAAAACTCTGATTTGATTGGCAAGTTCATGAGTGCCAATCAGTTGTTAAGTGACAGCACGCTCCTGCCAGTCTTAGACAATGACCTCTGAGTAATACGCATGAACTTGCCATAATTAGTCTTACATGCGTGCAGATTTTCAGTGGATCTCAAATGGCTTTTAAGGCAGTCGTCTCTCACAGTTGTATTCTCTTAACTCGTACCGTCGATGCAGTTGTGCAGGATTAAACTGTTGTGTGTTCCACCTATCCACTGAGCCACAATGTTAAGCAACACACAATTCACATTTTGTATTTTTAACACTTTTAGGGTAATTTATTATTTTAATTATCAGTGAGCATGTAAAACAAAACATGATTTGAATGGTCTAAAATGACCCATTAAATTTTTTATTTTTGTGAGCATAGCCGATCACAAAATGAATTCAAAATTAGATAGCTGATTATAACAAGCAACGTTTATGGACATTCATTATTTACACAACGGCTATAAGCAGCCTAGAGCAGGTGTAGATTTAGCTACACAGTCACTGAAATTTCTAAATTATTGATGCAAGCTAGTTAACTCATAAATCTGTTCCATTCAGGTTTCAGGAGAGAGTTGTTGTCTTTGTTTAATATCAGAATAACTTACATCTTTTTATTATAAATTTCTTTTTGCTAATTTTAGTCCTGGACATCCCTGCCTTGATCTCTCATCTCTGCTCTGTTTTCTCTTCTGTGAACTTGCATGAGGCCGAATGAGGAAATGAACTTTCTCTCTTTTTTAGCTCATTAGCTTTAATCGGGTGGGTTTCTCTAGCGTTGCCCCTGGCCACCCTCTGTGCAGTCAGATGCTTTTGGTCCAGCTCAGGCTTGGATGTCTAAATCACTTTAATTAGAGGGCTAATTGGTGACTCTCACAGCCGGCTTCTCCCAGAAAAATATTACTTTGGTCTGGGTTCAGTGGCTCATGCCAATAAGATTACTGCAGAGTGATGGCATCCATAAAAAAAAAAAAAAAGAAACAGAAAGTATGACTTCACTCCTTGATGATGAAATGTTCAGTTCGGTCGTGAGTTTCATCTGTAACTAAAGTCGACAGCTCTGCCAGGGGAGCCGAACATGCTCGGGTCGGTGTGGGGGCTTTGTTGCTGAGGCCTGACACATCGTCTCGTTAATTCCTCGGTAAATGCAGGATCTGGATTCACACTCAGAGCCAAACAGATGCTCACAGCCCTCTGTCAGTCCCTTAGGTGATGCTGGGTAAGAGGCTGGGCTTCCTCCAGCGCACCTCCGCTTCGCTGTCAGCCGCCTCCTCCTGAGAGCACCAACACATCTGACAGTGTAAATATCTCCAGAGCAGACACAAAGCTGCAGGAACCACACACAGACCTCAAATAAAACTTACAAAACACACACACACACACACACATTTCCCATGAAAACTACAGGACCCTATGTTTTAAAAGGGTCAGACACCTTCATTATAAAGTTGAATATGGAGCTGAATCCTTGATCAAAAGTATGTTTAAGACCTCTGAATATTCTGTCTGCTGTTTGAAATGTTGTTTTTTGTCATGTGTTAATTTATGTTGCTTGGCTTGTATGTTGTAAGTGGAGCTACAGTGATGCAAGTCAAATTTCAGACTCTATCTGCCAATAAACCACACATGCATCCCAATGAAAAAAATCACAAATAACACAAAGTCACTCTTATGAAAACTACACACAAACTTGTCTATAACCCTGTGCAAACCACGCACACAAACCCAAGAAAAACCTACAAACACTGCACAGAAGCTCGTGGAAAGACTCATGCAAACCGAACACATACTCCATGAAAACTACACACCAACTCCAGCAGCAGCTTGTCTTTAATATGGACGTCCATATGCTGAGTCCTGAGGCAGCTGTCTAAATGTGACATCAGGTTTTCCTGTGCAGATGTGTTATGGATGTGCTCAGGTAGTTCTCATCAGGTAATCATTATCACTTCTACCTGTTTGCAGCTGCAAATCAAAGGAATGGACTCCGTCAGCTGGCCAGACTGCAGATCTAAAGGTGGTTATATGAATATACTGGTTGATCAAAAACTTGTCCAAGAGTTATTCAGCAGCTTACAAAAGCTTGGTCTGGATGATCTTCACTTCAAAATACTAGCTTTGTCCAGAAAGTTTGCACAAGGCCGACACTCTTTTGTATGTGCTTATTTCAGCATTTAGGTTTGTAACTAAGTCGGTAAGTTTCACTCAGCGTCACTTCTGTCCTTCAAATGTACAAAGTTTAACATTTATCCAAGTTGTTATGAGACTTATGAGTCTCTAGTCTGTGTTATTCCTCCCCCACCAGGCTCTCTTATGCTTTTCTTTGGTACTGAACAAGACTATGAGACAAAAGATGTCTCTTAATGCACAATCAAAATCTCTGTCAAACTTGCTATTTTTAGCTGACAAGCTGCCAGCTTGAAGGTTGCTCTTTCATACGGTAATTAAGATGTAAAAAGCTGTGAGAAAGCAGCAAACAGACAGATTAGAGTATTCCCTCTGAAACAGACAGTGAATATAACCTTAGTGATATAACCTCATGACCAATCATGTAGTGGGAACAGCAGGGTAAGGACCCAAATACAGACGTTTAATGCAGGGCCAGCGCACAGATTTGTGGGCACAGTGAAGACAAAAGCTTTCAAACATGGGATGGAAGTCAAAACACTGACACTAAACTTGAGAGCTCATGTATTAAGAGGAACTTTGCAGAGGGCTATAGATTCAGGTCCAGTTCCAAGAATTGATGAGTCATGCCCAGGATGTCTCATGAGGTGTTGTATCTGTTTTCTTCAATTCGGTTTTTAACACCTCTTGTATGTGTCTGCACTGTTTTCCTTCCTTTCTCTGCTGGTGACTTATCAGCCATTAATCGCAGATTTAAAAAAAAAAGTGTTTTCTGAATAAATTGAGAGCAAAATTTAAAATATCAACAATATTGTTCATGGATGCTGCCAGAAATTAAACTTTTTGCTCCATTGTCAACAGGAAGTAACCAAAATCTCTTCTATTCTCGATTTGGGGTGAGTGATCTGGTTGTCCCTGGCAATTTTTAATGAGAATCATTAACCATTGGCATAGCGCTGATAACCAATCAGAATCAGGTATGTAACACAGCTGGGTGATTAGTAAGGAAGCGGACTAGAATTAAGGAGTGTCTGTGCTATTACATCGTTGGAACTAGCTAGGATACTAGTCAGGAAGCTGCTGCATGCTAACATTAGTTCAACTCTTAGTTTACTACTGCAGTTAATACGTTTAGGCTACACACGCATATCAGATTCTGTCAATTCTGCAGTTGACTTTGCAAATTCGGCAGAAATCGTTTATATCCGCAGAAGAAGACGTAAAAGACATAGTTTGCTCGCACACGTTGAAGTATTACCAAACCTTTACTTGATGCTTGAGAGCCCAGCAGGGAACACAGTTGTGTGCACTGTGATGACGTCAGATGTTTGGTTACGGTGATTGGTTACAGTAGTCTGTCTATCAAGGAAAGTACTCCCACCCACTTTTAGGGCTCCCAATTGGCCGAAGTCCAGACTGTTGTGGGAAGGAACGGCAAGTGATTCACGCAACTGGATGGCCCAGCCAGTCTAGGATATCGTCACTACTGTAACAGAGGCAGACACCCACTGAGCATTTTTTGGTCTAAATGGGGTCTAATAGACGTCTAATTGCAGCCTAGATGACTGGTCTAAAATCAGGCTACCACAGGTCTAAAAAGGAAAGTTTTTTTAGACGTCTAAATTTAGACCAAGTCTAAATCTGAGCTATGTCTTTACCAGAGATGGAAATTGTGGAGTCACCAAGTCATCTCCATGCCATGTATTTGTTCTGCTCAGTTACTGAACCAGGTGCCTTCACTAATGAGCTCACCTTCCTGGCTGCTCATTGGAAGCAGCTGGTTCAGTTACAGAGCAGAACAAATACATGACATGGAGATGACTTGGTGACTCCACAATTCCCATCTCTGGTCTATACTATACTGTATATATTGCTTAACAGCTATGATAATTATATTGGTTATGTACTTGGAGATCAGTTATGCAACTCACAGTTGCTTTTTGAAATAAAAAGTTATTGAATAATGGGTTAAAGTGCAACGTCTAAATTATACAAAATATACATAAAATATAAAAATATACAGAAATATACAGACATCTAATAGCCGTCTATCGCTCAGTGGGCATGCTTCTGTATATGATTTGATATTTGCCCAGTGCATGTAAACTGAGGCAAAGACAGTTGTCCAATTAAATCGCCTCATCAAGCCCTAACTGTAGCTTGACCTAACTATGAAATATACTGAGAGATTTCAAAACTGGGGTTCTGGATCCTTAGGGGCACCTGGAGTTATGCCAGTTTGTGGGTTGAGTGGGGCCAGTAATGCTCAATAAAAACATACTTTTCTGCACTGCTCACAAAGCCTGGTAAGTTTTTCAAAAGGCCTGCCAGACAAAAAAAGAAATCTGGCGGTGAATCTACACCTATTGTCCCAACTGGTGAAACAAGGACAAAGCCTTATGAAGAGTCAAACCTCATTCTGGCTTCACCTCCATCTACAGTAAACTGCCCGCTCATTAAAAACTTGGCAGTTGCATGTTGCAGAGTCACTGTAAATCACTTCTTAGTAAAAGAGTCTTGTTTCATCAGGTCACTGACAAACAGCAAAGTTGCTATCCTGTAATTTTAGATTTTTTTCACATAGTTAAAAAGATAAATGAAATTGTAAGAGTGTGTCTGATAGTGTATTTTAGGGTGCATACAGTCTAAAGACATATGTATATTTGGTATGTATAGTAATGGAGTAAGTTAGGCCCGGAACTCTGGACAGACTCATTACATATTATTGCTTTACTGGTCTGGTTTGCTTGTGCAGGGGTTCAAAACTGTTTCTGTGTCAAAATGGGGACAGAGAAATACTCAGAAACATCAGTATGGACTGGATTTTTTTAAACTAAGACAAAAATGAAAAACAGTAAAACAAACAGTTAAAAAAATATATCTTCATATGTGTGTACTAGACTCAACTTCGTATTTTTGCTACATATACATCCATGAAACCAACAAAAACCAGTCACTGATCAATCAGGGATTACACTGGATCCACTACAGCCTAGATTTAAGCTGCAGGCTGAAGGAAGTCTTTTCTAGCCAAGGTTTCAAAGAAGCTCAGACATCTGGAGGAAGCTCAGAGCAGAGTCAGTGCTCCTTTACTTCAAAAGGAGTCAGCTGAGGTGTTTTGGGCATCTGATTAGGATGAATCCTGCATGCTTCCGTTTGGAGGTATTCCAGACATACTAAACTGGGAGGAGACCTGGAAGTGTATATATCAGAGTGCCTTGGGGGGATTTTATATCTTCTCTGTCCTGAAAATACCTCAAAATCCCAGAGGAGGTGCTGGAAAATGCTGCTGGGGATAGAGAGACTAGTGAGACAGGTATAAAGCAGCATGAAACTTTCATTCATAAAGTTTATCCTCCAAGCCTCCACAGTGCAGCGTTGCATTAGTTCAGTAAATCAACTTGAATTCGCTGTTTGTGGTTCACAATGTACTCTCACTTCTTGCATTTATGTCGGGAGTTACTGTTAACTTGGCAGACCCTCCTCAGATGTCGCCAAGAGTGTTAGAGGAGGGTCTGGAGAGGTTTTAAAACACCCACGGTGTCGGGAAATGGCAGCGTTGACGATGCAGCACAGACTTAACTCAGACAGCAGGATCAAACATCTCTGTGGCCCTGCTGGATGAACATGAACACACAAACTTGCACATTCATTCAGTTTCAGGGTCATCAACCGAGCTGCTCTTTGTGTGTCAGTGGCTTTGCATCGCAGACATCATTGACACAAGGTCCTCACTGTCAGCTCTCTGTGTCCCTGTGAGTCACACAATGAGCCGGGTGAGGGAGGCAGCCAGTGAGTGAAGATGCGCAAGGCTGAAGGTCTGTCTGTGTGTGTTTGCTCTGAATGTATCATCAGAGGAGGCAAGCATGCAGGGAGCTCAGCAGGTTCTTACGCAGTATCCTGAATCTATCAGTGTGTGAGGTCTGGTCTCCACAGGCCAGTAGCACCAGCTGAGTCTTAAGCAGTCCGTATATCCTGTAGACCACCTAGACGGTTTAAAAAAGGAAAACCTTTACAGGGTTTCCTCTGGGTCAGGAGATATTCACAGACAGATTCAGCTCTGAGGGAGCCACAGGCAAAGTGAGCTGCTGGTCTTTATCAGCTGCTATTCTACAAATTTGTTATGTGCAAACCAAGTGAGGATTAAACCATCAAATCAATGGAGGGAGATTAAATTCAATTAGTCTTTTATATGAATCTTTTTTAACTCCATTCATTCATCCATGCATTTTCCTCCACAGAGATCAGGTTGTGGCTTTGAGCGAGTTGACCCAGACCTTCTTCTCTGCAGCAGCTCCTCCTGCAGGATCCCAAAGCGTTCCCAGGCCAGATGAGGTAAATAAATTTTCCAGTAAGCTCCAGGTCAACCCCTGGGCTGACATCTCTAACAGGGGGCATTCAGGGAGGATCCTCATCAAATGCCAGACCACCTCAGCTGAAGCATGTCGATGTGTTGTCAGCCTAAGGATGTGTGTTTAACAATTAAATAACTAACTTGGGAACAATGACACAATGAAGTCATGGATGTAGCTTTTCACTTTTTCATTTGCTTTAAATCTTTAAGTCTGTCCAACACTTTAACAATGTGTATTTATTCTGCGTTCCAGTTACCTTGGAAGTTGGATGTCGGAGCTGGGAATGACATTACACCTAAGTTGATGGCATTCCAGTAAACAAGTTGGAAAACTAAAATGGACGCCTACAGTTACTCGTTGTTAGCTGTTGTTTACAATTGTTAGCTGTCGTTAGCCATTGTCAGTTGTTGTTAGTGGTTGTTAGCTGTTGTTAGCCGTTGTTAGCGGTTGTTAGCCATTGCCAGTTGTTGTTAGCGGTTGTTAGCCGTTGTCAGTTGTCGTTAGCCGTTGTCAGTTGTCATTAGCCGTTGTTAGCCGGTGTCAGTTGTCGTTAGCCGTTGTCAGTTGTTGTTAGCGGTTGCTAGCCATTGTCAGTTGTTGTTAGCCGTTGTTAGCTGTTGTTAGCCGTTGTCAGTTGTTGTTAGGGGTTGTTAGCTGTTGTTAGCCGTTGTCAGCTCTTGTTAGTTGTTAGCTATACCCAGGGCTCTCAAGTTTTGAACTAAGCTGAGAGTGAGATTTCCTTGGGGGGGGGGGGGGGGTGAAGAGTGATTGAAGATAATTATTTGTATAATAATCTCTTAAATACAACGGAGTATGAGGGCCACATTAAAAAAAAACGTTTTTAAATCTTCGAGAATAAAGTTATCATTTAGGAGAATAAAGTAATTAATATCTAAATATCTAAGAATAAAGTCGTAAAGTTACCTGTTGTGGAGGAGAGTTGTTAAAATCAGCACTGTAGAGCATTTAGATGAATTGTTCTTTAGTATAGGTTTCACAAACATAGAGATACTAAATCCTTAGGTACATGCGCGTTACACTGTCATGAGTATCAGAACTTTAAAAAGAATATATGAGAAATGCTCCTTTGTGGAGGGGGAAATGGCTGTACAGCGGCTAAATTTATCAATACAGCTGTTAATAGCAATAGCATAGGGCTTAAGTTTATCATATGAATTTATCTGCCATGAGGTGTTGAGGCCTCTGCATGTGTAGGTTACTGACTTACTGTAATCATCGGGTCTTTCTCGTCCTTATAAAAACCTGCTCTATTTCGCCGAGTGTCTGTCAAAATCAAATCAAAATCTACCCGGATACAGCAATGCTGCTTTTTGATTGGCTGTTCAGTAGATATACTTTACTTGATTGGCTTGTGCGTGGCACGCAGCGTCTGATCTCTCAGAGAAACTTGCTTGATTCCTACCTGTTCCATAGTTTAAGAGGTGCAACTTGGGGGATGTCACCATATTCATTTAAATGCGTGAGAAATACAATGTGTGGCGTGTGAGCGTGTGAACGGGTGGGAATGCGTGTGTCACACGCTGAATGCGTGAGACTTGAGAGCCCTGTATACCAGATGTAAAAACACCATAGCACCATGTTCACAGTTAGATGTTGGGCAGTACAACATATACCACTTATTTAATTTCACCGAAACAAAACATTACAAGATTTTTTACCGTTACTTTTTACTGTTGATGCACTGTGCTGCCATTTGGATTATGATGTCAAGTTGGGGTTGGTGAGGATTGTCCGACTTTCTGAGTCGTAAATCCGACTTCAGGGGGGCGTTCCAGATGAATTTCTAACTCTGAGCTCGATAAACCCGACTTCGGAGGACAACTGAAACACAGTACTACTTTGTTCTGTGCCACCAGTGGCTTGAAAAAAAACTTGCTTTTCCATAATGAAGGAGAACATTTTATGAAAAGGAAGCAACACAAGGCCTAGTATCCATCATTTTCCAAAGTGATCCATTTACATTAAATTATGAGGAAAATAACTTTCTCTCCACAAGTCAGAATAAGGCAACCTAGCAGTGATTTAGTGACTCCTGAAGAGAAAGAGTGAAGCCATCATTTCTGTGTGTAAAGTACATTTCTAATGTAAAGTATTTTTACATCTCTGAGAGTAAAAGTGTCTGTTCAGCCTCAACGAAACTCAGCAGGATGAATTTCAGTATTTTCAAACCAAGCTGAGAACGGATGAGTGCATCTCGTTTCATTTCAGAGGACATCAGATTTAACTGGCACACTCTGCTCCACGTCAATGTCTGAGTTTATTCTCTGTTTGTTTTCTGCTTTGGATGAATTATTATTGAATAATGCATCAGACTGATACAGCAGAGGTCTGTGATTACTCAAATGACAGAAAACATCACTTATGTTTGGACCGATTCACCTCTCTATTGGGAGTTTTCTTGTCATCTGTCTGTTTTTGCAGTTTTAACATCATAAATACCTCCCAAAGTCCTGTTCACAATGTCTAACTAACCTGTCAAGGAAACAAGAAGTCACCGAACTCAATGTCTGGGGACTACTTTTAAAGCTGGGCACACAAAACATTTTTCAAATGGACAAAATCATCTGTAATGACTTTATTGATTAAATATGTTTTTTGGTTGTTAAATAGTGGAGTAATGTGTAGTTAGCTGGTGGCTATGTCAAATAAAACCCCTTCAGGGTGTACAAGACCTTGTCTTACTGAAGAAACAAGGTCTTGTACAAACTTATCCCTTACTTAATTGCATTTTAAATTACATGTTGAAATTCAAAACTGTTTTAAAGTCCTTGTTATCAAAGTGAATAAAACTTTATCAGAGTCTTGGTTTGTAAATCAGATTATTGCAATTAAATCTAATGTATGATATTGATTTCAGATTCATTATTCAAATAAAGGGTTAAACCATGAGGCAAAACTCTGGTGGTAAAATTTGTTTATATCATTATCTTTTCAGGTTTGAGATTTACTAGAGGATCCTTATTTCAGTCGTACACATAATGCTACAATTCTGGATGTCTGTATAAACCTCAGTAAAGTTTCAAGACGTGAGATTTTTAAAGGTTATGTGATTAAGAAAGTGTTGAAAGACATGCTCTGAACTGCACAAAGAACTTTGTTCAAATTTCCTTTGCATTAGTTTCACTGCTTGGCTTCTTCCTCTGCTCTGTACTTCGTTAGCTCTCTACGTCTCAGAGAGGTTTGTAAGTGTTGTTTTGGTTGTGAAGGAAAGTTACATATTTTTACTCTTACAAAAGACAAAGGCACCTAATTTATTTATTTTTTTTTATGTTTTTGAATCAACAACAGCCATGACATAGTTGTGTTCACCACTTGAACTTGAACCACTTGGGCCTTTTCAGTGGTTGCCCCTCGACTGTGGAACAGTTTACCTGTCCATATTAGAGCCTCTCAGACCTCAGAGTCTTTTAAATCATCTTTAAAGACCCACTTTTTCTCCCTTGCTTTTAATAAATGAGCAGACAGGAACCAGAAGCACTGCAGCTTTTATTCTTCTACTGTCTGTATTTTATTCTACTGTTTTTAATTTGATTTTTATTGTTATTTATCTATTTATTTACTTCTTTTATTTATCCCATGTATAGCACTTTGTTTGACTGCTGTCTTCTAAAAGGTGCTTTATAAATAAACATTGACTTGACTTAACTAATGAGTCCTTTGTAAAGGGTGGTATGAGCTGTAAGTGACATCAGAACAGCAGCTAATAATACAATAAAACAACAGCTAATATGATTGGCAGCTTGCCTCTTCTGCAAAGGGGAAGCTTTTAGGCTGTGTAAAAAGTAACACCCACAAGCCGTGTTGAAACATAGCAGTTCAAAAGCAGCCGAAGCGCAGCGTTGCAGGCAGCTGCTAAGTTGTATTAAAATAAGAGTTTTTACAGATACAGAAAATAAAGTTTTCTGTAATAATTCAATCCTCTTTAATTGTCCCAGAGAGGCCTAATAAAAGTTGAAAATGACTGATGAGTCTTCTTTAAATCTGACTTTTGTCTAAATTACGTTAACTTTCTGCTTTAGAAAGATCAAAAATGCATCTGACTATTTTCTTTTGTTGCACCTTTAAAATGTGTCTTCAAAGTATTCTTTAGAAAAAAGAAGTTTCCCACAGTGGACATAAATGAATTCTGGGGTCACACAAGGATAAAATCCTGTCCATCTATCCTCTGCAACCTTTCTGCAGATGTTTCACCCAAGGTTTCAGTGTTTGACATGTTTTACAGATTTTATTTGAGATCAATGAAAACAGGATCAGGCCATAAAAATACCTGAAAACAAAAACAAACAGGTAAACAGAACCATCCCCCCGTTTTCCCTCACTCACACACACACACACTGAATGGCGGCCCACACACATGCCCTGAGGGTGATTGGCCGGCCCTGCCCTTCATCCTGTTCGGCTCTCCCGCTCGCTCTGCAGCGCGGCGGGCTGACCTTTACCAGCGTGCAGCCGTCGAGCCCCCGGGCCGTGTGATTCAAGCAAACCTCTGATCGCTCCTGCTGCAGAGGAGACACACATGGCTGAAATACTGATGTTTCTCCTTGATACAGAGAAGAAGGGTGTATCTGAGATGTTAACCACAGCACTGCAGGAAACGACCTTTAAACCAGATCAGCTGATCAGTGACGGGACGATTAGTGTTTCTTGAAAAATCACTCTCTCTATGACTCTGTGTTCAAACTATTAACTGTTCAGCCATGGAGGACAGAGCTGCAGGCGAGCCACCAGCGAGGTGTCTGCTCCACAGCCGTACTGTCATTAGTGAGTGTGTCTGTCTCTGCTGTGGAAAGGTGACTTTGCTGCAGGGATGAGACACCCAGGACTTTCAGCCCAGAGGCTATTTTAGGTTCGAGTCATAAAGAAATGCAGCAGTAGTCAGAGCAGAGGAGGGTAACGTACTCACAGTCTGTGCTCCAGTTAAAGTGCAGAAACTGGTTTGAAAACACCTG